ATTAGACCCGCATATCAATACATAGCTATCTATTACTATAGTGGGACCATGTATGTAATTTAATATTGATGGGCTCGTTGGTCTAGTAGCCTCGCCTCGCACCTCGCCTTACCTTCCGATGGTCGCGGGTTCAATTGCTCGCACGGTGCAAACACATCTGTATTCATGAGTATGATTGTTTGTATACTGTATCTATTTAAAAAAAATTGTACTTACATCAGTTGTCTAGTACCCATAACACTAACTTTGCTTAACTTCGGACTATGTGTTGAACAAACCAAATATACCAATTACTTATTGATGATAAAACTATGATCAATATGAATCGGATATTAAAAATTTCATGTAAAGTATGTACAAATAGTAAAAGATAATCTTAATATAACTACTTTTGAATAGTATGGACAGTATGTAAATAGACAGAATTCACTCAGTATCACTCGCAACTTGCGCTAAGACGAAATTCCAAGTGAAAAATATGCCACTTAGACCGCCGTATAAGACAAACGGTATATAAATCCTCCAGATTACAGGTAATTACTTACACACAACATCTAGTCAAATCATATTTTAGTCAAGTTTTATTATTCGACACACTTTCTTGCCAGCAAATGCTATATGTCAATGTTGGAAAGCACTATTCGTCATTTGGTCATAGCCGTTAGCGATATAGAGTTAACAAGCGAAGAAAGTCTTGTTCATTTTCTCGGAGGGACTAATAATCTTCATAGACTATTTGAAAATAGTTTGAACTTTTAAGACATAGACATTTATAGACATATGCGTGCATTATAATAAAGTATTGCCATCTCCATTTCAGCCTAAGAAAATGTTAACTGCTTCTGAATTCAAATTTATCCCAAAGACTGCCATTTTAATAGAGATAAAAGTCGTAGTAAAGTCTTCTCCGGTTGACTGTAGCTGGCCTTTACAGCTTCTCCGGACGACTGAGTACCTCTCTGTATTTAAGATTACATTAAGAGAGTTACATTGCCCTTTCTTCCATAGATAAAGCATACTGCTCAAAAGTATACTAAGATATCTGAAACCACTTCAGAATCATTTTCCCGCCAGTAGTTGGTTCTTCAAAGCAAATAATTATTTTGATCTTTATTTTGGATTAAAATTTATGTATTCATGAGTATGATTGTATTGATCTGATATTTATGTATGTATTTTTTTAGTAGTTAAATGTAGTACAAGCGCCCTTTGGCTTGGATGGTGGTGTGAATTGATAAGTTACTATAGTGATATGAATGTCTATCTATTAAGTACCTAGACCACATTATTAAAATGTTCGCTATTAATAAAGATATCTCATACTAAACTTATAAATTTTGGAAAAACTACGCTTAGTAACTGAGAGTTATTAAAAAAATCTAAAGTCAGTATAAACTTGCTTGCTTAGTTCCAAATGGATGACCACTACTTCGTAAAAAGCAAAATTAAACAAAACACTTTCACAATTTTCACGGTGTGAGTAGGTAGGTACATACCACGAACATTTAAGGAAACAAAGATTAAAAATCTCATATCTCAATAGATGTTGACATGATTGCAATACACGATGTGGTGAGATGACGCTACGGAATTCGAGGCGAGTCCACATTCGAACACAGAGAAACGCGACGAAAGTAAAATCTTTATCATTGTGAAGAGGTACCACCCAAACTGTAGGGCTGCCGGTAATGTGAAGTTTTTGAAATACAAATAGAATAATTTAGTGTTTTAAGTTTTTAATTATATAAGACGTGAGTAATTACTACGAATTAAGTTTTACTGTGTAATAATATCTTATCTGTAGTTTTACTGAAACTTCATTAATTTAGATATTATTATTTTTTTATATTTTATAAAATACTTATGTCTATAATTTTAATATGTGTCGGTAGTAATAATTTGTAAATGGTTAAAAATAGTTTAATTAAGTGAATATACTTAGCATAAAAGTAATTGGTGTATAATAATGTACATTACTTTTATACTAAGTTAATTCACTTATATCTATCTACATTTTTTAGTCTACCACCACATTCCAAACTTACTTATATTATTAAAAAGTACTTATATTATTAGCTATAATTCCGCTTCGTCTAAATTATTATTATGTATTCCGTTCCTCTTTTCTAATGAAGACCCTATAACAATGATTACTGATGAGCCATGGGTCACCGACAAATACTTAAAAAACTATTCAGTCATTGTTACTTATTGCTCGCACTACGTAATAGACCGCATTATTAACTAGAAACGAAACTTTCTCACATCAATCGATAGCGATAATATATAATGAAAAATCTTCACTGTTAACTTCGACTCTTCATATTTGATCACAGATGTTTAATAATAAAACCGGTCAATGGAAGTTGGATTACCACAACGAGGATTCCGTACAAATAATATATGCACGTTTATGTTTACCATACATCTCTATTTGTAATTACCACATTGCTATATTATGTTCTTTGTGATATATACACATTTGGTACAAAAGAGAGTTCTATTTATTAACTCTAATTAGTCTTATTTAAATTAGAACAATAATTAGTCATAAGACTAAATACAGTCAACTTATGTAATGTATATTATAAGAAATATATTTCTAATTATAAATGATTTTGTTAGTCCAAATTGTTATTTAATCAACCACAGAAGTTAAATTATTTGAATAAATAAAATTTTGAGATAAAGATAAACAGACCTGTTTATTTCAATCATTTTTTCTGATACTACGCTTTATATTAAAAAACCGGCTTTGGAATGTGTCAATGAATTCTTTGCACTCCAGTAATAAACATATATTACTAAACCTCTTTTATAGATCAATAAAATATTTAGTTTATTATTTTTGTTTCACATGTCATTGATATTTTTTTTATAATAGTAATACTATTATAATAAAAATATCAAATATATATTATAATAATATTATAATAATAATACACCACTGTGACCTATGGTTGAACGAACGTATATATTATATTAGCTGTTGCCCGCGATTTCACCCGCGTTAAATTTAAATATTCCAATGTATATCTAAGCTACATTACTGTAAAATTTCTTCAAAACTTGTTGAGTAGTTTTTGCGTGAAAGAGTAACAAACATATACAACGAGAAACGCGTAAATAATAATTATATAATAACAAACTTTCGCGTTTATAATATTTTTAGGATAGTTTGCTTTTACCATTTGCTTCGGAACCCTAAAATTATAGATACGCCGCGTCGCGTTGTAAGTCATTAATATTAATGTTACCGAGCGACAGATTGAAAGCAGTTTCATTTCATTTCTATACACAAGTGACCACAATTTTTACACGCTTATGACTTATTACTTACTACCAGGTAGATGTATTCGCTACTTCATGGGAACGTTTCGGTCATTGGTCTATAATTATTACGTAAAAATTTGGCCATGAATTTCCCATCGCTAAGGGCCCCCGCGAGTGTCCGAGACTATTAAACAATGTGTATGGTTGTTTTCAACTTACTAACGCTAAACTGTAAGAGATAAGGCTGATAAACATTGTATAAACAAGTTAGGAGAGCATGGGGGACTATGACACATTTATTGCACGTTTGACCAAAAATCAAGCCATAGTTACACATGGAAAATATTAAATTAAAAAGTTAATGTTGTTGAATATGAAAAATTGAATATAAACCTAAAGGTTCTATGTCTACCAAGGATCCTCTTCATACTTTGTTATGCAACTGAAATAGCAAGTAAACAGACGGCCCACCTGATGGTAAGTGGTAACCGTGGCCTATACTTTTAAACAGTTTCACTTTTTTCATTAATGTCACTATATTCTGCGAAGTGGTGGTGATGTCCATGTACACTATAATTATACAGCCCTATCTCACCTTTCAACCGAAACATACATTACAAAATAAGCTTCTTGACGGGTGAAATAGGTGAGACAGATGACAGACGTACCCACGTACTTTGTAGGGGAGAAGGGAATTGTTAGTAATGGGCATTAATAAACTCATTGCTAACAATGTACCATGTCATGTTGACCTCCAAGCGGCTCCTCTTGGAAACCATCATATTAAATTCCTTGTGAATTTGCTACGATGGGCTAACTGACCTGACATCATACTCATCTTATCATCCTCCACTAGATCCCCGCAAGTCTACATCATCATAGCAGGTAGGTGCACCATTCAATTATCATCCATTATAAAAAAAAACCCGGCTCAGTACAGTCTACCTCGGTATATAACAAAGTCGAAGATAATATTTCAATTTTAATTGAGCATTACACAAACAAACACGATAGCTATTACCAATTTATTACATTCAATAATTCATGGCCATTAACTAAATGTTGTCTATATTCTAATCGGCGTAAATAATTATTCGGTATTTTAACAAACGCAAGATTTTCAAGAAACCAGCTGTCTCATAACAAAACAGGTTTTAAGATCTCTTCGAGGAATAATAACTTTATCTTATCTTCTCTCAATTTCACAGTATATAAACGTAGCTCAAGATATACGTATATAATAAATAGTTTTTAATAAACGTAATTCTAATGTTGTCAGTATATAGTTCAGAAATTAATCTCATTAAGGGTTTAATTTATCAAATGCATTTATTGTCAAGTACAGTATCTACTCTATTTAATATGGATTGCATAAAAAATAATAATGAATCATACTAACCTTATTCGTTACTTCTTTTTATTGACGTACATACACGTGAACGACGGTATGAGAGATGATGATGATGATGATGATGAACGACGGGGCGGTCATCTTATATACAAACTGTTTTTTAATGGTGATAGTTGAATGGTGCACCCGCCTTCGCTAACAGTATTCGCTGGCGGGGCACAAGTGAAAGGGCACCGTGAAGTTAGGCCAGTTAGCTGATCGTGGTGAATTCACTAAGAATTGACAATTATTAACAATACCTTCTCAAGCTATGTTGTACACTAGTAGAATAGTAATGATTTGAGCCTCACAGTCTGTATATAGATATTTTTTACAGGATCTGTATAGTGAGGACTAATGTTGTGGACGTCGCTAATGGTGCGAGGATGCGCGAGGAGGAATTGGAGGTGGCGCTGAAGGTGGTGATCGTGGGGGACGGTGGAGTTGGCAAGTCCAGCATGATTCAGCGCTACTGCCGTGGGACCTTTACCAGAGACTATAAAAAGACTATAGGCGTTGACTTCCTTGAACGTCAAATTGAGTAAGTACACTTATATATAGAAATTTTACCGCCTGTTTTAGTTTTAAAATAAATTTATTTGATTGATAGATAGATAAATTCTTAATTCACCAATGACAGATAGTTTTTTGGCTCCTGTACTTATTCTACTTATACTTATTACTAAAAATATACATGAATATGAATTAAACTTCTAACTGTTTAATATGTGAAGGCAATTGCATATTATCACAACAATAATTGCTCATGAAATAACGTTTAAAATATAAAGCAAAACTAAATTTGAATACAATTTTCTTCCTTGTAATTTTACTGCCATACAATACTTTATAAGCCGTTTTACAATATACTGGAAGCAACAAAGAAAAATCTCACAGAAAATACCTATATGATTTAATAGCTAAAATCAACAATTTATGAAAAAGTAAATACTCGCTTGATATTTGTTGCACATATTTGCGACAGGCACACAAAAATATTTAGGTACATCTACATACCTACCTACGTAACTAGTTTTTTTTATAAATAAGTAGTTGCACAAAGTTTGGCCAAACAAGTATTTTTTATTATACTGAGAATGTCAAACAGATTGTACTTCACATAGAAAAAGGTAAATGTTGATTAGCTATCATTAATCAGTTATGTTCTTGAAATTAATACTGGTATTTTGTTGAAATTAGTATGTACTGGATACAATGGATCATTTTTCAAAACCCTCTCCGCAATACGTTTCCGTACAGAATTCTATATAATTTCACTGCCGCACCACATCACCCTAATAATCTAGACAAATATATGTTTCACATCGCAATGGGCTTACAGAAAAAGTAAAATAAATGAAATAAAAATTAAATACCAGCGGATAGAGCACTGTCCTGCCCTGCCCTGTGTTCTGCGTTTATTTTTTTCCAAGTATTCTAATGGTGATTTTTGTAACTGGCTTTTACACCGTACCGGATGAAAATGGGTGCGAGTGCAGAGGGCACTCCAAATCCATGAAAGAACTTAGAGAATGCGCCGAAAACCAAATCCTACAGGAGCCCGTCATAATATCGATTACCCGTTGGAATTGCATAGGAAATCGATAGTTAATTGTGTAGCTCATTTTACATATTATATTTGAATCCAACTAATAGGAGAAGCGATTGTTATTGATGTGAACTAATAACCCCATTGCTAACAATGTACCAAGTCAGGTTGACCTCCACACGGTTCCCCTGGAAACCATTGTGTTAAATTTCTAGTGAATTTAACACAATGGGCTAAAAGACCTGACCTCATGCGCATCTAATAATCCTCCACAGATGCTCCGCCAGCGTAAACCGTTAACGTTGCATCATTCTATTAACATCAATAAAAAAATCCAAATAACAGTAAGGGGTTTGTTAGTAACATGAACTGTTAATCCCATTGCTAGTATTCCCGTTGTTAGTAGTTTCCCATTGCCAATGTACCATGTCAGATTGACTTCCACGCGATTCCCCCTGGATATCACACGATAAGTTCGTGGTGAATTTGTTACGATGGGCTTTATTTTACGTTCATCTTATCATCCTCCCTGGTGCTCTTTCAGCGTAAACCGTTAACGCAGCCAAGTGTATTGTTCCATTAGAAAAATCTAACAAAACATGAGTTACTTGCCGTCTCTTTACTTTACACGCAACACGTAATATTTTATTAAAATCCGTTCATTTATTTAGTCGTGAAAAGCTAATAATCAAGGCGTCCACCTTTTGAATTTAAAATACAGTAGGTATGGATTCAATTTCAACAGAATTGTTTTTAACTCAGTTTTAAATAACTTGTTTATCATTCCAGAAAATATTAGTAGATATGGATTAAATTTCCTCAGAAAAAAGTGGAACTCAAACTTAAATAACTTACTTATGATTTCCAGAATAGACGCTGAGGAAGTGCGACTGATGCTGTGGGACACGGCGGGACAGGAGGAGTTCGATGCAATCACCAAGGCGTACTACAGGGGTGCGCATGCGTGCGTGCTAGCCTTTTCTACCACGGATCGAGATTCGTTCTTGGCCCTACACTCATGGAAACTTAAGGTATTTTCAATATATCTTGTGGTATGCATGCTACTGGTATACAGTATATCTTATGGTATACTGTATACCGGTAGCATGCATAGAAAATTAAAAATATGTAGTCAATTTATCTATGGGCTAATATGGAATAATGCCAATGGAACGAAGCAGAGCTTATATTGTGAGTACTAGACAACTGATATATATACTGTTTTTTTTTTAATACATACATAATACGGTATACAAGAATACAAATGTTTGTACCGTGCGAGGAATCGAACCCAAAACCATCGGAAGTAAAGCTGTGTAAAAAACACTCGATCACCGAGGCCGTCAAATAAGAGTTAAGAATAATTTTAAGAGATAAAATAATATTTTTATACAACATACACCGTGGCCTAGCTCGGTGGTCTACCGTTTCTACACTATTTTTTTTTTCAAGAAGGATATATTAAGGTTTCTTAAGGGTCGGCAACGTGCATGTGACATCCTTGGTGATTCAGGCGTCCATAGGCTACGGTAACCGTTTCAGATTGGCCTTATGCTTGTTTGCCACCTACGTGGTATAAAAAAAAACACAGTTTATTGTGATTATGTAACATAAAAAAATATTTTATTCTATCTCATCAATAATTATTGTTTCTCATCAAGAAAGTATTCGAATGTATTCTGTGATATCTACTAATTCAGACTACTATTCTTACTTACTGTTTCTTATAAGAATATGTACAGATTTTCTTAAAAGGAAAGTAAAATCGTGATCTTATTTCGCGTTTCGCGATCTTGAATTATCAAATAAGTGTAACTACTTGACTACATGACACTTTTTTGATAAATTTAAGTAGTTGAAAGGCATATTATTCCAGAGTAACATACACTATATATTATGCTGAAATATATAAAACTCACAAAGCTGTGGGGTGAACCCGGGACAGATTACTAATAATACCTGTAGGTATACAACCTTATCAAATATTCTACAGTGAATGACCGAGACACGTCTATGGTCGTTGTATAGAAATAAAATTATTTATATGCTTGTGGCTTAAATTTGCTCGACAAACAATTTTTTTTTTCAAATTTATAGTTGGTTTAGCAATTAGTACCTATTAATATACGCATATGTTCTATCAACGTTTAATTAGACATAGGTAAAAATATAGGATGAGATTCATTCATTTTGTAAATATTCTAGCATTTATGCTATATTTATACAGAATGCAATTTTATGCGAACTTAGCTTAATGCGTTCCAATATTATATTTCCGTGATGCGATAGTATTGAAACAGTAGGTAATTATGATATGCAAAAGGTCGTGACTCCGATTTCGACCACATATGTATCCGAATACGCAGTGATCGCACACACATTTAAAACATAATAAACGAACGTTATCTTGTTTTACACTGTTTCTATTATTTTGTGTTATATACGAGTGTATTTGGACAATATAACAATTAACGAATAAACAATACTTTCGCATAATGCCGGAGAAGAGAAGTGTCAGTTTATTGTTTTACGTTGTCTTAATATATGGACCAAATAGTGCTAGAACGTTCGGGAATGTTGAACACTGTATAGACTACTACAAAACCAGAGATAATTTCAATTTAGCTGATCTGGAAGGTAAACATTATGCAGTTTATTACTGGCCTCCGATGCAAAGAGATAGAGATAGCTGTGCGCTGTATAACTTCAAGATACTAAATCAATATGACATTGAAAATGCACTAAGCGGATGCAACAACACATTGCCATCAAACACTTCAGTGGTACAAGCGAAATACGTGAATACTTTTGGGAAGAATGTTACACTGCTTTATTATGGAAACGAAGAAGTGAAATATATGTATTTGTCCTGCCATCGTATCTCAAGATATATTTTTATCAGGCTGAATGATAACTACGTGCTAGGTATCAACTGTTCAGCCGCAGGGCGTGGAATGCTGTTGTCTAGTACTTTACCTTCAGCAATGGAAGTGCAGTCAATCGTGAAGAGTACGGATTTCATGGCAGGCCGTGAAGGGGGATCAGATTGCAACTTAAGACCGTTTTGAATTATACCTTGTGTAATATATACCATCTACTTTTAAACAATAATGTTTGATTTTGTAATTCCCTTAACAAATTAAAATAAAAGAGGCAATAAATGGTGCCCGGTGAAATTATTAAGGCCTTATATGGTCAACAGTGCTGTACTAATAAAATAGAGGCAATATAATTATTAAATGTATATATAGTATTTAAAATTCATCCTTGCTAATATTATAAATGCAAAAATAACTCTGTCTGTCGCACTTTCACAACTAACTACCCGATTTAAATGAAATTTGTTACACAAATAGTCTAGACCCTGAGAAAGGATATGGGCTACGTTTTAATGTGAAAAATTGGTTGTAAGGGAGACGAAAGGTTATATGGAAGTATCATCATTTTTAAAGAAGCTCAGAACTTATTTTTTAAAACTAATGTCATGGCTCATCCCAATAAATCTAATATGATCATCCCAAATCTTAGAAGTACATAAATTAATTTAATGGAATCAAATTATTTATTTGCTAAATATGGCCTCGGTGGTCTAGCGGTTTCCGTGCAAGCATTTAAAATCATGGAATTGGTGGTTGTATAGGTCTGGGTGTATTATATGTATATAATATATGTATTTCCAAAAAAAATATCTAAGTATTTATATCAGTTGTTTAGTACCCATAACACAATCTCTGCTTACCCTGGCTAGATGGCGCTGTATTAATTGTTCAGGGTGATTTAATATTTATTTAACAATATTGAATATTACGTCTAGTGTATAAAGCTAATCTCATTATAATAGGTACATTGCAACGCTCGAGATATTTCATGAATTGATGAATAGAAGGTTCTTATAACACTGTACCTGTAATATTTAAGCTATATCTCACATTATAAAAGAACACAGCTCTAGGAAATTTGTATATTATTTATAGAGATACCTACATCAATAGCTAACTTATTATAAAATGTATGTAACACGGTATAATAATATGTAAAAAAACTACTAGATACTAATAGCCATAGACAAAATTAACGTATCATAATTGACTATCTGCATGATTTATTATTATTCTGAATATTGCATCTCTTCAAGTAAATTATTTTTTCAGGTGGAGAACGAATGTGGGGAGATTCCAACTATAATAGTTCAAAATAAAATAGACTTGATGGATCAATGCGTCGTGGGACCGTAAGTATATATATTTTATTTAAAAAAACATTTAATAATTAGGATTAAATTTAGTGTTGGAAATATACCTACTGAAAATTATATGCTGACGTTTAGGTATTAAAAAAATATAGGTACTTGCTTTAAGTTAAATATATTATATCAATGTATACCTATATATGTGTGTGTATTAATATCCATTTTGCTTATTAAATTTCTATTTATTGGGTATGAACAATTAATTAAAACGTTCTGTATTTTATATATATATATATGAACCTTTGTATACAATTTTTATTCTTGTTAGCGAAAATAACGTTACCCATTACTCATTTAGAATTAACACTTATCTCATTTCCTATTTCGTGATTATCCTGCTTGAGAAATACATAAAAATAATTATTAGTTGTTAATTACTGGGTGTGTATATTATTTAGTTTAATTTCGATACCATTCAATAATATCAATCCATAAAATTGATGAAATGGATTTGCACTAAAAGGAAAATATACACAAACAAATACCATAAATATGCTGGTATGTTGGTCACAAGTATATTTTTTTTATAGACACCACAGATAATATAATATTACATTAAACCATACATACAAATAGATATTGACGAGAAGAGTCTATAGATGGACTATCACTATTTCGCAAATGATAGCCTATCTCCTTTCACTAGTATATTGTATCTATGTATATCAAATTGAATTTTGATATAGGTACAATTTACTAGTGAATGTGGAATGATTGGTCTTTGAATTTCTTTATTATTTACATTAGATAAAAGTTCATACTTATGTTTTTTAGATATTACAATAAACGATAATACGAATGGTTTATCTGTTTGTTTACTCACTGAAGGTTACAATTATAATTATTACAGATATTACTAGTATATGTTTCCCATAACAGTATGTACGAAACTACGAGTACTTATAGTACAATTATCCAATACACAATTTAATACTTATTACCTTTTGACTAAATTCTACTTTGTCGATGGCAAGCTGTGCAATTATAAAAGGTATCAGTGGACATCATGTCGAACAATTCTTCATGTCCGTTGTATTCTTAGTGATGAGGCGGAGCTGGTGGCGCGTGCGCTCGGCTGCCGCCTGATGAGGGCATCTGTGAAAGAAGATGTGAATGTGGGCGCGGTATTCCGCGCGCTCGCCGCAAGGTGCCTGGCGGATATGCGTCGGGAGGACTCCGATGAAATTGCACCACCGTGCGTTTCGCCTGTCATTGGTACATATTTTTTTATATATAGAATATAGTTATATATACATGGAATATGCCACTTGAACTTATTAGGCTTGTGTATGCATACGGTCTTATTGGACTTATGTAGTCAATCCTCAATTAAACTACAAAAGAAATAGTAAAGTACCTATAAATAATTCCAAAAATTATATATTTATTTACTAGAATACATGTAATGGACCTTAAAATATTATACGAAACAAATACTGACGTTGTCATTGTATCTTATGAATATTTTTATGTGGTATGTTGAGATAAGAACTCATAATAAAACTATACATGTTAAGATCTGATTAACCATATTATTAACTAATTTATATCAGCTGTCTAGTACTCATAACACAATATCTGCTTAGCTTGGGACTAGACGGCGCTGTATGAACTGTCCAGGGTCATTTCATTTTTATAAAAAAAAACTAGCTCAGACCGCGACAAATTAAAGGTATACAAAACCTTTAATTTTTCTTTGTAAACCGATTGGAAATAATTAGAATAAACTCTATATTTTAAATGAAGCTTAGCATAGTACATTAGTCAAAACTGGTCCCAAATTAGTTAATCCGTTTCTGAGAATATTTCGCACAAACATTGATAAAATCCCCTAACAATAGTATTTCTCATATATCTCCCGTAATAGCGATTATTACATGTATAGAATTAGAATTTGTTGTCAAACTAACTTTCTAATATTATTACTATTTGTAGGCACATTCACAAACCAAAACAGCAATGGGACCATACTCCTGAGACCTGTGAAGCATAGACCGGGCGGCAAGAAGAAAAACGTGCTCAAAAATGCTTGCAGGATACTATGATTGATCGCCATCCACATCAAATTACCATGTCACGGAACAGTGGCCTTTAATAACGTAGTTAATAAAGCTACATTTTGATTGCAAAATGTGAATGTGCGGACAGTGCTGTGCTAAACATTTATTTAATTGCAATGTGTTTTAATGAAGTGTTATAAGACATTTTTTAATGTGACGCTCGCTGTATACTGTAGTCGATGGATTTTTTTAAATAAGTGAAGGTATCTACTGCACATATTCACTTTTGTCCAAGTATGGGTATATATTTTTTTTGGTTCTGTTGATCCTTAAAAGGAAAGGCAACTGCGCTCATACATGAGTATATAATCGGAATTCAATGACATTTAAGATGTTCAATATAATTATAAATCACATCCGCCACAAGCATAGCCTTTTTTGAAGCCGATAGGATCGCCTTTAGTAATAATTGGATCTAATAGACGATATAGTTGGTTGAGGTTTCATAAATAACATTATTTACGAAGCTCTCGAATTCGAATCGGACACTATATTATGATTTCTATCAGTTGCTTAGTGGCTATAGTACAAGCTCTGGTAAATTTCTGACTAAACTTTACGTATGACATATCATGGGTTATTTATCTTAATAATGCAGGGGATACGACTTAATATTATAATTAGTTAAATGTATACAAACACTGAACAAATTTAACCGATTATAAATAATAAGAAGGAAGAAAGACGAGTGCCATCTGTGAAATAGATGCGACATACTGACGCGGTTTGCGTTCGCTCCATGCAGTCATAGAGCTATTTGTTATAGACACATTTCTGTGTATATCTAGTAGATCAGCAGGTCTACATACTATATACTTTGAAATCTAATTTCGATATCTATTTTATCCAGATTTGAATCTAATCCAGTTTTGTGAAAAATAATCTATAGTAATCTTTCATTGGGCACAGAATATGGTGCTAGTGTATGATGTTAAAGGTATAGAAAGATGGAAAACTACGCAATACAATGTCATGTATCTAAATACATGATAATCTAAAGATTTTTCATTATTTTAATGTCCGTAAATCAACCCGTTAGAAGGAGCATCTTGGGACTGGCATTATCATATTATGATAAAAGTCCCTAAATAAATCTATGATTAAAAAAGGACATCTGGAAATTGGGATAAACAACATGATGAAAGCCGCGGACAAAAGCTAGTGTATATTATAATATGCAAAGTGCAATCAATTTAGTAACTAACAATATATATTCTATTTACAAAAATTGTTTATAGGACATACCATTCTCCTTCACATATTTGAATTGTATTTCTTTCAAGGTAAATTTATCAATATAAACATGTAAATTACCTCAGTTTCTATTATACCACTTAATGGTAAAAACAGTACCAAGCGGGTGCGGTATATATTTTAATTATATATTAATTTGCCCACTAATATCATTGAAGTTATTTTGAGTTCATAAAATAAATCAGTGGTGTTGGTGATAACACGACCAACTGATATTATAATATTTTAGTCATTATTATGTAACATGTGAAATGATCATAACAACGAAGTTATGTAAATATAATGTAGAATAATCCATTTATTATAAATAAATAAATTATTTTTTAAACTTGACTTTTTTTGAATCGCATAAAAACGTTTTCAATATTTTGGAATTAACAAAAATCTATATCTATACTCCTCTTCAATCAAGATTTTACCAAATTTATAATTTTAAGCTAGCCCGGCTGTACATGTATTATATATACAAACCTTCCTCTAGAGTCACTCTATTAAACTTTAAAGATTATATTAAGCATACATAGGGCATACAGACAGCGATAGCAACTTTATTTTTTACTATGTAATGATTAAAGAGTAACAAAAAGACAAACATACATTAGCCATTAATTTATATCAAAAAAAATACTTCAACAAATTTCAATAAAATCATAACTGAAACTGTCGACAAGATCTTTCAGAAAAGTTACAAACTAAAATGGACCTTCCATACCCCGTGCGTCCATAATAGCGTGATTTTAAAAACGGCAGACATTTAAAAAAGTAGAATTTCTATATAAGAAATCGTCTTGAGATTTTAGGTTCTAATTAATGTAATAAAAGCATAATTAATATATCGTATTTATAAATTAAGCATTTTAAATATTCAACTTAAAATTTTAAAAAAATATTAATTTATTGATACCTACCTATAAAATATGAGTAAAATCATTGAAATTCAAGTCTTATTAAAATAAAACAAAAGATATTTTTTTTAATACACGTACATTTTGTAGCTCGTAACATGTAATTTACATAGTTATTTCAAACATAGATATTTTTATGTAACAAACATTATATAGATTTTCTAGTTTGCGTGCATTAGGAATTGTTCACATCGAAAGTACATGGATAGTTATGGAAAGTAAGGATGGATATCACTCTACTGTCATACTTATATTATTCTAGTCATCCATTATGAGACTGAGAGTATTTAAAATATATTTTTTAAAAGAAATTCAAACTAAGAGTGAATTTAACAAGCTTATACTGCTATTCATGATATAACCTCCAGACACGAGATTTAATAGGCACTTTATTTGCAGGAAAATAATTTCCTTTATAATGTTTTTATATATATTCCACAATTCTTTTAAAATAAAGATGGAATTAATTCAAATATGATGTCTATAGTATATAGACCTCAATGTTTAATAAATATATTCTATGACCAGATTCAATTATATATTGGCAAAGTATTATACTTTGTAATTGGTAACTTTAAAAACAATAATCGGCTTATTTTATTTATTTAAATTTTAATAATACCTACCTATATATTTTCAATCACTAGTTTTAAATAGTTTATCTATGAGATGAGTAAGTATTCTTTTCCGATTGACTTATTTTCTTAGTGAATGTGATATCAGTTAAATCTGTTCTGACTGCCGGCTTGGTATACAGGCTTTATGATTAATCCTGTATGACAAGGTGGACGAATAACGAAGTAATTAGAAACTTTGACAAACAAAAGTGCATTATCACTAGAAACACTATTAATAAACTTACATTATATGTATTTAGTAATTTAAAAAATATATTATTAACCCAGGAATATATTATTAAATGAAGCCAGAATCACCTAAGAACATATGAAAATAGTAAGTCCACGTTTTTTTTATTTTTATGAATAAAGGTATATAAATCCATAGAATTACTATAATGGTTTATCTTTAGCTACCACAATTGTTAAAGTTAGTAACCACTGTCATGGAACTGAGAGAACACCAAACAGAGACATGTCCACCATACAAGCTTAAAACAAGATATATATAGTCGATTAATTACCTTACATCAATTATTTAGTTCAAGAATAAAACGTTGATGGAAAACTTGCATGCTTTAAACGATATTAAATATTTATTTATTATTAGTATTCATTTATTTATATCTAATATTCATTTATCTAAATTTAATAGTCATTTACTTATAATTAATATATATTGCTTTTTATTTAATATTTTGTTTGTGTGGGGTATGGGTTTATGAATGTGTACGCAATGTGTGTGTGTGTGTGTGTCTGTGTGTGTGTGTTACGAATGAGCGAGTATGGTGGCCGCCTCGTTATTGAATAGAAAGTACACACACACAAATAATACATTCTCTTACACTAACATTATCACTTATAATTTACCACTGAATGAAACTTATAGCCAAATATTTATAATATAATTTTGATGAGAAAATTAGGCTATTTGCAACATATTGACAAGCTTGTTACGAATCAAGTCCTCGACTCACTAACACGTAGTAACTTCAATTTGGCGAAATAATCTTGGAGGCCCTGCAGACGTTTCTTTACACGTTTCTGGTCGTCCAGCGTGCAGCCCAGGATGGCGGTCTCGAAGTTCTTGTCGGTACCGGTACTGGGGTCCGGCTGTGAGGAGCACGCATTTATATACATCTGACAACGCGTGTGTGCAACCACTGCATCTTCTTGTACGGACACTACCAGTTGATCTATGTATATGTTTACCTGAAAGCACAGTTAACATAATATATTACTAACTTGAATACAAATATCGAAATTACTCTCTCTCGCAGAAGACTTTGATGTTATCGAATTGTTTACTTTATTGTCATTAAAATTTATTAAATTAAAGATACTACTATATACTGAATACTATAAGACCTCAGTGCCGTCACGACAATTATATCAAACGGGATAGTCAGAGACATGTCAATTGTCGAGATGACATGTCAACCGCAAAACCGTAGTTCTTTCTTCTAGATTATTATAGTATTTTTATATTTATTTATTATTTATTTATACTCTCTAATGCACTACATTCAATAAATATTTATAATAATTCATTTACATTAACTAATACAAAAGACGGTCTTATCGCTCAAAGCAATTACAGATAATCTGGTAGAGAAGTGTAATTATATACAGAGAATTGACATTGGGCATTGACAAATATGTGCTATTTAAAAATAATATAATAATAATGATATCTCTAGACAATTCCCACAGCGTCATCTAGTACCAAGCTAAGCAGTGCTTGTGTTATGGTTACTAGACTACTGATATAAATAGATAGATACTTAAAAAAAAATACATACATAATATATATAGAAAACGCCCAGACTGATACAAACAATAATAAATATACTCATGATTACTAATGTTGATACCGTGCGAGGAATTGAATTCGCGACCATAGGAAATAAAACTAAACCACTAAACCACCAAGGCTATCAAAATAAAGAAAATAATAATATACATATAGACATATTACAGACATGCTATTTTGTTCATATTGATAGAGAACAAGAAGAAATTTATGTATAGTTGGAATTACAGAGGAGCGGTAATGGGATTTGAAAAGATTTTTATATTCTGCAAATACTCATTGAATCGAGCGTGAAGGAGTTCCAGGGACGATCGGCCTGTACAATAAAATAAATAGTATAATATATATTAATTATCTTGAATATTACCTGATGCAGTGCCTCCTCCTGCTGCGAATCCCGGTCGGTCCTCACTGCTACCTCGACGGTCATCGCCCGCGCCAGGATCCGTTCTGCGTATTGCATTATTTCATCCTTGTCGCCTATAAACAAATATATTTAATTACATATTATCTTTATTATGTTTATTATATAATACATTTACGTCCGCCCGAAGCAGGGGCGGGTAGCTAGTAATAAATAAAAAGGAATATATTCAAATTTAAATAATATTAATTGTATTTAATTTGTTTCGAATTTTAATTTGAAATCCACGTACAATCTCTGTGACTAATGCACTGTACTAGATTGTAGGAAAACACAATATGAAGATAATGTTTAAAAATTACTGGAATTGTTATTTTGATAAGATTTCCCTGTGATAAAGAATTTAATGTTTACATATCACTACATAGTATAAAACAAAGTCGCTGTCGCTGTCTGTCCGTCCACATGTATACTTAAAACTTTAAAACTACGTAACAGATTTTGAAGTGATTTTTTTAAAATATAAAGTGATCAAGAGGAAGGTTTATATGTTTAATACATTCATAATATTGTAGAGAAACACTGATAAATTTAGAGACTTCTAGCACACGGTACGATTTTATTCTTTCTAATTTTATATGATTTAGTAAATTACTAGTCGAGAAATTTTGTAAAATAATAATTTGATATTTTTTCATGCTAAGTGTTAGATGAATTCGAATAAAATTTTACATACATATACATTATATACTCATGAGATCTAATTCTAAATTATCACAGGGAATATTTTTACCTGATTTCATTTATGCACGGTATACAGATAGTACTATAATTTTCTTTTTTATTACCGTTAAGAATATTAGAATAAGACCGTTAGCATTGCGAATAAGCTGACGGTAAACTTGAAGGTAAGCAGTAACCGTTGCTTATATGCATGAACAACGCTACGATCATCGTGTTAACATGTCAACAACACCACTGATACCACATGTGCGTTGCCATTCCAGAAGACTAAGATGTAATGCCTCTTATTTCATGTTTCACTGCTTAATCTACACTGTCCTACAGAAATACAGCTTATAAATGAAGCTGCTTGGCGGCAGAAATAGGTGAGACTTATGTACCCACGCAGACGAGTGTTCAGTCTTCTTCTGAACTGATAATCTAACTGAAATCTAACTGATATTGAGAACTTTAGAGAAGAATTATTTAAATGGAAACTTACATTCGCTGACATCGTTTAGCAGGTCTGAATGCTTGACACTGTCCAATGTGAAGAGTAGGGAGTCCCTTTCTTCCTCGATGCGCACTGTGTCACGTCGCAGTCGCTCTAGACGCATCTCCACTTGGTCCAGAACAGCTATCAGTCTGTGCGAAGTACTTTCACATTTAGCATTCTTATTACTTTCCATTTTGGAAGATTCCATCCGTCACCACCCGGCCAGACATTTACATCTGCTTGCTTTAGCACGAATATTCTTAGTGAAACACATTATAAATATACTGTCCTAACGAAACGCGTTCGAATTTTCCGTTTCAGTATATATTCTATAAAAGACAGCGATTAATAGATATATAATTATACGTAATTTCTAAATAAGATTAGATATAAGCAGAGATAGATAGAGATAGGTAATAAATATTTGATATTTATTATTTTATATATAGTATAATACCTAGAAAGTATGGCGACACATCCTCATACAACGGCGATCGGATCGGACCACCAAACATGACGCAAGAAGGTGCTTGCTATGAAACACACCTGCGTCGAGTCTGCACTCCAATTCCCATCACTACAGAGTTCGCAAGGACCAGCGGACGACACTGATTGGATTATGAAAAACTTAAAACGGTGGCGCTGCTGACCTCCGCCAGAGGCTTTTTCATAAATCAATTCGTCAGAAGGGACATCTTGCGACTGGCATAATCATATTAAGATGAAAGTCCCTAAACAAATCTGTGATTAAAAAAAGGTTATCTGGAAATTGGGATAAAGATCATGATGTAAGCCGCGGACAAAAGCTACTGTATAATATGCAAAGTGCAATCAATTATATGTACCTAACAATACATACTCTGTTTACAAGAATTGTTTATAGAACGTACCGTTCTCTTTCACATATTTCAATTGTATTTCTTTCCAGGTAAGTTGATAATTATAAACAGGTAAATGAACTGTTTCGATTATACCACTTGATGGTAAAAAACAGTGTCAACCAGGTGCGTTATATATTTCAATTATATATTAATTTACCCACTAATCTCATTGAAGTTATTTTGTGTTCATAAAATAAGTCAGTGGTATTAGTGACAAAACGACCAACTGATATTGTAATATTTTAGTCATTATTATGTAACATGAAGTTATGTAATATACTGTAGAATAAACCATTTTACATAAATAAATAAATTATTTTTTAAACTTGACTTTTTTTCAATCGCATGTTTATGTTCTGGAATCTTGACCTTTTGGTCACTTCACAAAATCTCATAATCACAAAAATTCGAAAATGTACACCATTTTGAATAATGAAAGGGTGATGAAAAGACAGATAAATTAGCCATTAATTTATATTAAAAAAAATAGTGCAACAAATTTCAATAAAATTATAACTGAAACTGTCGACAAAGATCTTTCAGAAAAGTTACAAACTAAAATGGACCTTCCATACTCCGTGCGTAATAGCGTGATTCTAAGAACGGCAGACATTTAAAAAAGTAGAATTTCTATATAAGAAATTATCTTGAGATTTTAGGTTATAATTAATATAATAAAAGCTTAATTAATGTATTGTATTTATAAATTAAATATTTGAAATCTTCAAGTTTATTAGATAAAAAATATACATATATTAAATTATTGATATACTGACCTCTAGCAAAAAGCTAAAAGTTTCACATTACAAAATTTACTAAAATTAAAAAAAAACATATCACCACGCTATAACACAAGGAATATAAAAACGCTAACCATAAAAAATATTAAATCTCCAACGATACAATTCATATTTTTAAAATGCGTGCCTTTAATGGAGGCTGTGCAAATGTACGAGTACTATACATTTTAAGTTAAATGCATAATTTTTAAATTATATTATAGTAAAATGTCTAAGTAATCTATTATATTTTAACTACTCATCTGTACGGACATTGTAACAAATTACGAATGAATTTAGAAAAAAAGACCGTATATATTTATCAAATTATAAGTAAAATTATTGAAAAACAAGTCTTATTAAAATAATGCAAAAGGTATTTTTTTTAATACACGTACATTTTGTAGCTCATAAGGTACACGTACACTAAGGAAATATATATATTTCCTTAGTTTATTTAATTATTTCAAACACAGATATTTCTATGTAACACTCTATTAAATAGATTTTCTAGTTTGCGTGCTTAAGGAGTTGTACACATTTAAAGTTGATATTTACTACCAGTCGAAATATGATACATATGTAACTAATGGATATCACTCTACTGTCATTCTAATATTATTCTAGTCATCCATTAACAAACTGAGAGTATTTGAAATATTTTTTTTTATAGGAATTCAAACTAAGAGTGAATTTAACAAGCTTATACTGCTATTCATGATATAACCTCCAGACACGAGATTTAATAGGCACTTTATTTGCAGGAAAATAATTTCCTTTATAATGTTTTTATACATATTCCACAAAAGTTCTTTTAAAATAAAGATGGAATTAATTCAAATATGATGTCTATAGTATATAGACCTCAATGTTTAATAAATATATTCTATGACCAGATTCAATTATATATTGGCAAAGTATTGTACTTTGCCTTTGTAGTTGGTAACTTTAAAAACAATAATCGGCTTATTTTATTTATTTAAATTTTAATAATACCTAACTATATATTTTCAATCACTAGTTTTCAACAGTTTATCTATGAGATGAGTAAGTACATCACTTGTCTAAGCAACTTCTTTAAATTTTACATATTGATACGCCCTCCACGATATTCATGCAGCCAATAATATACTATTATAATTAAACAATAAAATAAATCACTGCAATTCTCTGTACTATAAACGTATGGTTTAATAAGACAGTTAACAGTAAGCACCTTTGCTCAAAAATATCACTTAATTAAAAAAAAAATTGATTGCATGTTTCAAAATACATCATAGCTTTAGCTCAATTAATTATAGCATATATAAATAATATGTGGTTCAATAATGTAGATAATTTCTAATGAGAAAAAATAATATTTAAAATGCATTATTTCTTGTTATTTTTTTTTTTGTGGTGCCATTACTTGAGTGGAGGGGCAGTATTACTAGTTACATTTATTTTATCTATTTCAGAGAATTGCAGTATTTCATCTTTGCGCTGTACAAGAATCATTTCACACAGTCTTCTTGTGTTTCCTCACACCAACCACAATCATAGAACATCACTGAGATACCATTACACACATAGCATTATATAAACTTATAAGGGATTAATTAAACAGAATACACTATGCCAAAAGTCAGTCTCAATACTATCTTAAAAGACCGGCAACGCACTTGCAATTCCCCTGGTGTTACCTAATTATCCGCAGGCCCGTTTGCTTACGTAACATTTATATAGTTTGTATTCATTTATAAAAATGGATAATATTGAAGAACCTAATTACACAAAAATATTTTTAAGGCTTAATTCGACCTGCACTGTCATGTGATCTTTAAATTTTTTCCGATTCGCTTTTTTTCTTAGTGAATGTGATTTCAGTTAAATGAGTTCTGACTTTCGGCATGGTATACAGGCTTTATGATTAATCCTGTATGATAAGGTTGACGTATAACGAAGTAATTAGAAACTTTGACAAATATAAGTGCATTATTATATATAAGACTATTAATAAACTTATATGTATGTAGTCATTTAAAAATATATTGTACCAACTGAAGCCAGGATTAAATAGGTACATACGAAAATGGTAAATCCACATTTGTTTTATTTCTATGAATTATTTACTATAGAAGATATTTATAGAATTTCTATAACGTTTTATTTACAAAAGTATACAGCTATCACATTTGCCAAAGTTAGTAACCACTGCCATGGAACCGAGAGAACACTAAACAGAGATATGTCCACCATACAAGCTCAATATAAGATATAGTATTTTAATTACCTTACATAAATCATTTAGTTCAAAAATAAAATATTGATGGAAGAATTGCTTGTATAAACAATATTTAACATTTATTTATTACTAGCTGTTCCCGCGACTTCACCCGCGTGGAATTTAACTTTATTTTTTTTTAATAAAAGTAGCCTAAGTTACTTCTTATTACATCAGCTACCTGCCAAAAAAAGTCCTGTCAAAATCGGTCCAGCCATTTCAGAGATTATCCGGAACAAACAGATCGACAGACAGACAGACAAAAATTATAAAAAATGTTATTTTAGTATATGTACCATATATATATTCATATGCATGTAGTAAAATACGGTTATTTCAATATTACAAACAGACATTCCAATTTTATTTATATGTATAGATGTATAGATTAGTATTAATTTATTTGTAATAAATATTTATTTATTTATATTTAATATTTTGTTTGTGTGGGGTATGAGTTTACGAATGTGTTATATGCTTGAGCGAGTATGGTGGCCGCCGCGTTATTGCATATAAAATATACACACACACACAAATAATCCGTGTCTGTGCACACAAATCTAAGTTATAAATAGTTTCAATCTATTTAATAATACATTCATGTACACTAACATTATCACTTATAATTTACCACTGAATGAAACTTATAGCCAAATATTTCTAATATAATTTTGATGAGAAAATTAGGCTATTTGCATGTCAACTTTGTTGCAATAGTAGTTTTTTTTACACAATTGTAATTTAAAGATATGCACTAAATACAGTGAAATATGTTCAACTATTATTCTATACTGCCGTTATATATCTCGAGCAATTTAATTATATTTACTTATACAAAATTAAATCAACTAATTTTATATTAGACTATACCAAAGACGAAAGTAATAGATAATGTACAATTAGTAACCTAGATCACTTGAACGCAACACTAATAGGCAATTAGAAGGAAAACGTATCACTGTCGGTGGTCCAACGCTGCACAAATAAGAGGCTGGCAATATAAACAAAGAACACTCAGCGTATGACAAGCTTGTTACGAATCAAGTCCTCGACTCACGAACACGTAGTAACGTTCAACTTGGCAAAATAATCTAGGAGGCCCTGAAGACGTTTCTTGACCCGTTTCTGGTCGTCCAGCGTACAGCCCAGGATGGCGGTCTCGAAGTTCTTGTCGGTACCGGTGCTGGGGTCCGGCTGTGAGGTGCATGCATTCATATACATCTGACAACGCGTGTGTGCAACCACTGCGTCTTCTTGTACAGACACTACCAGTTGATCTATGTACATGTTTACCTGAAAAAATTAATGTTCAATTGGTATAATTTAATTTTTATAATTAAATAAACTCAATTTCGAGCTCATTTTGTAGCATTTTTTTTTTGTATTATTGCCCCTGTCACTAAGATTAAGTTTAAATTGAACAAGTAACTAGGTACTTCACATTAATAGCTAGTTTCTTATACTAAAAAGTAAATATTTATAATTATATAATAATATATATTTTGGTCCCCACAACCATAAAGGCCAAAACTATAAACATTTTTAACCATAAATACGACCCACACTTTTTTTTCCTTTCTTCCCGGATGTCAATTTCCAGGCTTTCTACTTTTTTGAGGGACTATTCTAATATATATATATATATACTAATTCCACAGTTTACATTTTCGGACTTATTGTAATATTAAAATGAAATACCAATAAGTTAGAAAGTAAGAACTTTCTAACTTATTGGTATTTCATTTTAATTTACATTTTGCCTCTTTTCTCTTTACATTTCCTTATCCTCTATTCCTATTTCTGCTCTGTTTGCTATTCTTACTTTACTTTACACTTGTTCTATTTTAACCGACTGTATAGTCACTATACATCGTAAAATATGCTTACTTGCTATTGGTCTTTGCAACTTTTTCTATTATTTTTCTGGCGACGATACGACCCACACTACTTCCATTAGCAAAATACTATAATATAATGTTTATTGTACATGATGGTAAAATCAGCTAGTCTTATGGGATATTACACTATCAAAATGTATATCGTCTGTGACCCAATTACATAATATTCATAAAGTTTTACGATATGTTGTTATATTTAGGAGTAAACAATATAGATCAGTTACCACCTACATCTTTTAAATGCCATAAACTTTAGTGCTAACTCAAATTCAAATTCAAGTTCAAAATATCTTTATTCATGTAGGTCTATTACAGACTCTTATGATATGCCAAATCTACCGTCAGTTCGGAATGATTTCGAGATGAGAAGAACTGACAAGAAACTCAGCTCGTATTTTTTTTTAATGTTGTACATATTTACAATAATACCTATACCGAGGGTTACGAATACTACCGGTATTATTTTAATGAAAGAGTAACAAACATACATAACTCACAAACTGTCTCATTTGTTTTGGAATATACAGGTGATAATACCCTGTAACATTTGGACCAGAAACAAATTAATGCTGCTGGAGACGAGAGGATGAATTAGATATGGCCACACACAAAAAGGATATGAGGAACTTTCGTTTCCCTCTGGAATGCATTAGAAATTTCCAATAGAAAGGTATTACCCATGTTTTAATGTTTAGTCATGAACTAGGTGTAAAAAAATGTAATTTAATTCCGGACGAAAAGATGATGATAATAAAGAAAAAAATAATTACACGAAAATACATACTTAAATAAAATAAATGTATAAATTAATTATTATAATTATTTATTGTAATACATTGTCATACAGTCGTAACGTCAAACATACATTTCGTACATACAGTACGAAACTGTTAATATACCTACATAATGTACAGAACCTATTTCGTAATGTAAATTAAACTTCTGTGCAAAATAGATCTGAAACTGATAATCAATAATTACAACACGCCGCGAGTACAATATCAAAACACTATACACGCACTTCCTCATTAGGGGATTTACCATAGTTTTTCGTTGTAGGGGAAACATAACAAGGAAATTCTGAAGTGAGATGACCGCCAGATGATTCAATAATGGATTCTGTAGAAAATTTCACGTGTTCCCTAATTATCTAATGCAGTCAGTCATACGTGGTTTTTTGAAATTTCTATACACTGCTGTTTATAGAAACACTTACTTGAATATAGCATTGTTTTTTCTATAGACCATTCGGAATAGAAATTCAGAAAAAAAATAGAAAAAAGTTTGTGTATTGCTGTTTTAAACAAAGTACCAAATAACAGAAATTCCTAGGAGTCAATATTATATTTTTTTAATACAAATATAGAAAATAATCTTTATCGCGGAAGACTATAATGTTATCTAATTGTTTACGTCATTGTCCTCTTCAGACGAGAAAATTTATTAAATTAAAAAGAGTACTATATCCTGAATACTAAAAGACCGCACTACCGGCACGACAGTTATCTTAAACGGGATGGTCAGAGACATGTCGATTGTCGAAATGACATGTTAACCGCAAAACCGCAGTGCTTTCTTCTAGAAAATTATATTATTTATTATTTATTTATACTCTACATTGCACCAGATACAGAAAATAGTTAAAAGAATAAAATTACATGAACTAATACAACAGATGGTCTTTTCGCTATAAGCAATCTCTTACAGACAACCTGGTAGATGAGTATATTTACATATAGAGAAAAGGATTTGTACGCACATTAGTCATTTATTATATTTAAAAATAATACTATAATAATAATATCACTAGACAATTCATACAGCGTCATGTAGTACCAAGCTAAGCAGAGCTTGTGTTATGGGTACTAGATTATGATATTAATACATAATACTTTAAAAAATACATACCTACATGATAAACATAGAAAACGCCCAGAGCGATACAAACAATAATACTCATGAATACTAATGTTTGTACCGTGCGAGGAATGGAATCTGCGACCATCGGAAACCACCACAGCCGTCAAAATAAATAAAATAATAATATACACATATACATATTATAGACATGCATACTATGTTACACATTGATATAGTAGACTATCGAATCGAGAGTGAAGCAGTTCAAGGGACGATTTGCTTGTACAATGAAGGAATTAATGTAATATTTATTAGTTATCTTGAATATTACTTGATGCAGTGCCTCCTCCTGTTGCGAATCCCGGTCGGTCCTTACTGCCACCTCGACGGTCATCGCCCGCGCCAGGATCCGTTCAGCGTATCGCATTATGTCATCCTTGTCGCCTATAAACAAATATATTTACTTACATATAAGATTATATTTACATAGTATAAAATGAAGTCGCTTCCGCTGTCTGTTCGCTTAGATCTTTTAAACTACACAAGATTTTAATGCAGCTTTTAGCAGTAGATAGAATGATTCAAGACGAAGGTTTATATGTATGATACATGTACGCTCGCGCGAAACAGGGGCGCGTAGCTAGTAGTAAATAATAAAAGTAGTAAAAAACATATTCAAATTTAAAGAATATTTTATTCAAATAATTTTATTCAATTTGTATTTAAAATAAAAACACTTTATGAAGGTAGTGTTTAAAAATTGTTGGAATTGTCAAGTGAATATAAATTCCCTGTCATAAAGAATTTTATTTTTCCATATCAGAACGTGACTATACTAAACTTTGCAACCGGATACTCTTACCACTGTAGGTAGTTAGAGCAAACGTGCTAATCCTCGCCTTTGCTCGTTCAATATTGCTTTAATAGTATTTAGGATAAACATACAAAGATTTTTTGCGAGCATTCAATTTATGCGATCCTTAACGAACTACATATTTACGAATAATTTATTATACGGATCTTTTGTTGTTTTTAATCTAAACTTACATGGTATTTTTTCTAGCTGTGTATGACTTTATAATAATCGACTCCATCTTATCAATACTACATGCATTTTCATGTCGGTTTTTTTGCATCCTTTAACCTTTATATAACTATTATTTATATCACTACCACGGCGTGCCTACTGTTTATTCTACTGTACTAAATCGGGCAAAAAACCTAAGTATTCATTTAGAATAAAATCTATCTATCTAACAAATTTCATTCCAATCCGTCCAGTAGTTGAGTGGACGAGTAACATAATATATCCTCACTTTCACGTTTGTAATAATAATAGGATTAGGTTGTTAGGGCTAAGTATATCAGACGGCCTTGTAGCACTGCGACCTTCGGCGGTCTATTGTGCTCGCTTTGTGTGTTTATAATTATTGTCACTAATAGTTTGCACTGGTCATTATGGCTACTTTCTATCAGGTAGGTCCATGTCAGAAAATATATAGGATTATTTTGCTGCAGAATACGACACAAAGGCTTCGCATACAAGTTACAATTAAAAAATCTCTTTTGCATTTTAAACAAACACAGACATGCCTTTGTAAAAATAACAGGTAGATCGCTGTCTGATTTTACAGACAATGTAAATAGTCTTAGGCGGGGAAGTAAAGGCGATTATTGTAAAGCCTATAGCTTGGACTTTGATAACGGCTGGATCTCCAGACAATATATACTGGAAATTACTAATTAATTGCGAATTCTACGTGACGAAACAATCTGATACAGAAGCTTTCATCAGCATTCTAATAATAGTTTCGTTGTCACCAAACGCAGTAACTAACTTGCATAAGAAACATAATTGCGTTGCATTTTAAATTGTGTTACATCCCATTACATAACTTTCACGTGCATAGTCTAAGTCGGTAGGTACCGTACGATGTAGAAACCACACCCATAGATCATTTATAATGTAGGTACCTATGAATCTAGTAGGTACATAGAATTGACACGTGTATGATATTAGTACAACCACAGATAACATAATGTTACATAGTACTACGTACAATATATCTACTTGGATACTTAATATTTCCAGCACATGGTACTGAATTATATGAAGCTTCTTGTCGACGAAAAACTAGGGGATTTTTTTGTTTGTAATTTTATAATATTTGTTTATTTAATAGTCGAGAAATTATGTGAGGACAATTTGTTATTTTGCATGCATCTGCATGCATCATGCATTGTATGCTAAAAATATTATATGATTCGAATAAAATTTTACACACATATACGTTATACAATCATCAAATAATATTCTAAATTAATACTATTACCTGATTTCACGCATGCACGGAATGTAGCTAGTGCTATAATTTAATTTTTTTTAAACTGAAATAGTAAATAAGCTACACGAACAGAGCTTCGGTCATCACATTACTATTGGCACCTGTGATACCACACGTGCGTTGCCATTCCAGAAGACTAAGATGTCATGCCTCTTATCACTTATCCTATAATTTCACTGCCTAATCCACACTGTCCCACTAAAATACTGCTCACAAATAAATCTGCTTGGCGGCTGAAATAGGTGAGACTCAGGTACCCACGCAGACAAGTGTTCACAGTCTTCTTCTGATATTGTCAACGTTAGAGAAGAATTATTTAAATGGGAACTTACATTCGGTGACATCGTTTAGCAGGTCTGAATGCTTGACGCTATCCAATGTGGAGAGTAGGGAGTCCCTTTCTTCCTCGATGCGCACTGTGTCACGTCGCAGTCGCTCTACACGCATCTCCACTTGGTCCAGAACAGCAATGAGTCTGTGCGAAGTACGTTCACATTTAGCATTCTTTTTACTTTCCATTTTGGACGATTCCATTCGACACCAACCGGCCAGACGTAAAGCACGAATACTCTTAGTGAAACACATTATACATATGCTGTCCTAACGAAACGCGTTCGGATTTTCCGTGTAAGTACGTATTCGTTGCAAGATCCGAAACATTAATGGGAAGTATCACATTTGCCAACACCTTTATATACAGTGTAGCGTTACAAAGTAATAAGGTACATTAATGTTTTTTTATGGTATTCCCATTTCTATAGTCTATAAAATTTCATAAAAATATCGTATTGTTAGTAATATAGTAGTCCAGTTGCTGGCAATGTCAGGTCGATCTCCACGAGTTTTTCCCAGGAAAAAATCGACCATGGGTAACCATGGCTCATTCCTGGTAAATTAGCTATAACGCGGTAACTGTTCTGACTTCAGAGGGGCCTCACTATCATAGGTATATCGTTAGAGCAGGTGGGTAAAGTAAGGGGATAGTGCTATCCCTTTATCATCTACTAGAAAACTTTGTTTTGATATTACAAGAGCTATATATTGATATCAAAACCGCTCATGCACTAAAATATTATCTGTAGTACAGTTTTTATCAATCTCCTGAATATTTATCGACACAAATTTCACCATCACCGGATATGTATCTTTACCTATAGTTTTATAATTTGTTATTTTACTGCATAAATAAATTATCTATATAAAGGTTTACCAAGTCTAAAGTTAGTTAGTATTTTTGAAACTTTCACGAAGAAACAAATTGGAAAATAAATATGTAATTGGTCGCAAAGAAAACTATTATTGAAAGATTTTTTAATAGATACGAACCCAAGAAAAATAATTGCACCCAAAACAATCATTATTAAAATTAATAAAATTTGGATGGATATAATTAATGGAGCACCCCGTCTTTGCTGACGGTATACGCTGGCGAGGCACCAGTGGAGAATGATAAGATGAACCATGATAAATTCTAAATGGGCTAACTGACCTGACCTCATGTTCATCTTATAATCCTCCACTGGTGCCTCGCCAGCGTATAATTCGATAATTTTAATAATCATTGTTTTGGGTTAATTTTATTTTTATTGGTTTTGTATCTATTACGTTTGTAAAATCCCTCAATAATAGTTTTCTCATATATTTACCATGTACTGGCAGTGACCAATTACATATTGTAATACCAATTTATGTATACATAGGTATTAACGCGCTCCCTTCGCGTCTTCGTAAGTACTTACTAAAGCGCCTCTATTAATTCCGACCAAGCGCAAATAAAAGGAAAATAAATACTTTCTCGCGACTAATGTTTAAAGTGAATGTATCGATAGTAAAAGGCCCGTCGTGTAAAATCCCAAAACCACCGATAACATGTTGTTATTAAGTACGATTTATTATTTCAAGGAAATTGCTATTTACTTCCTGTAATTTAATTTTAAGTATCGTATTGTTAGTGGGTATTTTTGTAACATCTATTTGTTATTAATGGGTCTGGGTGTTTTCTATGTATAAAATATATTTATTTAAAAAAATATATCCATGTATTTATATCAGTTGTCTAGTATCCATAAAACATGCTCTACTTATCTTAGTACTTAATGGCGCTGTGTGAATTGTATGACAATCTTTAAATTTATTATAATCACAGCCGTAATTTTTATATGATACGCAATTAAATATGTATGTGATTGAGTCATGAGATGAGCATCCATCGATCCTTTAAATGAATTTTGGGATCAGGACACCAAAGATCGCCCTACACGGCTTTTACCTGTGTTGAGCCGCCATTCAAAAACCTTCCTTTTAAAATCAGCTCCAACATCAAGTTTATAAAATCTTCTTATAAAAAATGTGTGAAAGAATAAAGAAAACAACATAGGGATTACACGAATTATAATTCTATATTTTACTATTGGTGAATATTATAATTGGCATAGGACAATTCAATATGATCAGTAACATATCACATCGTACCGTACACCACAAACAAAATTACACCGAAAAATGTGCCTAAAAGAACATATAAATCAAATATCTTATTTTGACTGTCATTTCTTTTATTTTATTAGTTGAGATGAGTTAATAATTAAGCTAAATTGAATAGATTTTATTAAAACCAATTAATAATATCTATAATTTGTTTATACAATCATAATTACGTAATTAAGATTTTTCCCATACCTAATAATTCAGGTACGATATAATTTAATACTCTGTGTATTAGATCATAGATACAGAAAAAGGAGTGTTTGTCTCAAATTACATTCAAGATAATAGGTGTCGGATAGCCGTGGTAACACTGCAATCTATTCGATATTTGCACATCTAAGTGAAAAATGAGATGCGTTGTCTTATGTTTGAATTATATTAAGTTACTAGCTGTACGGCAAACGTTGTTTTGCCATATAAATTAAAATTGCTATTCAAAAATAGGGGTTGATGCTAGAAGGGGGAAAATTTAGGGTTGTATATATTGTTGTATTTTTCAATCCTAAATAATATAATATTGTCGAAAAAAAATATATTTAGGGGTGGATATCCCTTACCACTTAGGGGTATAAAAATAGTAGCCCATTCACAAGCCTACTGAATATGCATATAAAATTTCATAAAAATTGATCAAGCCATTTGGGAGGAGTATGGTAACTAAAATTGTGACACGAGAATTTTATATATAAGATATGTACCTAATGGAAATTGAAATTGTGGGAATATCTAAATAATTAATTATACAGAGTTACATATATATACCTACATTATACCAGCTAACCCGCGCAACGTACTATACATCACACATACTTGACATTTATCATTATATTTCGCTCAATTTGTATAATAACTTTGAAATTATAGTCTATGTGTTAATATACTCATTTATAAGCTACCAGGAAGGATGAGAAAATGACATTATATACATACAATTAATATGATAGTATAGTAGTATAAAACTAATTGCTATAGGCAATAAGGGCGACATTTACCAACTATGATAATATAATAATATCCCTGGACAATTCACAGACCACCATCTAGTCACAAGCTAAGCGAAGTTTGTATTATGGGTACTAAGACAACTGATGTAATATAGATTTTTTTTCCAAACACATATTATACACAGAAAACACCCAAACCAAACCAAAATACATAGAAAACATCAAAATGATACAACCAATCATACTCATGAAGACAAATGTATGTACCGTGTGAGGAATTGATCAAGAACCACCGGAAGTAAAGCATTGTATTTTTTCCACTAGATTTGTACTTATACTATTTAAGTATATTATTTCCCTATGACAAACTTTCATATCCCTTACAACTCTTTTTTCACTTTAAAAATACTAGCCTATGTACTTTCTCAGGGTCTAGACCAAAGTCTCAGGGTCTAGTGTACCAAATTTCATTCAAATTGGTTCAGTAGTTCTGGGGTGAAAAAGAGATAGACAGAGTTACTCTTGCATTTATAATATTAATTAGGATTATATTGGCTTACACTAAAACAAAAACAACTAAATAAGATATGAATGAAATAACTCAACAACTGAAATAAAACTAATCATACTATTGTCATTATGATCAATTAATTGTAAAATTTATTTTATCCCAATCAGGCAAAGGAAGAATAGGATGACAGAAAAAAAATGGGCTGATGATATAAAGAACAATGAGGGAAAAGATTGGATGCCAACTGGCATGGATAGAATTGGCATAGGACAGAGGAAGCTTTTCATAACAAGAACAATAGATAAACCAAAAATATGTTGAAAATTTGTTATGTGGAAGTAGAAGAAGAAGTTAAAAAAATATTATAATAATAAGACACTGGGAATATGTCTACATAATGTAATACTATTGAAACTATAACTATTACAATATGTAATTGAGTGTACTTATGACAACTTTTACTAAGTTTTGTAAAACATCTATTGTAATTATTTTCATGTGTGATGGTGTAATACATACACATAATGCATGTGATCTGATTAAGTAAAGGGAAGGAAGTATTAACACAATACTTATGTCCAACTTCCCATCTTTATAATATAAAAATATGCAAGTAAAGTTATTTAAGTTTCTAATTTACATTTATTCAAAATTAAATAAAATTTCTATTAAAAAAGGTGAACAATGTATTTTTTGAAAACTATATATTTTCTTAGGGACTGTGAGAATAAAATGCTACATCAAAATCAAAATTCAATTCATTTATTCATATAGCAATATAATATAATATTACAGCAGCTAATGAATGCAAAATTCTTTGTATTAATATTTTTTCCCCACTGTCCAGTTCAGTATACAGATTACAATGGAGAAGAACTGGCAAGAAACTCAACTAAATTTCTTTTCTTTTTAATGCCAGTTTATTTACATTGTATACTTATATTGGTATTGTATGTCTAACATTAAATGAAAATCCCATGCAGACTATTCCCATGCATGTTTGTCATTTAAGAAATTGTTTAGTGAGTAATACTTTACCCAATAAATATGATTAACAGACATTATTTAAAGATAAAGTTATGTGAATCATGTACATACATTTTATAAAAAAAATACTGTAAACTGATATTATGTGTTCAATACAAGTACAATTGAATTTAACCAAATACATTGGTATTAAAGTCAAAGACAAAAAAAACATAAGGTATTAAGGAATTGTAACCATTCTTTTTAAATTAATATATTTTGAAATAATCAAGTGTAATATATGATATTATTTATAGAGCATTAATTGTTTAAGTGACAGTAAGAAATATACAACTTATATGAATATCATGAATAACATTAATTAATTTACAGTTTTCTTTTCAAATCAACAACTACCTATTTCAGATTCTGACACAAAGAAAAATAATTATAGCAAGTCAAACATAACAAATTAGATAAAAATTGATTCAATATAACAAATTATGGTCGAAATATAATATATATGTGGGCGGTTTGATCATTAACTTTTTATAACTGGTACGCCAGCTTGTTGACCATTTTAGGATATTTACCACGTGTGGTACGTAAAGCGTTATACAGGTACCTGTATTAACTACGCAAAAGATTACAATAGAGTATAATAAGAGCTGAAACACTGTATGTACCTGTCTTTCGGTGGTTGAGGGCCTAGAGCTGACGACTCATCAATGAGAGGCAACCGCGAACCTTCGCCGGGATACGTCCAATCTGCTGCGAATTGATCAACCTCCATTGTTAGAGACTTGTCTGAATTACTTAAGGCCAGAGTTAATTCTTTTCTCTAGCCCTTAATTTTGAGTTGTTTTTATTTATTTACTTATTAATATATCATTCAACCAATTATAAATAAAGTGGTCAATCACAGAACTAACAAATTTTCATATGTCGTAGAGCAAGATATGTCAGTGTCAACTATGACAGCTGTCAGAAACAGAAACCAGTTCTGAAAATTTTTGGTTGATTTGATTATTTTAAGAACATAAATAGGTTCTCTCTGGTTTATGTAAAATTAAATAATATGTATTAAATAACATATATTTAATAGTTTTGTAGATTTACTAAGAATACTTCTTTTGTTCTCCGTTTTTTTCTACTATGTCACAGAAAGTAGAAATAAAACACTAACGACCTCGGTAGTTTAGCCGTTAAGTGCATTGCATTACTTCTAATGGTCGCGGGTTCGATTCCTTGCACGGTACAAACATTTTTATGGGTATGATTGTTAATATCTATCTGGGTGTGTTCTAAGTACCTTAAAATTTTAGGTTTCACTTTATAGTAGGTATTCATATTTCAATAAAAGCAATATATAATTCAAATAATGTATGAATGTTAGTCAGTAGTAACCATAATATTCAAAATTCATAAGCTATCTATCATCCATGTCTAAATAGGTTTTAAGCCAGACCCGAAGTACATCTCTAAGCAACCAATATCTATAGATTCCCTGCAACATTAACATCGCCACCTCAATTTGCAGAGGCATTTACATACATATATATAAGTTTGCCGATACGAACTAATCGATTGCTTTAGTTTATTGTTCTAAGCAACTAATATTGCTTTGGTATCGTTCTAACCAACAAATGTCCTTACAGTTCTTTGCGTTGTAGTCTGAAGCAATGAGTATGGTCACTGTCCATGAAAAGAACTTGAAATAAATGTTGCGTCGTATTGACATAAAATAACTACGTATCATTTTATCTTTTTTAATAACAATCTTTATTTATAAAGAACAAAATCATTATTTGCTACTGGGCAATATAATACTGATAAAATTAAAATTTTATAACGACAAGCGTGTCTACATAATCATAGTACAAAGAGAGTGTGATTACAGTTTATTATAAAATTGTTAAAAAAATATTGGTAACAAAAAACTAAAACATAAAAAAGAACATATTACAACCTAATTATTTTATATATATTTAACTATATTATAATATAACAAATATATTTCAAATTAATCACATAAATGTGTCATTAATAGAAAACAAAAAGAACATCTCTATGTGATATTCTATATTCACCACACTATTTCATTCAATCTCTAGTAAAGCTCAAAATTAATCACAAATATAACTGTCTCTTTCACACTATGGTGTCGATGGGTAAATATGGCGTGACCGGAGCAAGCAACATCATTTCCCACTCCACTCGCTTATACGTCCATTTTCAAATACGAGGCATTTCCTTGGCAATGGTACTAAACTACCCCGTTTTACTATTCCCATATCTTCACCTGGATAATACTAAAAAAAAAAAAAGATTATTTATACCTATTGTAATTTACAGACATTCAAATAAATAAATTGTTTTCTCAATAGTGTCGACATGTTTGTTATTTAGTTCTCCTTACATGTACTAGTAGAATAGTCGTTATCTCTATAAAATCGGCCCGTAACTCGAGTCCATGTGTTAACGCCGTGACATCCATACAGAGAATACCTTTATTCCATCTCATAGTCCGCGTGTCACTTAGGCCTGAGACGATAGTCGATCGAACTACATTTATCATAATTGCTATGTTACATAAACACTACACTATCTACTATTTACAATTCGTTTTATTGTATTGGAACATTATCTGCAAATGTTTTATTGATACATATAATTAGAACTACTTACCTGACATTGTGAAACAAACTTAAGTACGTCTGATTTGATAAAATCATTGTCTTCTTTAACTTTCTCTAATCTGAAAGTAATTTATAATTGTGTGTGTATTGCTTTATAATATAATTTATACATATTATTATAATACTAGAATATAATTGTTATATGTGCATTGTTGACACCACAGGCATCACAGGATAACTTGATATCCTTAGTGCTGTGTTTTTATATATGAAGGATGGTACCCTCTTACAATCTGATGGATCGTAAGCTTGTCTAACATTCAACTTATGTAAAAAAATTTTTTCTGTATACTTACAAATCAGGGAAAGTCATACGATCTACTATACACTGACATATTTTCTCGCAGAGAATTTCATCAAAGAGTGGAATGCCAAATTGGAGGTCCAATATAGTCCATTTCTGAAATAAAATAGTAAGATAACAAAGTTAATATTATCATATATAACAGAAAAGTAAGTGAATAAATAAATGTATTTCATTGCTATTTATGAATGTAAACCTTTGTAGTTCATTTGTACAAAATAAAAATATTAAAAAATAAAAATTACCTCTGGTTTACAGGATTCCTCGTCGGAGTAATTGTGCGCTATATCGACTCCACTATCGCCTTCAGCTGTCATCTCAGTCAACTTATCCGACAACTGAGTGAACATCGATATCGATTCTTCTGCAGGACTTAACAAATCGTTCAACATATTCATAGATTTCTCGCTTGGAGTCTGACTTCCCTTTTTACTATCAAACTTCAAATTCTCAATGCTGACCGACGATGAGTTTATAGGTACCAAATCATCTGAGAACGTAATAGATTCCTTGCTCAATGTATCGGTGGAATGCTTTTTACTGTCATCACTCTTTTTTAAATCTTCAATACTAGTTGATGAGGAATGTATAGGTATGATATCGTCGCTGCAAGCAATCGATTCTTTGCTCTGATGGGTCTGTTTAGGCTGGTCGTTAATAGCTAGGTTGTCAAGCTCTTCACATAGTAGCTGGCCTCCTTCAACACTCGTGAAACCATTAGCTGGGGAACTATGTTTACTATCGACAGTTGGTGTGACGGCAAAATGCGATTCTATGGGAGACTGTAGTCTAGCCGTTGCAGTTTTATTGTCTAATATTGACTTTTCATTTGAATCTGTAGATGTCACTGACATGTCACTTACTGGTTTCGCTACTCCACAGAATTCTTTCTTCTTTCGTACAGGTACTATGGAATATAAATAAAATTTAAATTAAAACAAAGTATTTAATAAATTTCCGAGTGATTTAAAAGAAAAATCTATAAAAGCCATTTCCAAATTGTAAAAAATGCTTTTACTTCATTGATTATTCTTTTTAATGAATGACAAATATTGTAGCCCAATTTAGAAATTATATTAGTGTCATTATCATAATTTTTATTATTATAATTACCCGGAAGGATATTATTATTAATTTATAGACAATACTTATTGTTAAGAAATAAGAAGTAAAAAAACAAAGGACGACAAAGTATTTGATAATTAATATGTCTATTATACAAATTTTAGTACCTAATTGGACGGTGGCAGGTGGGCGGGCGCAGCCGAGGTCTGGGACGCCTATGTCGGCGAGCGTCACGTACCCGGCCGAGCGCGACAGCCGCAGTCGAGAGACCAATCGCCGCAGACCAGCGTGACGGCTCCACAACGCTTGCGACTCTGATTTGACGAAATCTGACATTATGAAACGCTACTACCTTTTGTACTTATTACTAATATATCTTGCCGCGTCTTAACAAGTCTGCTTGTGACCATGACTACAACAACTACGACAACTCAGCCGATACGCCGAGTAGAATAAATAATAAGTTTACAATAAAATTATAACTACGCGCTTTTTTGAGAGATGTGGATCTTGAGTGTTTTAATTAAAAAATTCGAAAATTCTTGGCTATATTTAGCAAATTTTAATCATTTCAATTATGCAATAATTATATTATGTTAACAACGTTCAACGTTCTTTAAACAACGATGTTGCAGTGTTGCATTCTTATAAATAGATTTTAAATAATAATATATTCAGAAACGTGTATAAAAGATGAATTTCGTGTGTAAAATTGTCAAATAAATTCAAAGACGGTATATCAGTGTTACAATCATTTTAGGAAGCTGAACTAAAAACTTACCTGGACAACAACGTTCGCTGTCTGGCGGGAACATAAGGTGTCGCAGCGCAGGCGCATGCCGCACGCCGACAGCCTGCAGAAGTACGGGCGCCCGACGCAGCGCAGAGTTTGCTGCAGCCAGCGCTGCAGCAGCTGGAAGCTCACCTCCCGCACCCTCGGCGCCCCACCACCACACCGAGAGTCGCGCGTAGCCCAGCAACGGCCGCGGTACCATACGCAGCTGGGTGCCTACATACCAACAAGGCTAATTTTATTTATGACGTCATTATTAATTTTCGTTGACAGGCAAACCGAAATAGAGGTCGAATGGTCTGGTATCTATAATTACATTGAATTTTCTATAAATTTATATTGCTAAAATAATTAAACATTCATATAATAACCGTACTCAATATCAAATACTGAACTCGAAGCAACTATATTGAACTATATTAAAAATAGCTGTGTCTACATTTTGTAGGATATATATATTATGATATTACTGGCGCCGGCCCCACGTGCGGCAGGCCGCCGTCACACACACCGCAATACAAGGGAGTATACGGTGACGTACCCTTGGTGAGCAGCAGCGTGGGCGGGCCGTAGCCGGCCACGTGGTACAGGTAGAGCCGCATCCAGGGCTCCGCGGCCTCCGGGGGCGCCGGCCCCACGTGCGGCAGGCCGCCGTCACACACACCGCAATACAAGGGAGTATACGGTGACGTACCCATGGTGAGCAGCAGCGTGGGCGGGCCGTAGCCGGCCACGTGGTACAGGTAGAGCCGCATCCAGGGCTCCGCGGCCTCCGGGGGCGCCGGCCCCACGTGCGGCAGGCTGCCGTCACACACACCGCAATACAAGGGAATATACGGTGACGTACCCTTGGTGAGCAGCAGCGTGGGCGGGCCGTAGCCGGCCACGTGGTACAGGTAGAGCCGCATCCAGGGCTCCGCGGCCTCCGGGGGCGCCGGCCCCACGTGCGGCAGGCCGCCCGCCGCCGCGCCCGCGCGCGCCGCTCGGCCCAGAGGAGCCGTCGACACGGCCAACCTGCACCACACGTTACGTTATTGAAGTGAATCTTCTATATAGACGGGGTTCCGCTTCCTGGTCATACGCTGGTCCTTGCAGACCGCAGGGTACAGGCCTCGAGTTTGAGCCCCTCGACCGGGCATCTGGGGTGGACCCCTCCATATGGACAGGGTGTATTAGGCTTTTTCAGTAACGCGAGAGAAAAATTAAAGTTGCCATTACACTACCAATGAGGGTAACTAAAAGAAAAAGATACCTGTATTTAGTAGCCAGTAATCTCGTTCGTGCGGTAGTCCCTAAAGCATGCAGCGCTTCGCAGCGCAACAGGTCTAGAGGTTGCAGTTTCGGACGCAGCGTACGTAGTGCTATCCGCAAACACGCTGCAGCGGCTAAATATCGTCTTGCTTCACCTTCAATTTCTGGATCTGCCGCCACCTTAAAATCACAGATTATATTTAAACTTAACTTTCGTACTATATTATTCAAATTGGGAGTGTAATGCACAATTTACATTGACTAGGACATCATATACAAACATTAGTACCTTATCTAACTCCATAAGAAAACTGTCCAAGCTTTCATCACACAATTTGCCCACTTCAAATAAAGTTACTGCGTGACTCTTTAGATCCTGAAAGAAAGAAAAAAAATTGTAATTAATCGTTCCCGAAAATTAGGACAAACATTACTAAATACCATCAAATGTGCTATACCGGTGACAAATTCCCCATCATCAGATATGCAGCGAGAGTGGAATCGAAGAGAATAGCGACTCTCCGACCGCCACTGCTGCTCGGCGTATCCGTAGTTTCTTGATATATCTATAAAAATAAATACAATATAAATGAATTATCCAATCAATTCCTATTAAATGAAACCCGTAATTTCGCTTCCTAATTAAAGCATCGACTAACTCTACAAGCTTGCCTTGTAGTAATCATGTAAAGATCTACTCAGTGTTTCTAAGTATATAAATGTCTATCTCATCTTATATAAATGTTTAATTGGACTCTATTTTCCGTATTTACCTTCGCAGTTAGGGCGGCGAGTCAGTACTAGCATTATAAATATGAAATTTGTAAAGATGACTCAATATATTTCAAGGGCTTGTAGATTTAAATGTAATTTTGCATATCTCTCTTAGGATAATGTAATTTCTAGGACAACTAGGTTTGTTTCATGTGTGGTGTTTACACACCAGGTCACATTTTTTTGGAGTGGTGAACGATGAAGGTTGACCTTCGATGAAATTTTGGTCTCGATCAAGCCGTTTCGGTGGGGTAACGTAGACAGAGCTCAAATCTGATCTCTAAGATCGCTCCGCGCTTCGCGTTCCACTCAAGGCAGAGATTGTACAAATATGGACAAGAACCAACAATAATGTACGAGAATATGTGAGAATGTACCTGCCGAGATGTAGACGGTTCATCTTTTATAAGTACTGGTTCCATTTGTAGCGTGTCATCGTCGGCGTTTGGGTCAAATGTTAAGGGTGTTATTTGTCGGTACCTACAATTAGAAATATTAAAAGTTAGTGTCTGACATGGGGTTTATTTGATCCGGAAATATCAATTGTCTGTCTCAAATACTTGAAAATGCATAGAACTTTCAAATCAGTGTTCTTATAAACGAAAATATATAGTACGACTTTCAATATAAGGATTTATTTAATCGATTATTGTAATAGATACCAAGTTTGCGAGTAATATTAAAGTACCAATTAGTAAACACATCCGAGTTCTCAATTAATTGGTAATTTTTTTCAAACAGGTAGTTGCTCATCAGTATAAACTAAAAAAATCGCACTCACTCTTTACAAGAATAATAATGTAATAGTGTCAGTGTCACGAACAATGAATCCCTAAATATATTCTATTTTTAAACACCAAATCATATACATACAAGTACACTATTGACAGCCTCTGTGGCCTAGAGGATTAGCACACTGTCTTACTTTCCGATGGTCACAGGTGATTCCTCGCACGGTGCAAACATGACAGATTGTTTGTTTGTATTGTATTTGTATGAATATTAAAAAAAAATATCAGTTGTCTAGTATTCATTACAGAAGCTCTGCTTAGATTGGGTCTAAACTATGTGGATTGTCCAGAGTTGTTATTATTGCTGTAATAGATTACAAGTAGTGAAAATGAGTAAGTACGGCTGATGATGATGCGTGGTGACAGCGTCCCGCCACGAGGGGTGACGGTGCGTGAGTGGCGGCGGTTGCAGGTGACGGGCGAATCCCAGTCGGCAGTACAACGACACTGCCTGCTTCACCAGTTCACAGTCCACCTGCACAATACAAGGATTTGAAAAACTTGTTTCAAATACATTTTATCAAAAACATATCACGACAACCCTAAATAAATGGGATAAGCAAGAAACAGATGATGATGACGATAATGATATTTTAACAAATTAAGTGTTATTTTTCGGAGGACCATTTCATTAATGAATTTGTATTACCTTGTTTAATTCCACTGACTTTATAAAAAATTGTGGTCTCACACATAGTAAGATCACAAATTTTCACGACCTTCTATTTCTTCTAATTCTATTGGTGATCAAATTCTAATCGTTATTGAATCTACACCCAATTTATGAGTTTCGGTTCTGAACGAGGAATTGTAAAGTATTTAATAGTTCGAATATAGCTCGGAAGCCTGGTGTTGACTGCACGGCGACCAAATTAACCACTATGCATGCATATAGGTACATGCACACATAATGAAAAGTGGTGAATAGTCTTTCTTTCAATTATCAATTAAAAGTGTACATAAAATGATGAACAGCCAATCTAAAGTGACAATTGAAAAGTAGATGTCCTAATATTATAATACATACATGATGTGATATGCTATACATACTAACTTGTAAAACGGAAGCGAGCTCCGTGACGGAGGTATGTTCATCAATGGACACGAACACTTTATATAGCAACGTCTCAAAGTAATCGCCGGCGATGCGGTTCATTACGAACCCTTTCAGCGGCGGCACGGAGACTTTATCCGCAGCTGTTATTGGTACATCCAGGTATATTAGGCCGCGTCTAAAACATTCGTTTATAACAATTAATATTTAAAAATGCTTTTTTTATGAAACATTATTGTATTATTATACATTAGAATAGTAGCACATCTATTAGCACATATAATCATTTATGAATATAATGGTGTTCCCGCAAATGGTATAACTCTTACTCTGGAGGGACAACCTTGGTGGATGGGGATGAAGTCAAGTCAGTAAGCCAATCGTGGCGACCAGTTTAGATTATCCACGATAGTTTTCAGGTGGGACCGCGTGTAGTTCGATCTGATAGTGTACATTGCTAACAAATGAATCATTAGATATAATGAAAAGATTAACACAAAAAAATTTTGGCTTTGATGTTTATTACCAATGCTAATAGAAAGCAAAAGACGGGATATCAATTGTAATAAAATTTATATTGAGAACAGCTTTGATTAACAAAACAATTTTATAGCTGGCCTGTCATTACTTTTTTTTATAATTGGTATTACAAACAAAATGACGGCCTACCTAAGTAAGCAGTAACCGTCGCCTATATATCTGAACAACACTATGGACGTATAGTTATCCAGTGACGCCCATAATACCACTTGTTCATCTCATTACATACGACTAAAATATCGTCTCTTAACCTATGATTTCCCTATTCTGATATGTGGGATGATATTTGTTACGTATTCCCATACTGAATACTTATTTTATAATATCACATAAGTATTTTATTAGTGGGTCACTTAATTATCGTACACATTATATTGATATATAACTGTTATCTATCATTATCTATGTCTATATCGATGTATCAATAATACTAGTTGCGCCCGCGACTTCATGCCCGTGTTATAACAATAAATAAGATATGACGTCATGAAATTTTTTTTTAAAAATTAATAGGCGTCTGATTGAAAAATAATGAATTCACCTGTAATTTTATTAGCTTTATTAGCGTTATCTGAGGTGATCCATATATAATAACATATGTTGTGATATATTCTTCAAATATACTATTTTATTAAGCAAAACTTAAAGCTACTATTATGTAAAACTTTAACGCACAAGCAGACAAAAGGCAGTGTTCTCCTCGTTTTGGTATTACCATTTCATTATTATGTAAATATGTATATAATAAAATATTCTAAATTATCACAAAGTATACCCATTGGTAATGTATATGCTTCCATTATTGTGTTTATTTACCTGTATAAAGACCTGACGTTGTTGTAATCCAGCGTGCCAGCAGTTTGCGAGCCGCGGTCGATTAGCATATCTATAAGCGCCTTCTCGCTTTCACTCAATGGCTATTACAAAATGAGAATGAGCTGAGTAACATGCCAATTAAAACGACAATGTGGTTATGAATTGTTTTATAAATTAATTAAAATGGATTAATATAGTGTTCGCTACAAATGGCGCAGAATATGTTACAAGTCGTCATGCATGTTACTGGACCTAATATTACGTACGCATTTAGAAGTTAATAATATATATTCTTTCTTTATATATCTACAGTGCCATCCAATCCCACTAAATAGAGCTCGTGTTATGGTTACTGGACAACTAATAGAAATACCTTTTTTTTTATTGGGTGGTTTGGGTTATTGTCAGATGTTTGGACCTGTAGTACTACAATCTACATAGATCTATTGTGTTCGCCCATTTTCAGAGTCAACTAGACTTACTGGATATTCTTAGAAGCGATGGTCTTTATCTCCTCAGGATAGAGTGAAATACTTTAATACAATTATTTTTGTTGATAATATATATAGAAAACACCCAGACAATCCTTAACACGAATAATATTATTAGTACTACCGTAGAAATATAATCTGCAATGTGCTAAACCGCAAGAACACCGACTCTGTACAGACTGAATCTATAAATATCAACTGATATATTAGGTTTAGTCAGTTACAAAATAAAAATCACGATTTTGCTGCTATTTCCACATTATGGCTAATCAAATTCAGGCAATATTATATGAATCATAAAGTCCAGTATAGACTCTGCGCTATCTGTAACGATTTTAATAGTTCCTCAAAAAGATTACTTTCTTTTCATTACAGTGCACCATTTAATGCCTACATAATGTTATGTAATACCTTTTAGTTGTCAAATTTAATAATAAAAAAAAAGTTAATTCAAAATTATGATCAAGACAAATTCATTCCATACTCAAAAACTTATTACCTTAACATCTTCTTCGAGAACATATCCCAACTCGATCCGCCACCACGGCTGTATAGGGATGTTGAGAGGTACGCGCGGGAGTAATGCTCGTATCGCTTTTGAACGGCCACGACGACCCAGCGACCGGGATTTCGCTACTAGTTCCAAATACTCGTTACGGCCAATACCCAACAGCCGAAGACCTGTAAATGTGATATAGAAAAAATATTTTAACCTTTTCGTTTTAGTAGATTTTTTTTTCATGATATTATTTATTTCAAAACATTGAGCTGCAAATGTAATGTTTATTTGCTCTGGAACTTTGAGCCTCATCATAAGCCTCATAATCATATACCTTAGCTAATAAAAGTCAGAATAAAGGCCAAACAAAGATGAAGATCAATGCTACTCACCATTTCATTTAAAAAACTATTTAAATAATGAATTCTTTAATACTGAGACAAAATAAACAACTTTCAACTCATTGGGAACAAATATAAATCAATATATAACTTACAGTTTTTAATCAAGTTATTTAAACCAATAAATCATGTGGATTGAAAGTGATTAATTCAAGTAAATAATACTGAATTTACTTGAATTAATCACTTTCAAGTTTTAGTTCTGACTAACATTCTGTCATACACCCCATAACAATGTTGTTATGAAAACAAATAAATACAATTACAAAATTTAATAAATAAATATATTTTTATTAGACATTACTTGGATCTACATCTCCTTTTTTGTTTAAAAGATAACCAATTTCTATCGTCATTGTAAAATCTATTAACATCCATTGATCATGCCATAAATAAATATATTTTTATTAGACATTACATGGATCTATATGTCCTTTTTTGTTAAAAAGATAGCCAATTTATATCCTCATTGTACAATCTATTCCCTTTATCATGAATACCATATCACAACCATAAGACTCATAAAAAGGTAATAATCACACACTGTCCCATTAATACTAGTATGAATTTACTCACAATCAGCAGCTGTAAAGTTAGGCATGGTGTCATAGCTTTTCTCCGATTCAATCAACAATACCACCACTTCCACATAGTATATAAAAGGAGTAATCCTCAGTCCTAAAAATAAATAAAAAAAATATAATAACAATAAATATTAATAATGCTCCTGTAAACTGTTCAACAAGATGTGTTGCAATAAATTAAATTTATTGACAAAAAATAGACATACTTTTATCCATTTGTATTCCATGCTCCTATTACATTTCATTATATTCATATTATTCAAGAGCATACAAATTATCAAGTATAATGCCTTAACTTAATATAATTATATGTTGATTATAATGAAGATTATTTTGCAGTCTGTATATTATAATGTTTTTTAAATAGGGTAAGAATCTTACATATGGAAGATACACAAAATGTTACAATCGAAATTAATACATTACAGTATACTTTCTGTCATCAATACAGCATAATTCAGTGACTGATTTTACATTTTTAACAAATGAGTAAGTAATATCAGTAATATATATACACCAAAAGTGGAAGATATTAGTCCTTAGATGTAATATACAAGAAAAACATTCTGATTTTTATTTTATATGAAATCTATTTCGATACTTGTTTCCTTCTGTTTTCCTTATCTTCAATAAGTAGCTTGAAATATTTTTTTATAAATGAACATTGCTATTCCCTCAGTTTTGAACAATACTTTTGTTCTTTTGGTATTTCCTAATTAAAATACAAAAAGGAATGAAAAAATTTACCTTTAACAATCATGTCAGCTAAGTGATAGGGGTAGAGCATGAGTCTTTGTATGCTGCTCTGTACAAGGGTTTCATAGTACTTCCTCTCATCTTTCCGGACTGTTCGAACTACAAAAAAACCAAATATTATTCATGTGCCTAATTTAATACAATATTTTATTTCTAAAAAAGCAACCATATTTATTTCTAATAATTAACATCAGCATGTGTTATAAACAGAAATATTATTTATGAAATAATATTTAGTCTATATAAAAAATGTAAGTACATGTGACTTATATTTTTTAAACAGAGCAAATATTTTAAACCTGGCATAGAGACTATCAGTTTTAATATATGTATCGAAGCCTAACATGATGTCACACTCTTTTTCAGCAGTGCCTATAACAATTTATTATTTTGGTATTGTAACCTTTTTTTTTATAATTTATTATTTTTGTTTACATGGTCTTGTATTACATGACTAACTATATAGGTTTAGAATAAGTATGCACTGACTAGTTACCACTCCTAGTAAAAAATAGATTATTTTTAAGAAGAATAGATACTGAATGTAGATACATTTGTTCTGTCTGAGACAGATGCAACAGAAGATATTTTGCAATCTCAGAGATGCATATCATAAAAATTATCACTAGTAGTCAATATTTCAAGTGTGAAACTGATTTCTTATAGTGTAATATACCATATTCTTACCCAAACTTCCTCTGTACCGTATTTGATTCTTAATGCTAAACTCAAATATATATCGCTCATAGGCTTTAGGTGAATCGCCCAATAGCTGAAAAAATACCAAATATAGATACCACAAGGTTACACATTCATAGACTTCCGACATTTATTTAATATAGATATTTGTGACGTCATTGATATAGAAATGAGTTTGTTCCACAAAGAAATATTTACGATACATATTTGTCATTTTCATTCTTCCAAATAACAAAACGGATAAACATTGTCATGTTTTGGATTCAATTGCATATGATATGTTTACCTTTTTGACGCTCAAAGGCAATTGAGACCACAGAACTTTTTTTCTAATACATTCCTCTATTTCATCCTCCATGGTAATGGTATGTACGTTCAACACACTACATTGAACATAGAACGTTATATTAATATTATTCAAGTAAAATAAGACAAAAAGTTATATCGGAAAACTAAAATAGTAAATGCAACTATTTTTATGAAATATATTGTTCTACGTCAGTCGGGTTGGAAATAATTGTCAACATTGACAGCTACAATCAATCTCTATCAATAGCCGTCAATCATCGAAAAATATTTTACCACAGATTCAGAAAAGGTACAGATTAGATCAACAATAAAAATTCGATTAAAATATTTTTCAATCGAATTCATTCGAAATGTTATTTTTTAGATATATAATAGCCCCAGTAACACATATTTCACAATTTAATCTATCCTTAAATATAGTACACAATATTTAAGGATTTTTTAAAAGAAATATAAGTACTAATATAGAAAGTTTTATATTTCACCAGATCATTTGTATTATATCCATTCCACTTATTACGATTAAAACATCAGTTGTGGTGTAACTTCTCTTTTGTATCTGTCACTAACTTCTCATGAATATATTTGGTAACAAGTGGTATAAAATAAGTAGATACTTAACGCAGTATTACATTTCTGGGGTCAGGAAAATTAACTTATACCATATCCAAAGAGTAAAGTAAATATACCAAACCATATCGCAATTCTCTAGCACCACCAAAGTATAGATGGCGTTACTGCGTTCAGAAATTAAACTGTAAGTATATAGTTATATTATGATTGTATTGTTAGCGGTTCTTAATAAGACACGATTCTTAATAACAATGCTCCTAACGGTTGTAAAACCTCTCAATTTTCAAAATAAATTATTATAATAATTATATACACTGTTATTTGTTTATTTTTAAATAATGTATTTAAATCTGGTAACAGTTAATTAAATAATATTCTTTTAGTATTATTGCTCATCTACTTAGTGCTCTGCAATTTGGTTACTGTTTTTTAAGTTCTAGTAGCTTATTTTTCCTTCTAGTAACTCAGACATGATGAAATTAATGTCAAATTATTTAAACTGTTATCGTGAATTTCAAGTTTCCCAGGAAGAAGACTTTACCATCAATCTAACACGGTACATTCCTAACAACGAGCCCACCTTTACAAACAATCCCTTCCCTCTCAGTCGTTAGCAGAACATACCAGTAAATAGATAGATGGATATTGACTTATTCACATTAATAGTACGAAAATAATAGATAATTTTTCAATAAATCTTTCTGTACCACAAAACAGCAGTAATTCAGTGCTATTTTTTGAGGAAGTGTTTTTTTTTCAGGAACCGTTGCTTTTCTATCACTACCTAGACCACTTTTTGAACTATTCAAAGTTAAAGTAGTCTAAGTAGATAGATACCTTCAATAAAATATAAATATACTTTTGAAAAGTTTGAATAAATAAGTATTAATTCATTATGTATGTAAATGTAATGGTGCTTCTGTGCTACATTCTAAACGGGAAAAGGAACGAACTTTATAGGTCAGTAGTGCATAATACAATACATAATAGTCAGAACAAAGATAATAGGATTGTAGGTAATTGGAAGTAAAAATGTTATATCTGTGTAAATATTTTAATTTTCAAATTTAATCTTCATTTATAAAAAGGCTCTCAAAAGAGGCATGAATGTATTTCAACATGTCAGAAGCTGTTAAACTACGGCCATATTCAGCATATGCCTTAAAATTACATTCTCTCGTAAATCTTGCAGCTGCGAAAGTAGAGACGCTTTGTGCCAATTGGGGAGTGTTTCTAATTTCACAAACGTTAGACTTTAGAGCCCAATTGTATAGAGTACCTAATGCACCAGATAGAATGTCTCCTTGACCACCTACTCGTCTACCAGAACCTCGAAATGTTGATGTCCATGACCATGATAGCAAATTGGAATTGTATTGATCTTCACTACCTTTAACCAATACAGTCACGTCATCTCCCCAATAATTATACCAGTTGCTGGCACTTGTAGCTTCCTTTAAATACCGAGCTTCTCGGTGATTCGGCGTCAAAATAACTCCAGGACTGGGATAATGTTGTAAAACTGATAAATTTTTAGAAATCGCATATAGACCATCAGCGTCAATAATCAGTGGTTTCCGTATATTTTTACATTGAATAAGTATTTCATTTATTAATTTTAATGTCTCATCTTCTCTACCTAATCCTGGACCAATAATTATTACATCCATCTTCTTTAATAATGCATGAATTTTAGTTGCAGTATTTGCATTAAGATATGGATAAACTATTAGATCAGGACTATAGGCTTTAATGACAGGGGCTGCAGTTTCTGTTGTAATAACATAAACTAAATCTGCTCCAACCTGGAAATATTTTTTTTTTATTTTATAAATAGTAACTTTGTAGGAATTAAATAATAAATTTTATTCTGTAAAAATAATTTAAGAAGTATAATTTGTGGTTTATTGAAAACTTTTTTAGTAAACAGCTGGCCTAATCTGTACAATCTATACAATTGATTTGAGCGTTGAAAATTTTATGTTTGATAGTTTTTGTTTTTGTTAGTCTACTCCTAAAATTTCAACTTTCAACTCATAATTATATTAAATTTTGAAATATAAATTGAAATACGTGAAAACAGTTGTGTTTTAGCTTTTGAAAAACACTTTCGACATCTTCTCGGAGCGGCGTTTTGTTATTCGTTACATTATTCATTTTATTTTGTTTTTAAAAAGCGAAGCCAAATAGCTCGCTACTGATGTCTTTCACTACACTCGTACACTCGGACAGGAGCGCTGACACCGAAAGGAGAGGAAGTCTGTGTGTGAGTGTAGTGAAAGGGTTACAAAGTAAGTTTTCTGGTGGAGCGATTGGAACTCAGAAATCTTTATTGCTTAAAATTGACATGGATCATTTAGGTTAAAAGTATAAGGCGATCGTGAACCGTAGTAAAGAAACAATGCAATCAAAAATAATACAGCTAACAGAAGAGCGAGGGAAGGGGGCTCGGGAATGCATAGCAAATAAATGTCAGTCGTAAACTAAATGTGTAGGTTAGGTTAGAGTGTAATGATTACACAAAATAAAACTAGAGCGTTGGTACGCACAGAACGAAGCCCCCGCCCCGCCCCGCCCAAGTAAGGGGTATCCGCCAAACCCCTCCGCCCAAAATCTATTAGACATATTACAAAATGCGTCCAAATCTTAAAAAGTTCAAAATTTCATAAAAAAATCTGCGGCATTGCAGCCCCCTCCCCCATTAAGGGGTTACCTGCCCCCCTCCCTCCGTCGCCGAAACCTATTGTATATATTGTACACTTTCCTGTCCTAATCTTAACCTCCTCACGGGCCCACCCGTTCCACCCCGACACCGTCCTCGCCGGCGAAGACGACGACCTCAAACACAATATCGCGCATTCAACCGGGCGCTAGTGCGCCCGGGCGTTCCACTCCGGCGCCCCCGGCCGCCCCTCCGATCGATCCCCCGTCCAATTCAAACGAGGATCGAAATTACGACGGCCTGAGTCGAGGTTCGAGCCTTTAGTGGTGCCCTCAGACTAAAGTCGTATCCGTCAGGCAGGAGTTGGCCTTCAGCCGCTCTATAAGTCTTTCCGCGCGTCCGGTGAAGCTGTTACACAATCTTTACATAAATTTCATTAGATCATTATTATAGCTGTTCCCGAGACTTCAACCGCGTGGAATTTAACTTTTTTTTTAAAAAATCAAGAAGCCTAAGTTTCTCTTTATTACATCAGCTACCTGCCAAAAAAAGTTCCGTCAATATCGGTTGCAGAGATTAGCCGGAACAGACAGACAAAAATTTTAAAAAATATTATTTTAGTGTATACCGTACATATATACGTATCTTATTTATATTCATATGCATGTAGTAAAAAACGGTTATTTCAATATTACAAACAGACACTCTATATATAAATGCGACCGTAGATAATTAACAAAAGTAATATATTTAAACCTTTAAAGCAGATATCGCTGAAAAATATGGCGCTCCAGTGTATTCAACAGATCCTCCTATGATGCCAATCCTTCCTGCGTCACCCTTACTTTTACCTTCTAATTCAGGAATAATAGCTTTCATGAGTGCTGTTAAATTCTGATCTTTTAGCTCATGGAGATGTGTACACTCATTGGTAACGTTTCGTGACACACAAACTTGGACAATTATAAAAAAAACAAGTATTGTTAAGTACCACATATTCATTTTATAGCTATAATATGTAAATAAAATTAATTAAAAAATATTGTGATTTCGGCGAAAAAATTACAAATACAAACCAAATATTCTTTCCTAAGAACTAATGAATAGGTGCTAAATAATATAATCAACTCATTGATTACTTGATCGATTTTTTTTCTTGTTTTGACTCTTTTTTTTTATTAATATGTTTTATGGCTTTGGATACAAGCCCTTTCTCCCTCCAAGTTATAGCCTAATTTAAAGTTTTACAATATAAATTACAAAAATTAAAGTCAATGTCCAATGTCAAATAATAATAGACGCGTATTAAAAAAGTAGTAATTTTGGAACAGGATTACAAGATCAGGGAGAGTTGAAAATTGTTGGGAAAAATACATATATTATTAATAATTCAGTAGTACATATATATAAAGAAGATATATATAATGTATATTCACAGTTTTACATTTACTTATTACGAAATCATATAATCATTACATAATATAAAACAAAGTCGCTGTGGCTGTCTGTCCCTGTATTCTTAAATCTTTAAAACTACGCTAGGAATTTGAAGCGGGTTTTTTATTAGATTGAGTGATTCAAGAGGAACGTGTACGTATATAATACATGTACGAAGCCGAGCGAATAGCTAGTACTTTATAAACAGAAAAGTCGCAGTAGTTCAATAGCAAATTAGTATTAATTGGAAGTGGGAGTTTTAAAGTTGCTAAGGAATTGTACAATAACGAAAGGTCATACAAGGGACAGGAACGGAAAATATAGTTCAAATCTTCGATAACAGAGCTTTCACAGATGGCGCTATCTATTATATGAAATCTAACGAGATGTACCGGCGCACAAGTGTGGCCTAACCGCATTCAAATAATTATGCTAGTCAATCTTCTGCTCAATTTCATCAAAAAATGTGGTTTAACCGGAAAATTGATTTGAATATAATGATATATTCTACCTTTCAATTACCGTAATAAGCACAATTGTGCTAAAATAGGAGATTTTTACTTCAACCTTAAAATATGTTTAAGGTTTGCAACCTTAGTACACTAATGTCACAGATTGACTGTCTAGTCCAGAGGGTCTAGTCGAGTCTCTGTTACCATTTCGGTTCCTCTCTCTCTTAGGTCTGTAAAATCCGTCAAATTTAATTTTTCTTGCGACCAAAATTTTAATAACAATACGTTTTACATGAAAGTTTGTGTCCAAAATGGATGATAAATATGAACCAATTAAACTATCTTACACCGTACATAAATTCTCAAGTTATTCTGCCAATTACGTACCAGAGTAAGTGTTTTAGTATATTTATGTAAGGATTAAAAATTACCATGAATATTAGATTGGTCCACTGAATTTATATTATTTAACTAGAGTAGCTGGAATCGCCGAAACCTAATATAATGTATACATATAATACACCCCGTATTATGTTATTATCAATATTATTTATCGCCCATTTTAATTTAAGTAAATGGGAAACCAATTATAAAGCTTTAATATTTCTAATCAATTTATTTCTGTAATTTCTTTATTTTTATAGCTGAATTTACTCGAGACTTTGTTTATGCGACTACGAAATACGTATGGTTTAGCAAGACATCCCGACTCTACTATGTACATGCTAAATTTCATAATAAAAATTGGGTTAACCAAAGTTATGGTGATGAAACTTGCAGGAGATAATATTATTTAGTTTAATAAATTAACAGTTTCACATTTATGATATTATTAAAAAAAAATCAAACATATTTTAAATAATAGCATTAATTTTCAGAAATATTATGGTAAACAATCCATCAGACCAACTGTCACGATGGTTCACAGACAGTACGACTTCTTCACAGTTTATTTTATTGAAGTTGAAATCACTGTCTATAGTGGTGTCAATAAAATTTGGCAAATACTCAAAGGCTCATGTCAGCGACCTTAAGAAATTTCAAGTTTTTGGTGGTACTGATGAGAATAATCTGTCATTGTTATTATCAGCGTAAGTATTTATATTTATCTTTATTAAAAGATGTATATGTATTATAAAACAAAATATGGTAACTTTATGTTACATACTTGTCTACAACTTCAAACTCATTTTTTCAACAAACTGACTTATTCTAATAAATTCTGTCGAAACTTTCATTTCTTGGTAATAACTTTCCATGTAATGATAGTTATATAACTAATGACTTATTTTAGACAAAGTAAGAAGGAAAGCATATATGTTAACTGTAGACCTCATATTTTAAACTTATAGGTTTACCTTACCTACCTTACTTCCCATGATTTATGAGTATAATTGTTTATATCAGTCGTGAGTGTTTTTTATATATATCTATGTATTTATCAGTTATCTAATAAACAAACCATAATACAAGCTTTAGCTTAACTTAGGACTAGATGGCGCTATGGGAAATCTGAGATTATTATTATAATTAACAATTTATTTTTGAACAGTGGACTGAAAAAAGACAGTGCTGCAGAGATATTTAGACTACGACATCGAACTGCGGAAGGTCTATACTTGCCTATTAGATATCTCAAAATAGTACCACTACAGTCTTGGGGGCCAGCTTATAATTATACCATATGGTATGTTGAGCTGAGAGGCAGGAATCAGGATGAACTTATCAGCACAGCAATGGAGACTATTAACTTAGTATGTCTATTCATATTTTATATAAGTAGATAGAGTGCTATGAAATTATCTTCACTCTGAATCTGGAATGCAGATTATTTGGTAGCTCCCTATTTTGTATATGATACATTTTTCTGTGAAATAGTTACTCAAATTACAGTGATTAACTGGAAAAATTAATTTCCTATTTCTTTTTTTAATATTTCACAACTACAATATTTTTTAAAATGTATATTTTTTTTACATCTGCTATTATAATTTGTCTGCATAAATAGCTTATTGACTATATTCATATAAGAAATACTTTCTATTTAGAAAGTAATCCACTATTTTATTTTTGCATATAGAGAAAAGAAGAGGAAGCCGTAAGGATTTTATTGAAGCATTTACGCAGGCGTCGATATAAGGATGCATTTGAGGCACTTTCCCGTGAAAGTGGTGTGCAATTAGAGGGACCATTGCAGTCGCGTCTGTGGACGGCACTTGTTGAGAATGGAGACTATGAGCTTGCTGAAGAGATAATGGAAGAGGCTCTTAATGGTAGGTTCACATCCAGGGTATTTGTTTGTTGTTAATTGCTATAAGATATCCATAAAGATGTATAACTTTGTGTTATATCGCAACATACGCGATAAGGCCCTTAGATTAGTTTTATATTATCATCAAATATAAGGGTATCAGGTCGAAATAAAAATATGACAGCTTTTTTAGAAATTGCTTGTAATAATTTAAAATTACGATTTTTTTATGGATGATAATGAAATGGTGCACCTGCCTGCGCTAACGATTTACGCTGGCGGTGCACTAGTGGAGGATGATAAGATGAACATGAGGTTGGGTCAGTTAGCCCATCGTGACAAATTCACTACGAATTTATCACAATGGTAATGGTTATCAATATATTTTGCCAAAATGTTATTATGAAACTTGACTTGGCCAAATTTTTTTTCATTTCCCAAACCCTTCACAACACACATACACAAACAATAATATTTGTTTTCTGTCCTCACTCTTAATTAATATTAGCAAATATGATACATTTAATGTTCAATATGATGTGGTTTAGAGGGCGAGTTTTCGTGGTACCTGTCGTGGCAACCATACAAGCCTGAGTGGCGCGAGATGTCTGCGTGCTCCTCTCAGGTAGAGGAACGTTTAAGTAGCGCGGACGCAGACACGCCCGCGCCGCAGCCGCGCCCGGCTGATCTGCTTGTTTGTGCGGATCGCGACCCACGCCCACTCCCTTTACCTGTATGTATACCACATTATTGTTTCAACAGACAGTCATTAAGCAATACATTTAATAGTAGTTATGCAGTCTTCATTTAACTTATAAGTTGGGAGTGTGTAGAGCTAAAACTACTAAAGTAGCTAGCCACACTGCTCCCTGGAATTACATTCATCAGCATTTATACAATATTTATTTTCAATTGAAAAAATTGTTTATTATTTCCACCATGTTTTTTACATATGCTTCAGAACTTTATTGTACCTAATTGTAACTATAATTTTAAGGTTTTAATTAAATTAGTACTACAACAACATAATATATTGTGTGTTATTCACAAAAACATAATATATTGTGAATTGATAATAATTTATGTAACGGATATGACTTCATTTTGTAACTTTAAAGTAGTACTTTTCTTGTACATAATAGGAGACGGAAGGCGCGGCTGCGGACGAGGGCGAGCCGTGCGGCGCGGGCTGCGGCGGCGGCGCCTGCTGCAGCAAGCCCGGCCCGCGCGGCGGACACCAGCTAGTGGTCGACAGTATCACAGGTCTGTACCTACTTATTGCACCTGAGAAATACTACAGAATTTCATAGGTGTAGTATTTTTCTTCTTAAATGGGTTTAAACATATATAGACCAAAAGTGATGACTAAAATTTTAGTCTGCCTCAGTAGTACCTCAGTCTCACCTATCTCAGCTGCCAAGCTTACTTTGTAAACTGTTTGTAGAGTAATACAGTCAAGTTACAGGATAGAGATATGACAATTTAGTCCTTTAGAATGTGAACGAATAAGTGTCGATTACAGTACACTATCATGTCCATAATGCTGTAGATTTATATTACTGCTTACTCTCAGGTGGGCTTTCATTTAAATTGAATAAACCAAAGTTTTGCATAATATGTAAAATTTTAAAGCACTTAAAAAATATGACTATGAATGACATGACATAAATGTACCACTTACATTTTATAATTGTACATACTTCATAAAGTTAAGTTCGATACGAAAGTGAGGTGTGTGGACAGGTACGCTGTATCTTTTCGGCGGGTGGAACGGTACGGAGGATCTGGACGATCTGTGGGCGTTCGAACCGGCGACGGAGCGCTGGACGGCGCTGTGTCGGCACAGCGGCCGCGCCGGCGGCCCGGGCCCGCGCTCCTGTCACAAGATGGTGCTGGACGCCGCGCGCCGCCGCCTCTACACGCTCGGCCGCTACCTCGACAGCGCGCAGCGCCTGCCCGCCAACATGAACGTAACTAACCTCACCGCTAGCCTCCTCTACTCGCACCCTGTACACTGTACACTGTACACAGCCCGGGCCCGCGCTCCTGTCACAAGATGGTGCTGGACGCCGCGCGCCGCCGCCTCTACACGCTCGGCCGCTACCTCGACAGCGCGCAGCGCCTGCCCGCCAACATGAACGTAACTAACCTCACCGCTAGCCTCCTCTACTCGCACCCTGTACACTGTACACTGTACACAGCCCGGGCCCGCGCTCCTGTCACAAGATGGTGCTGGACGCCGCGCGCCGCCGCCTCTACACGCTCGGCCGCTACCTCGACAGCGCGCAGCGCCTGCCCGCCAACATGAACGTAACTAACCTCACCGCTAGCCTCCTCTACTCGCACCCTGTACACTGTACACTGTACACAGCCCGGGCCCGCGCTCCTGTCACAAGATGGTGCTGGACGCCGCGCGCCGCCGCCTCTACACGCTCGGCCGCTACCTCGACAGCGCGCAGCGCCTGCCCGCCAACATGAACGTAACTAACCTCACCGCTAGCCTCCTCTACTCGCACCCTGTACACTGTACACTGTACACAGCCCGGGCCCGCGCTCCTGTCACAAGATGGTGCTGGACGCCGCGCGCCGCCGCCTCTACACGCTCGGCCGCTACCTCGACAGCGCGCAGCGCCTGCCCGCCAACATGAACGTAACTAACCTCACCGCTAGCCTCCTCTACTCGCACCCTGTACACTGTACACTGTACACAGCCCGGGCCCGCGCTCCTGTCACAAGATGGTGCTGGACGCCGCGCGCCGCCGCCTCTACACGCTCGGCCGCTACCTCGACAGCGCGCAGCGCCTGCCCGCCAACATGAACGTAACTAACCTCACCGCTAGCCTCCTCTACTCGCACCCTGTACACTGTACACTGTACACAGCCCGGGCCCGCGCTCCTGTCACAAGATGGTGCTGGACGCCGCGCGCCGCCGCCTCTACACGCTCGGCCGCTACCTCGACAGCGCGCAGCGCCTGCCCGCCAACATGAACGTAACTAACCTCACCGCTAGCCTCCTCTACTCGCACCCTGTACACTGTACACTGTACACAGCCCGGGCCCGCGCTCCTGTCACAAGATGGTGCTGGACGCCGCGCGCCGCCGCCTCTACACGCTCGGCCGCTACCTCGACAGCGCGCAGCGCCTGCCCGCCAACATGAACGTAACTAACCTCACCGCTAGCCTCCTCTACTCGCACCCTGTACACTGTACACTGTACACAGCCCGGGCCCGCGCTCCTGTCACAAGATGGTGCTGGACGCCGCGCGCCGCCGCCTCTACACGCTCGGCCGCTACCTCGACAGCGCGCAGCGCCTGCCCGCCAACATGAACGTAACTAACCTCACCGCTAGCCTCCTCTACTCGCACCCTGTACACTGTACACTGTACACAGCCCGGGCCCGCGCTCCTGTCACAAGATGGTGCTGGACGCCGCGCGCCGCCGCCTCTACACGCTCGGCCGCTACCTCGACAGCGCGCAGCGCCTGCCCGCCAACATGAACGTAACTAACCTCACCGCTAGCCTCCTCTACTCGCACCCTGTACACTGTACACAGCCCGGGCCCGTGCTCGTACCAGATGATTGCGTCTCTATTCTATTCTTATGATACTGTATGCATATAAATATTGATTGGCGGTGTAATGTGGTGTCCACAGAGCGACCTGTACTCGTTCTGCCTGTCGTCGGGCACGTGGTCGCTGGTGTGCGAGGACACGGCGGCGGTGGGCGGGCCGCGGCTCGTGTTCGACCACCAGATGTGCATCGACACCGACACGCAAACAATATACGTATTCGGCGGACGCGTGCTACCCACCAACACGTTAGTATTACAAACCGATATCATCAAATCGAAGTAATCCGTTTTTCATTATATAAACCAAAGATATATCCCCCGAATATAGTCAGCAGCGAGATATACTTTTTTAGTTTTCCTAATCTGTTTTTCATACATTAGTCCAATCTGATGACTCTAAATCTTAAATTTTTATCCCTATAAATTCATAAGGCTGGTCCAAACAGTCAACTCTCAGGCGCTGTCTGGGAACTTCCCGCTAGTTCTTGCATGTTACAACTTTTAAAACGAGATAACTCCCCAATCCCGCCAGTTCTTTTTTGCGTCCATTTAATTTAGCTTTTACTATAGCATTGTATTTCTTGATTTACAGTTTTAATTTTATGTCCATATACATAAGCTTGATACTTATGTATTGTGGAATATTAAACATATCGTTATATATAAAAATTACGTGTCACGTTGTTTGTCGGCGATGAACTCCTAAACTACTGTACCGATTGCAAATTTGATTTGCACATTGTGTTCTATTTGATCCAACTTAAAAGATGGGATAGCTTATATCTTTATTTATAGTCGCAATATTATTTTATTTAAGAACCTTAACCACAGCAATGCGTGGCCGGGTCTGCTACTTTTTTATAGATAAATAAGTAGGTAAAATTTAACACGAAGTTTTAAAGTATTGTAGTAGACTAATCGTGACGTGGTCGCTAACTATGGGCCCCATCAACAAGCTCAGAGTCACTCAGAGGGCAATGGAGAGGGCTATGCTCGGAGTTTCTCTGCGTGATCGAATCAGAAATGAGGAGATCCGCAGAAGAACCAGAGTGACCGACATAGCCCGAAGAATTGCGACTTTGAAGTGGCAATGGGCAGGGCACATAGCTCGTAGGACAGATGGCCGTTGGGGCAGTAAAGTCCTCGAGTGGCGACCACGGACCGGAAGACGCAGCGTGGGAAGGCCTCCAGCAAGGTGGATCGACGATCTGGTCAAGATCGCGGGAAGGCATTGGATGCGAGCAGCGCAGGACCGATCGTCGTGGAGATCTTTGGGGGAGGCCTATGTCCAGCAGTGGACGTCTTCCGGGCTGCGATGATGATGATGATGATGAGTAGACTAATCTATATGTGTGGTGTGTGTGTAGTGAGGAGGTGGTGAGTCCGCAGTACTCCGGGCTGTACGCGTACTACATCGCGACCAACACGTGGCAGCTGTTGCTCAGCGACAAGCCCGACCCGGCCGTGCCGTCGCCGCAGCCGCGCGTTTCTCACTCCATGCTGTTCCACCCGGTGAGCCAACACATATATACTACTCTAAATTATTTTGTTTGGACCACAGTCATGTTGTACATAGTATTCAGTAACCACAACTAACAATGTCATTCCAAAATATTTTCTTGTTCTATAATTTTTAGGATTTAAGGATCTGTGAATCATTCAGTCAGTTCAGTGGTAGGGTTTTAGTTTTTGTACTTAAGTATGGAATACTTAATACAAAACAAATGTGAATAATTTGAGGATTAATAATGGATAATACAAATATAAAAAATAATGAGAACGTCACTTAAGAATAGTAAACTGCGTCCAATGGGTTTTTTATTTACTTGGAATGGTAAACAGGCTGACGATCTATCTGATGGTAAGTAGTAACCGTCGTCTATATCTCACGTGATCAAGTGACACCCATGATTCGACTTATGCAATGACATTTCAGAAATCTAAAATTCCTTTCACCATGTAATTTCATTGCCTTATCTCGATCCTTGGATCAAAACAGTTTAAAACCTGGTTTGCAACTGCGATAAGTGCTGGCTTCATAGTAATGGGGAATGATTTGATGGGGATGAATTCAGTTTTCGGTTTAGTTAGCCAATCTCTATAAATTGGATTGATTCACAATGGTTACCTGAGGGACAGTGTGGAGGTGAATGTTTAGGCTAGCTGTACAATGTATTTAATATTAAATAAATAGCTTACTAGGCGTTCTTGTATGTTCATATCTTGTGTAACACAAATCGGTGCTAATAGACCACTCAAGACGCCGTCGTTTTGGTCCTCGAATACCGTGTATCTAGCCTGAACATTACTAAGACTCTGGTTCTCCCTGGGCGGCAGGTGCAGCGGCGGTTGTACATCTTCGCGGGACAGCGCAACAAGGAGCACCTGGCGGACCTGTGGTGGTGGGACGTGGGCTCCGGGGAGCGGCGCGCGCTGTGCACGCCCGCCGCCGGCCCGCCGCCCGCCGCCGGCTTCACGCAGCGCGCCACGCTCGACCCCCACACCGACCAGATGTTCGTGCTCTCGGTCAGCTCCCCCACATACTGCCCGCGGCGCGCCACGCTCGACCCCCACACCGACCAGATGTTCGTGCTCTCGGTCAGCTCCCCCACATACTGCCCGCGGCGCGCCACGCTCGACCCCCACACCGACCAGATGTTCGTGCTCTCGGTCAGCTCCCCCACATACTGCCCGCGGCGCGCCACGCTCGACCCCCACACCGACCAGATGTTCGTGCTCTCGGGTCGGCCCGCCACGCTCGACCCCCACACCGACCAGATGTTCGTGCTCTCGGTCAGCTCCCCCACATACTGCCCGCGGCGCGCCACGCTCGACCCCCACACCGACCAGATGTTCGTGCTCTCGGTCAGCTCCCCCACATACTGCCCGCGGCGCGCCACGCTCGACCCCCACACCGACCAGATGTTCGTGCTCTCGGTCAGCTCCCCCACATACTGCCCGCGGCGCGCCACGCTCGACCCCCACACCGACCAGATGTTCGTGCTCTCGGTCAGCTCCCCCACATACTGCCCGCGGCGCGCCACGCTCGACCCCCACACCGACCAGATGTTCGTGCTCTCGGTCAGCTCCCCCACATACTGCCCGCGGCGCGCCACGCTCGACCCCCACACCGACCAGATGTTCGTGCTCTCGGTCAGCTCCCCCACATACTGCCCGCGGCGCGCCACGCTCGACCCCCACACCGACCAGATGTTCGTGCTCTCGGTCAGCTCCCCCACATACTGCCCGCGGCGCGCCACGCTCGACCCCCACACCGACCAGATGTTCGTGCTCTCGGTCAGCTCCCCCACATACTGCCCGCGGCGCGCCACGCTCGACCCCCACACCGACCAGATGTTCGTGCTCTCGGTCAGCTCCCCCACATACTGCCCGCGGCGCGCCACGCTCGACCCCCACACCGACCAGATGTTCGTGCTCTCGGTCAGCTCCCCCACATACTGCCCGCGGCGCGCCACGCTCGACCCCCATACCGACCAGATGTTCGTGCTCTCGGTCAGCTCCCCCACATACTGCCCGCGGCGCGCCACGCTCGACCCCCATACCGACCAGATGTTCGTGCTCTCGGTCAGCTCCCCCACATACTGCCCGCGGCGCGCCACGCTCGAACCCCACACCGACCAGATGTTCGTGCTCTCTGAAACTCTCTCCCTCCGCTGAACTGACCTTAATGAACTTTGACTTGAAGAGACTTTTATGAGAGCAGACGGACATAAGCTATCTCTTATCTCAATAAATAATCGGGAAGGAGGTTGAATAGGGAATAAAAATGTGTGGAGACGATGTAATAATATTTTACATGTAAAATTTTATTTTTTACTTGTTATTTTAGTGGAAACATGGTCCATAAACGCTCTTACCATAGGGGGGTGTCATTAGTCATTACTCATCGGAACGGGGTTATCGAGTTCTAACACAGTGGTTAACAATTGTAAACTGTTTTAGCGTATTTTAAATGTATAATAATTATAATGAACCCAGGACAATTCACACAACTCCTCGTAGTCCTAAGTTGAAGCAATGCTTGTGTTGTGGGTTCTAGACAACTGATAGAAATTCTGATGTACATATATATATTTTGTAAATACATACATGTTATATAGATAGAAAATACCCAATTTAAATGTTTATACCGTGCGAGAAATAGAATCAGCGACCATCGGAAGTAAGGCGATGTGCTAAACCGCTAGACCACTGTGACCGTCGAATAAACTCTGCTAATATTATGCAATTAATATTTATTTACGTCATTGCAGGGTATGAGCAAAGAGAAGGACAAGCGAGTGTACAATACACTGTGGGTGTTTTCACTGAAGCGTTTGACATGGACCTGCGTGTACCGTAATGACTGCATATCCGCCAACGAGCCGAGGCCTCGATTCGCGCATCAGCTCGTCTACGATCCCGTCAGGAAGGTACTGAATAACCTTATGCATATATTATTTACACACAGAAAGAATATAAATTATGATTTTTTTACCAAAAAATTTAAGTCACTGCTATTACAGAATTGCCTGTACTCAATTGGCGATTATTGAATTTTTATTACGATATTTTTTATGAAATAGAAGTAGCAATAATTTTTATTCAAATAAACTTAATATAAGCACTTTCGAATAGTCACATTTTTTATTTTACCACTAATTCGGAATGCAGAACAATATATATAATATGACAATTTATATCAATATTCAAAATCTTACCTCAACTCTTCCGTTTTCTTTCCCTAAGAAGTCGTGCCCTCGTACCATTGCGTTTTCAAATTAATGTACGTGATGTGAATTCGTACAGATCCACTACCTGTTCGGCGGCAACCCGGGCAACCAGAGCAACCCGCGGCTGCGGCTGGACGACCTGTGGGCGCTGCGGCTGGTGCGCGCGGACGGCGCCAGCCTGGTGGCCGGCGCGCGCGCCGCGCTGCGCGAGACCTGCTACCGGGAGATGGCGGCGCAGCCCGCGCGCGGACACCTCGCGCTGACCTACCTGCGATCCCACGTCGCCCCTACGCTCGACCACTCCGACCCGCAACAGGTGCTCGCCTCCACCCCTCAGTGGGTTTCTCAGTCTTATATATTTTAGATGTCAACAACTGAATCAACTTGCTTCAGTTGCGCCGAGTTAAGTTCATAATGGTGAAGTGTACCTGTGAAATTATATAGTACAGATATATAGATAACAGTCCACATTCAGAAGTAAAGGATGCGGTACTGTCGATCGTCAGAGAAAAAAACAAATACGATGTCGACAGCTACAATTTAACAATGTTGCCAACGAAAATGACAAAATACAAACTGCGTATGCGCGCAGGTGACGCGGTTCCAAAAGCTGGCAACGGTGCTGTTCGCTGGCGAGGCGGCGTGCGGGTGCGGGCGCGCGGCGGGCGCGGGCGGCGCGGGGGGCGCGGGCGGCGCGTGGTGCGAGCACGAGCCGCGGCCGCTGGACGCGCGGCGCGCGCGCGCGCTGTCCCGCCGCCGCGCCGAGCTGCCCGCGCACGCGGACCTCGCGCACGCCCTGCAAGCGGTAATTATTTATTTTTTATTAAGGGGGTTGGGTAATAATATAATGGTGGAGCCCGCCTGCGCTAATGGTTTACGCTGGCGGGTCACCAGTGGAAGATAATAAGATGAGCACGAGGTCAGGTCAGTTAGCCCATCGTAGTCTATCGTGGTAAATTTACCATAACGATTTCCAGGGGAAACCATGTGAAGATCAACCTGAGATGGTACATTGCTAGCAATAGAATTATTAGTCCACAATTCTAATAATCCACTTCCCCCCTTGAAGTATTGTCAGGTGCTTTAGTTTATGTATATGTACTACCTGCACTGCGACCTAAATAGTACTGCTGTGATCGCCCTTTTTTAAAGTTCGCTGCCTAGAGTCACAGGGGCATGAATTCTTAAGATGCCAGTGGTAACTCTACACATTGCTCAACTGTTTAATGAACTAGGACGAATATGAAATGTCTGTCTCCCTATCTAAAATAAATTTAGTTAGAAGACACATTTACACGTTATAACGTATGGATTTGCCATCTTGTAACATAGTGGGTGGCAAATCAAAGAACTCCTTATTATGATTTTATTGTACCAGAGATGTTAGATTTAGAACATCTTAACATACTAACATGTAACTCGAGTGTGATATTGTACTGCACAGGTGCTGGGCGCGGAGGACAACGCGGCGGAGATGGAGGCGACGATGCCGTTCGAGACGATATCGGCGCCCGCGCCCGACACGTGGGAGGTCGGCGAGGACGCGGACGAGGACGAGGCCGCGGCCGCATCCGCCGGCGCCGTGTGGTGCGCGCGCGCCGCCCGCCTGCGGCTCTACGACCGGCTCGCGCGCTACTTCCGGCCCAGCACCGTGCCGCCCGCCGCCGACCTCGCCGACCTCGTGCGCCTCTAACTGCGGCTCTACGACCGGCTCGCGCGCTACTTCCGGCCCAGCACCGTGCCGCCCGCCGCCGACCTCGCCGACCTCGTGCGCCTCTAACTGCGGCTCTACGACCGGCTCGCGCGCTACTTCCGGCCCAGCACCGTGCCGCCCGCCGCCGACCTCGCCGACCTCGTGCGCCTCTAACTGCGGCTCTACGACCGGCTCGCGCGCTACTTCCGGCCCAGCACCGTGCCGCCCGCCGCCGACCTCGCCGACCTCGTGCGCCTCTAACTGCGGCTCTACGACCGGCTCGCGCGCTACTTCCGGCCCAGCACCGTGCCGCCCGCCGCCGACCTCGCCGACCTCGTGCGCCTCTAACTGCGGCTCTACGACCGGCTCGCGCGCTACTTCCGGCCCAGCACCGTGCCGCCCGCCGCCGACCTCGCCGACCTCGTGCGCCTCTAACTGCGGCTCTACGACCGGCTCGCGCGCTACTTCTGTACGTAGAGTATTAGCTTAACTTACTACTAAATGCATTTGGAAAGTATCAATAGTAAACAAAAGAAAGTAGGTGTCGATAAGGCTACGGTACCGGTTTACCATCAGCTAGGCCTTAAGCTTGTTTCCCACCATCATAGTATAAAAAAAAAACAAAGTGTTGTGAATTTCAAGTTCCAAGAACTTGGATAGATCGACAGTATCGATAGATTATTAGTTTTTCATCATCTTTATACCGCGGGGTACATATTGGCAATGGTTGCTGTCTTTTGATTTTATTTCTCTAAATATTGCTTGTTATACTACTATTCGTATAATTCTTTATAAATCGATTCGATCGTAAATTACGAAATAGTATAGTTATAAGACATTTTTGTTGATAGATACCCAAAAAAAGAAAAAAAACTTGTCAAATTTTGCTCAACACCATTTTTTCCACAGCGGCTGCAGTTGGGAAATAGTAAAAAAAGTATATCGAATTTATGTAACTTACATATAACTTTTAATAGTTTTTTCTTCTAACAATGTAAATAAACCCTTTAAAGTGTTTCCAACCAGCGGTTACAATAACTGTTGTTTTGAATTTCTAATTTTAGGAAATATAAAATATTAATTTGTAGTATCCCCAGGGTGACTAATAAATTAAATTATTATTTTTTAATGTGTGATTGGTATGAATTTATAACGAATACTTTCTTTTAAAGTATGTGTGGGAATGCAATGGTGGAGTTTTAATTTAATGACGTAAATAAACGTTTATATAAAGTAAAGAAATAGGAGTGTTGGTGAAATTATTGTGTTATTAGATATATTCCTCTGTCTGTTTCAAATTAATGTCACAGCGCGTATATAATCATAGAATAAGGATTCTCAATATCTATTAAGTAGATTCTCAATACTGCCAGTATCACTATTACATTTTTTACTGTTATGTCCATACAAAAACTGTATCACAGTATCTATATTTAGATGTTATTAGTGGTGTATCTTATATATAAAGATCATTTCTAAGAAGCTGACAATATATTACATCGGAGACGCTAAAAGTGCGTCTCCGAGGTAATACGTTAATAAGATATTAATAATAATCTAATTACCTTTCTGTTACCTCAGTTACACTAAGGTAGGTAGGCATTATGAACTGTCGACGTGTTCTTTTTTTGTATACGCTTACTTCTGCTCAAACGCAGGATTTATTTTGCTATGGTTGGGGACAGGGGTATAAATAAACTGAAAGCGACACTATACCCCTCAAATAGAAAGAGATGATCATGTTATGTAAAAAATAAGAAGGCGCCGATGTACTTCAATTAACATAAGAAACAATTTATATTGTGTAATTGTAATATGTACGATTAGTGTGTAAGTCATGCGCTGTGATATTATGTCATCTTTTATATTTATAACTTAGCAACGCATTTTATTGTAAATAATAAATAATATACCTACATTGTAATATTATTATCGTATATTTTAGATTAAATTCTAGTTATATTTACTGTAATTATTATTATGTTTTTATGGACTCGATTAGAATGGCTTTGGAATTGTGTTTTATTATGTGACAAATTAATTAATAAATATTAATTTGGAAAATATTAATCTATCGATAATACAAAACTTTAATTTTATGGGTGTGCTGAGTGCGTTTTGAATTACTTCGCGGAAAGTGTAACAATAGTTTTTAAAATTCTTTTATCTTGATGAGAAAGAACTCTTTTTACCAACATAGAATAAATTTTTCAATAAAATTTTGATTACTTTAAGGTGCGTATTAACTGTGATTATGCTCACGAAACTATTTATTATATTAAGCAATTAAGCTTAATTATATAATAATTATTATTTGAATCAAATTTAAATCCAGTTTTGCAATGATGCGTGAACTATTTAACAGTAGGCGTTCAACTGTAAATTTTAATCTGATCCATTTAGGAAAGTTTTCTAATAGCAATTTATTAACTAAGCGGACGTTGTCACTGTATATCACATGGTTTTAATTCAAGTAATCGTCCCATTTAGCTTTTATTTTACTTACGTATCATCGTACAACATCGAGTAAAGATTGTTGTTGTGTTACAGTGCACGCGAATGGTCAGTTGGTGAATACGTAGTTGAAATATAGCGATTTATTTTGTAAAGCTATTTTTATTAACATTAAAACTATCTTACAGCATTACTTTTATATATGTTTAAAATGGAGGCTTAATATTGGATTGTTAAATAATTGTTAATTTTTTTATTTTATTGTAATGATTAGGTAGTGAGTGGCCATACCAACCGCCCACTGGTTTACAGACTGTGATACGATGTTATAGTCAATAGCGTATAACGAGTATTTTTGTTCGTCTTAACTCTTGAGTTAAATAAATACTAAAAGTATTATCGATATACTTTATATCATTTTAATTTAAGTTGTTTCAATTCAGAGACGGCGTTAGGAAATTTGAAATTATAATATAAATACGAAATACGTAAAAAATATATTATGTATATTATACGTTTAGTATACGTACAGGCATATTGTGCACCAGCAAAATTGTTATCGAAAGTAATCTAAATAAAATACGATTTTTCTAGAAGTCTTCTGTCTCCTGCATTATTAAATGTGAGAGGAATACATTTATTTCATACAAATCAAAATAAAATCTTTTAATTGTATTATAGATATTAATAATATTATGGACACTATTTCTACAGCATACGACTTTAAACCTAAGGCAATGTTTTGATTGGTACTAATTAATATGGAAAACATAATGCTGAGGTCAGTAGATATTGGATTTGTTGAGCTTGGACCAAAGATAACCAATTTGTCGATTCGGTATTTAAGCATATAAGCTTGATGCCAAGGATTTGTGGGTCTAAGAACGATACAGTGCCAATACGATTTGTGTAGGATATGTAGAAGAAGGATGTTCAATTATCAATAAAAGTGCTCATACACCTGTAATGTCCAGTTTGCGTTTCGCTAATCTTAGTCCTTTTATCTAACAAAGTAGAAAAAATATTGCTAATAAGTTCTAATATAAACGGGTAATCGCATTTTCTATTGATGGGAATTATTGTCCGTCAAGACTCTAGATCTTGTACCTATTTTTGTGTGTTATAATATATAAACTACATAATTACAGTTGCATTGTTTTACACTACCTGAATTACCAAATTTCTAATGTTCTTTGTCTAATCAAATCATATGGAAGTTGTAGCGGTAGGAAAGCATTTCACATGTGAGTGATATTGATAGTAATAGATACTTTTAATTTTATCACATAATATTAATATTAAAATTCCGAACTAACCGAGATCGAAATGGGGGTTACCGTTTCGGTCTCGGTTTGTTTGGAACTTTTGTAAATATTAATTTTCTACTATAAGAATAACTTATAACTATTTTGACTTTTCAACACGAAATGTATTCTCAGTCTGTATGTACATAATTTAATAAATTTGTTATTTATTCAAGAAACATGTATTATTATATTTTTAACAAGCCGTGAATTCTTATATTATAATCTTAAAATGCGAAATTACCGAATTTTACATTGTGAACAATATTAAAAAATGTTCAAAATTACAATGATAATTCTGCTCTGAATTCCCAAAACATTAAGGCATTTTTTGCAGACAATCGCATCGCCGAATACTAAGTATAAATTAATTCATGTGGAAAGGGATGTTCTTTCGCACATCTTCAGTATTAATAGGCCAAATATTGAATGTGGTGGTTGAGGAGATTGTTGACTTCGGTAAGTGAGTCTCCTTAAACCTACACTCGGGTCACAAGTCCCAAGAACGGAACAGAGTTGTCTTCTCTGCGATGATGAAGTTCGTCTCTTTACATTCCATTCTGTATGATAACGATTGTTACAAAACAAGGTGAATACGTTCTAAATAAAATTAGGGTTGGAAAGGCCCAGCTCAACACAGTACGCAACACTTACTTCTGTTATAGCAGTAACTCAAATATTATTAAAATATAAAGAATCGAGGTAAAGGAATAAAACACTAAAAAACGTTTCAATTTTAAATATAATAATTTATTTTCATACATGATTTATATCAGTCATTGCGACAACACGGCGTGCCTTATATTTCGAAAATAAATCCGCTCTATTTATCATGATATGTTCCCGAGGTTGGTTCATTCATCTGTCGTTGAATAACGATACAATCAATATACGACCAATAATAGTATACTCTTCAATGCTCGCATGTTAGCCATACTGGTGCCCTGACGCTTAACTTTGTAAAGACATGTAATCTGATGTCATTGATTACACAAAATTAACAACATCGTTGCCATCTTGTAAAATAAAACTAAAAAAAAAAGTTCAATCAAAGTGAACCATCAAACTGTGCAATAAAGGCCAGGCCGACAAAAACAATCCAACAATTACTCAGCTACAGATTATAATGAATCCATTATAATAATGGGAACATACATGCTTCAGGTTGTCAAACACATAAATCATGTTGCAATATAAGTAGCGAGCATTTAATATATATGTATATATATCTATATCTTCTGATTTTTAAATAATAAGAACAAATAGTCAATATGTACTTTACTAAAGTATAAAATAATATCTATGCCTATGTAAATAAAATAAATAATCTAAAGTGTTATAGAACTGTATAAAGAAAAAATATTTGGTTAATCGCTCTCACCACCACCACCAGCGAGTGGCAGCAGACATCGAGCGATACCATTCCCTTATTATGCATAACGAAATACTGCTATACTTGCAACTTGTAAACTGCGCGATAGATGTGTGCTCTATTAATTAACAGAACTGTTGCAATTTAATTATAGATCAAATAATATGTATGGTGCAAAACATTTTAACTTTCTGCTCCAGTCATATAGTCAGAAATATTTTCATAAATGTCATAACAATTTAATTTAAACATAATAACTGATTTTATGATGTCAAAAACAGAACACAAATAACGCAAACATAACAATGTCAAATAGAAAATGACGTGTTGCATTCAGTATGTAGTATTCATGAACAAGATGTTTACTACAACCTTTAAAAATATATTATGTCGACGATGGTGCCTCTGTAGTTTGTTTCGTGTGAACCTTTGAAGTGGATCAATGTAGAAACAGGCCACAGAGGCGCACCAGTAATAGTGACTAGACACAAACGATACATAAACGATGTCTGCTGCTAAGCTACTGAGAAAAATAATACTTAGTGAAAAGATAAAGCTAATATGGTAAGTCCATAGTTTAAGTACACGAACAGTGCTCTACGTTAATAGCTAGTATAATAAAATATGTTACCATCTAATAAACAATAAATGCAAGGCTATGGTCCTCGCGGCGCCGGCGCCCGCCGGGGCGGTCGCGGCGCCACTTTGAGCTATGCAAATAAATTACGCTACAAACAGTTAATATTGCAAATAAATTTCACTACTCGAGAACTGGATTCTCCTTTAGACAGATATAACCTACGAAGTATACTTGAAGGCTAATGTATTATCTAGGTTTATGCCTAAATCAGTAAAAATATCTACTGAGGGCGAGTGCCCACTACATGGAACGGTTGAACTAGCCTAAGTCCAGTGTGACACTAGAAGAGATAAACGACTACGTCATTGACCGTTACGCGCGACCTCATCGCGGATAGCTGCCAATATCACATCCAATAACGTAAATTATACATCATAACACTTTAATAATCATTTGTAAATTTCGACTTATTCATAGAAGGCCGGCCGACGCTCGTGAGCAACATTTTTGAGCAAACTCAGGAGCTGATAAATTTATTTTCAATAAGTTTAATAATCACTGCTATTTCAGGTATAAAACATGGGATTCACTAAATATATAAGAGCACATATTATTTTGGGAGGTCGGCCAGCTCATGGACAAGAAATGGACGCGTGTGGCGACGCCACGGGACGGCAGAGTGCGGCCTCCGGCCCACACGACAACCAAACGGAAACACTACCCATACAACTAGAACAAGATGGACGAAAGTATTTGGCAGAGGGCCACAACAACACAACACAACAAACATATCAACTAGAAACAGATTACATAGTCTTTTTGCGCACACAATGGATGGACATCGACGAATAATTTTAGAAATTTTTTGGACGTACTAAACATTCGTATCGAGTGGATTCCTTCTTTATACATATACGGAATCATAAGATTACTTTAATAAATATATATGTATATGATAAAAAATAACATTGCACGGTTTTATTATAATTCTCGTCAGACCACAGAATATAATGTAACAATAAAATCTGCTCTTTATTTCACAGGTTAAATCTTCGCGTTACTATATCATCAACAACCGTGATAAATTCTTTTGCGGTAATAAAATACACCAATGCTATTACAAAAATATGTGTCAAACATTAATATGATGACGTGCAATAGGTATAGGAAATTCGATATCAAAATATTCGATAATTTAAGATGTAGGAGACACGGGGGCGAAGTACATAAAATAGAGACGCAACAATCAAACTTCGAACGAGTATTAGCTCGGCAAGAGTAGCCGATCGATCGACCGTAGAAGCCTAAGGTAACTAACAATAAACGCATAGCGGGCGAGACGACAACGACAACTGCGCTCCCCGCCGCGGCGTGCCCGCTCACTCCCCGTACAATAAAATCAGTCAACTTCAATATAACACCGACCGTCTAGCTCGGGGGAACCCGCGGGAACGCGGCGACCTCACATACTCATACACATATATATCATCGGTGAAGTGTCGCCTCTGGTCCGCGGGCGGGCGCGGGCGCTCTGCACAGTTTGATGGTTCACGGCGGCTCGCGGCCGGCCGCGCCACGCCCGCCCGCGATCGACCCGCGCGGGCTCCCCGCCTTAAATGTACCGGTACGATTAATTAGATTAGTTCTTACAAAAAGTATAAATAATTTTCCCTAAGAACGACAACATTAAAAAGTCGGAGCGGTGTAACCTCGTGCGGCTCGGCTATCGTATAAATTCGTGGAGGCGATGGGGGCGCGGGCGGGCGCGGGCGGGCGCGTGCAGCAGCGCCCGCAGCGCGGCGGCGGCGGCCTTGAGCGCCGTCACCAGCCGCTAGAACTCCCGGCCGCGCGCCCGCGTCGCGCCCGCCGCCTTCGGCACGCGCCGCGTGCGCATCTCGCGGTCCACCTGCGTTTCATGAGTTACATACACTAGCATACTACTTTATACAAATTATAATAGAATAAGCTTCTTTTGATAGTTATACGAAACAAATTGTAGTATAATTAACGTAATGAGTACAATATTAATATAACACTAACTCCACAGACGACTGGTAAAAATGTACATATATTATTGATTGCTGTAATAGATGAGGAAACTTGTGTTGACTAAGAGAACCGCTATGAGTTCGAACCTAGGCTCAGACCGTTGTAATTACGATCTATACTAAATATGTATCTTTTTTTTCTGTATCAAATGTCCGTAACTAAATGACGTATAGTTACCTCAAGCTCCTCGAGTCTCTGCGTGAGCGCCAGTTTCTGTTGTACAGCGAGCCGCAACAGCTGGTTGAGAGTCTTCTTCTCTTCCTCGGCGCCGGACAACGACTGGGTCAGCTCATCCACCTGCGTAACGTACTCCTCGCAGCGGGCCGCGAACATTGCACGTAAACCTGCGATACATTATTATGTAAACAAATTTGCTATGAAATTAAAGTCCTTACGGCCGTCTCCATCCGGTTTGAAGGACTATAAATGTGTCATCAAGGAGACCACCTATTTATGTTACGTCCGCGATATCCCTTACGCGTCGCTACTTCATAGGATTAATATGACTGGCCTCAGCGCTTTGTAATCTTACCGTTTAAAGCAAAGTACAGCTTATAAAGCAAGATAGTTGGAAGAAGACATAGTAGACGAGATCGAGATAACCTGATAGACGATTTTGTATAAAGTCTACCTCAAAATTAATACAATATACATACTTGAGAACGTTGCAGCATCCTCCTTGAGCAGCCTGAGCTCGTTTCTGAGCTTGAGCATGGTCTCCGTGACGATGGTCTTCTCCGTTTCGTACTTGGACTTGAGGTTGGCGAGCGCCACCTCCGCGGTGTTCTTGTTGGACTTGAGCACCGTTCGCAGGGTGGCGATCTGTTCGCGCTTCGTCGACAGCAGTGACTTGAGTTTTATCACTTGCTCTTGGAGTTCTGCCATTTCGGCACCGCGTTCTTCGGTTTCCATGACTGTGGAATTATAATAGAACAACTCGTTCATTTTATGTTGCTATAAAAAAATAAACAGAATTAAAATATATAAACATTAATTACATGTTATACATATTTAAATGTATTTGAATGAATGAATGAATGATTATTTACTAAATATGGGTAAGTAAATTACTTCATGTAGGTAAATATACACAAGACACTTAACAACTCTACTTTTATTTTTCTTTCTTACAGTAGGTAACCTTACTTTGTGTATTCATATACCTAAATATATTAATATATACAAACATGAAATGTCCATTACTATTAATTCAACATTACTTTTTTTGCTATATTTATTTACATTATTTACATAAACCGAGTATGCAATTTATCATCTAATAATAATAACGAAAAAGTTGAACAACAACGGTTTTCTATTAATTCATACAATGTTTAATTTTAATATAATTTAAAGAAAGGAAGAATTCTTACATTAGTGACTGCAATCTTAATCACATTATATACTGCAACATAAGGACACAGACTATAAGGCTTGACTTTAACGACTCTCTAACATTAGAAATGATAGTGTCTCGTTGTAACATGACATTAGACATTTTTCTATGACTTCGGTTTTGTAACAGAGCATTATTCCATACAAAGCGGACGCTCACTTCGCCTCTAGGAGAAATGCATTTCCTAGACATATCAGTGTACAATTTTCTAGTGGAATACGGCAGACTAGTCTTTGGAAATGAGGTCATAAAGTTTCTTGTTCTATAACAGTTTAACATCTTCGAACTCCATGACTTGGGTTCCATCTCTTTAGATTTAAAATGGTACCTATCACATTCATGGGTACCAGATTTGATTCTTGTAATGTTCTCAAAATAATCAGTTATTTCTTTAACAGTTCGTCCATTGCAGACGTTAGTCTCGCATATATTTGGGGTTTCGATTTCTAGTGACTTCATTTGTATGACTAAATTATGTAATTTTCTTTTCGTATCGGCAATTTTTATTTTGCCATTATTTCGTTCTTTAATATTCTTTAATAAACTATTGTTACACGGACCTCTCAGTTTCCAGGAAGACTGTTCTTTATGACATATCTCTGGGAATGAAATACCAAAAAATAATAGCAACAACTAAGACAAATTCACAATTTCAGGGTTAAACTCTATAACTTTATTATATTGCTAGCATAGGTCGTCGTATGTCGTGTCGTGTCGGTACGTACCGAGTTGGTGTCGATTGCGGAAGCTGCATTGATATTCTGTAAGAGATTTATTAACTCGATTCACACATCGCTTCAGTTAAGGCACTCGTATCCATTTGGAAATATAAAATTCCTATTGAGCTAACGAGTTTGCCTATATTTCTAAAAAAATCACGAGTGTTTGTTTTACCTCTATCCCGCTCTTGAGGGTGTGGTTTTACAGAATACCAATGTACAATCTCGCCGCGGATTCCGCTATTGAATTAGTAAGTGACGCTTACTGGATGATAGCTTTACTGGTCGAGCAGCGTGTCGTGTAGTGTGGTGTCGTGTCGGTACGTACCGGGCTGGTGCCGGTTGCGCGAGTCGAGCGCGGTGTCGAGCGCGGCCCGCAGGTGCGTGAGCTGGTCGAGCAGCGTGTCGTGTAGTGTGGTGTCGTGTCGGTACGTACCGGGCTGGTGCCGGTTGCGCGAGTCGAGCGCGGTGTCGAGCGCGGCCCGCAGGTGCGTGAGCTGGTCGAGCAGCGTGTCGTGTAGTGTGGTGTCGTGTCGGTACGTACCGGGCTGGTGCCGGTTGCGCGAGTCGAGCGCGGTGTCGAGCGCGGCCCGCAGGTGCGTGAGCTGGTCGAGCAGCGTGTCGTGTAGTGTGGTGTCGTGTCGGTACGTACCGGGCTGGTGCCGGTTGCGCGAGTCGAGCGCGGTGTCGAGCGCGGCCCGCAGGTGCGTGAGCTGGTCGAGCAGCGTGTCGTGTAGTGTGGTGTCGTGTCGGTACGTACCGGGCTGGTGCCGGTTGCGCGAGTCGAGCGCGGTGTCGAGCGCGGCCCGCAGGTGCGTGAGCTGGTCGAGCAGCGTGTCGTGTAGTGTGGTGTCGTGTCGGTACGTACCGGGCTGGTGCCGGTTGCGCGAGTCGAGCGCGGTGTCGAGCGCGGCCCGCAGGTGCGTGAGCTGGTCGAGCAGCGTGTCGTGTAGTGTGGTGTCGTGTCGGTACGTACCGGGCTGGTGCCGGTTGCGCGAGTCGAGCGCGGTGTCGAGCGCGGCCCGCAGGTGCGTGAGCTGGTCGAGCAGCGTGTCGTGTAGTGTGGTGTCGTGTCGGTACGTACCGGGCTGGTGCCGGTTGCGCGAGTCGAGCGCGGTGTCGAGCGCGGCCCGCAGGTGCGTGAGCTGGTCGAGCAGCGTGTCGTGTAGTGTGGTGTCGTGTCGGTACGTACCGGGCTGGTGCCGGTTGCGCGAGTCGAGCGCGGTGTCGAGCGCGGCCCGCAGGTGCGTGAGCTGGTCGAGCAGCGTGTCGTGTAGTGTGGTGTCGTGTCGGTACGTACCGGGCTGGTGCCGGTTGCGCGAGTCGAGCGCGGTGTCGAGCGCGGCCCGCAGGTGCGTGAGCTGGTCGAGCAGCGTGTCGTGTAGTGTGGTGTCGTGTCGGTACGTACCGGGCTGGTGCCGGTTGCGCGAGTCGAGCGCGGTGTCGAGCGCGGCCCGCAGGTGCGTGAGCTGGTCGAGCAGCGTGTCGTGTAGTGTGGTGTCGTGTCGGTACGTACCGGGCTGGTGCCGGTTGCGCGAGTCGAGCGCGGTGTCGAGCGCGGCCCGCAGGTGCGTGAGCTGGTCGAGCAGCGTGTCGTGTAGTGTGGTGTCGTGTCGGTACGTACCGGGCTGGTGCCGGTTGCGCGAGTCGAGCGCGGTGTCGAGCGCGGCCCGCAGGTGCGTGAGCTGGTCGAGCAGCGTGTCGTGTAGTGTGGTGTCGTGTCGGTACGTACCGGGCTGGTGCCGGTTGCGCGAGTCGAGCGCGGTGTCGAGCGCGGCCCGCAGGTGCGTGAGCTGGTCGAGCAGCGTGTCGTGTAGTGTGGTGTCGTGTCGGTACGTACCGGGCTGGTGCCGGTTGCGCGAGTCGAGCGCGGTGTCGAGCGCGGCCCGCAGGTGCGTGAGCTGGTCGAGCAGCGTGTCGTGTAGTGTGGTGTCGTGTCGGTACGTACCGGGCTGGTGCCGGTTGCGCGAGTCGAGCGCGGTGTCGAGCGCGGCCCGCAGGTGCGTGAGCTGGTCGAGCAGCGTGTCTGCGGAGCGCGCCACGCCGCCGGCGGCGCGCAGTCCCTCCAGCTCGCCGGCCGCCAGCGCCAGCGCCTCGTCCTCCACCGACCGACCCTCGCCGCCGCCCACTGTTGGATGTACAGTAATATAATTTAAATAATTTGTGGTCGTTATACATATACTAAATTTAATATGTGTTTATTCTAATTCCATTAAGCTTGTGTCGGACAAGTTTGTGTATTTTTTTTAAATATAAAACTAACAAGTACCATCAGTCTGGCCGGCGTGCTCGAGAAGAAGCCGCTCAGGTTGCGTTCCGTTGACGGCGCACACGTGGTGATAAATCTGTGCCAATGTTTCTGCGGCCGACGCGAGCGCCGGCGCAGCAGTCGACAATGCTCGTCCCGCGCCTGCAAACATGTAATATAATAATTAAAAAGAAATTGTTGTAATGTACTTAATGTATTTTTAATCCAGAAATCGAGAGTAGGTTTAGCAATATAAGATCACGACGTTCATAATCTAGTACGTACGTATCACTTTCAAAATTGCCTGGTTTTTGTAGCGGATCTGCTTGCTAAGAAAAGAAAAAAAAGTAAGTAGATCAGCCGCGCCGGCGGCCGCACAGTGCGGGTCGTACCTCCGGCGAGCGTGCGCAGCAGCTCCGCGTCGGCGTGCAGCGCGGCGGCGCGCACCTCCGCCTCGGCGACGCGGTCGGCGAGCTGCGCGAGCGCGTGGCGCGCCAGCGCGGCGGGCGAGCCGTCGGCGGGCGCGGCGGCCGCCTGCAGCTCGGCCAGCTGCGCCGCCAGCGCGCTCACCTCGCCGCCCGACACGCGCCACCACGTCAACCACCGCGCCGCGCGCGCGCTCACGCCGCCCGACGACTTCTCCTTCTCGTCCTCCTTCACAGATTATACCGATACATAACTTCAATAAAAATTCTTTGGATAAATCAATTTTTAAGCCTCCTATGAAGCAATAAAATGGATACGACACATTGATGGTTCTCATTAATATAACAGAGTAAACCTGACCCATTATTTTTTTTTCTTTCAAATAATTTACACAACACACTTGCCACTGTGGTCTCGCTGACCACCTGATGTCGCGTGTAGCGCGGTAAACCATCTGCTGGCCCGCACGAACCCCGCTCGCTACTATGACGTGTGTTAGTACTGACCAGCGGCGCGCAGTCCCCGTGCAGCGCGTGAAGCGCTGTGAGGCGGCTGGCGGCCCGCACAAGTCCGGCTCGCAGTAAAGCAGCCGCCGCGCCTTCGTTCTCCGCCGTTGCTTGCGCAGCACGCATCGACGCCGACAGTTGAGTCTACACACAGTAAAATATTATTTTAAATATACATGTATTTAAGTTTAAAATTAGACTCTTTTTAAACGAAGCAACATTACCACTTCACAACTATACTTCCTTAAGTAGAGGTGATATTTAGTTAGTTAACAACATGTGAGTACAACATACGTTTTCATTGTGTGCCTGCTCGAGCTGTTTCTCGAGACGTGTGATTTCATGCAAATGCACTTCTGAGAAGAGATCGGCGTGGTGATCACCCATAGCAGTCGCAAGTTCTGCGGCGTTCGATCCGCCCGGTTCACCTTCATCCTCTGTGCTATCTTCTGGCATACCTAAAAAGAAAATTAAATAATCGTTTATCCTGGCTAATAAATCTAAGGTAAAAAATAAAACATGTCTAAAAGATTTACAAAGTACAAGAAATTTTTGTATAAACGGGAATATACAGCCACATAGGCAAACCTATTAGAAATCAGTAAATTTTAATATAAGCATAACACAACATAGTATAATACTTATTAGAAAAAAAAAATTAACTTAATAATATTACTATAATTTCTTTCTTTTACATTAAAATATGGGGTTTTTCATAAACCTGGTATATTATTGGGATGAAATGACTTGTGTAACCTAAAAATAGGTTTCTTTTTTTTAATCCGAAGTGTGTAGTAACTTTGGCAACATTATAAATTATTCTGACCTCGTATACTGTACGCCAAGTTAGTGATATTGTATGCAGCCTCTCTACTAAGGTGTGCATCAAGCTCTTTCTTGGCTGCAAATTTAGCTTCCCGCTCGGCCTGCAGCGCTTCCAGCGCTTCGGCCAGCTGCCGCTCAGCGATGCGTCGCAATGCTGCCGTCTCCTCAGCAGCTGCACGAGCATTCTCAGCCTCTTCACGTAGCTGACGGACTTCATGCTTTAAACCTTCAAACTCCACCTATAATCATATTAATACATAAATCAATACTGCGAGGTAATCCTCTTCCACCACAGAGACCAAGAACAATGACAAAAAATAGAAACAAGAAGTTTGAACAATAACTAAAAGAAATGACACCTACTGTTTTTACTATTATTCAATCTACATCTTAGTATGAAGGAGGCAAGGAATAAAGGAAACGTCATATTAAACACATCCTAAGTGATCAGTTAACAACAAAGCTGTATCAACTAGTCTCAGATAATACGATCTAATCTTGCTCTATGTATCGAATCATAAATAACAGTAAAACATAATCATCATAACAATTCTAGATTTGACCATTTCAAATATGTTACTAAACTATTAAGTATTCACTCTACAGAACACTTAATATGAATCATGCTCAGACTGCATGAAGAATAACGGTAATTTGTTGGATGCCATTATACGTCCTACGCGTCTTTTAAGAAGCTACATTTTTGCAGAATTTTGATGACTACAAAATTCAGTAATCAATTTACTTACTCAAGTTCAAGTTCATATGGCGTTGCAATTAATAGAATAGAAAATCCTTTATTCAAATATACTTAATGTAACTATTAAGCACTTTTTAATAGTCATCAGAATTTTTTAATCTAACTCTCATGCGTCTTATCACAAGAAGAATGAGCAAGAAACTTGCATGTTGCTCTTTTAAATAATCGTTGCAACTGCATTTTTCAGTCGAAACGTGTAAATACAAACTATTAACTAGCACTAATTTATTAAGGCGAAATATTAAATACACATTAAGATTAATAAATAAATGAATATTATTAGAGGATTCTGACCTGCGAGGATCGTAGTGCGGATACTTGTTTTTGTAGCGATATGTTCTCGTCCTCGAGGTCGCCGATGTCGACGAGGAGTCGTTGTTCCCGCTGTCTGGCCTCGCGCAGTTCCGCGCGGAGTGCTACACGCTCTGACTCGCGGCTCGCCTTGTCCGCCCCCAGCTCTGAACTCTCTGCGAGCAGGCGGTCGCGCTCGCTCACCACGCGCTCCAGCTCGTGTCGCAGCTGATCACAAACGTATAAAACGTACTGTTATTTTCTAATACTCAATTTGACAGACTCGGTGGTACATCAGAATAGCACCCCGCTTTATTGCCGATGGTCGCGAGTTCGATTCCGCGCACGATGCAAACATTTATATTCATGAGGATGATTAGTCTGGATGTTTATATTATGAATGTATTTACAAAAAGTATCTATGTATTTATATCAATTGTCTAGTACCAGTAACACATGTTCTGATTGCCCTGGGGCTAGATCGCGTTGTGTTAATTGGCTTATTTATAATTAATGAAGAACAATAAATAATTGTATTTTTTCTCCCGAACTCAAAAAATAATTAATCATCTGATCACGTTTGTTTACACCGTGAACTAAAAAAGCCAACATGATATATCCGCGCGAGCACCTAAATGCCGCAGGGTTGGAAAAGAGGTTCCTTTTTCTCGCTAGACGCCTACCAAGTATAATTACACACATGATCACAAGTTATCATAACTCAGTATCAATAAAATTACATGAAATTAAACGTTTATTTGCGAGGAATCTGGTGTGCACAATGATTAAAGAATCGATACATATAGTTCAGTATAGTACCTATATTTTCCTTCTTATGTGTCAATATGCAAATTTAACATGAATGATTCATAGCATTATTATTATATAATTAATTTAAAGTTATTACATATTATTGTTAATTTTATTCAATTAATTTCAAATCATTGTACAATAATTCAATGCAATTATATGGAATCCAAAAGTGGTTTATCTAAATAGAAAAATACCTAGATCACTATCACGCGAGATTATCTCCAATGTAATCTTCATTGACAGTGAGTAATATATGATGATGGGATGTGGTTTATATTTTAAACAAACTAAGATCCTATCATAATTGCACCCGAGGGATGCCAGGCGGGTTACTAGTCCATGATTTTTTAATTTCAGTTATTCTTATCACAATTGCTGTAAATGATTTAATGTAGACAAAAGCTAATAGCTTGATGGGTTTACTGTTGTAAATATATTTTTTCTGATGGACACTATTGAATAAGATCTAATAAGAATTATGTACATTATTGCGTTGAAACCTAGAACCGGTTTTGCCAATAAAATTTTCATTAAAATATTTTTTAACAATTTTAATTTTTACTTGCTGGATGTTTTTTCTTTCACGTTTTTCTATACTGGTGCCTTCTTTGGAAATATGCGATTAAAAATAATTTTTATGCAGTCAGTATGTTCCACATTTATAACAATTTTAAGCGAAACAGTCACAAATTTATATCCATCTATGTCATGAAAATTTTCACATTTAAAATGCTTTTTATTATATATATTTATACGACGTCTAGTAGGATATTAAGTCAATAGTAACCCACAGCATTCGAATAATGTTCAACCAGTATGGAAAGTCTATTTTTAAACATTCACAAACAGTCACTTTGTTGATTAGTCGGTATACATATTTATACTTATGCGTCGCGTAGGGTGTGCCACCTATAAAACTTCCTCGCATTTTGGATGAATTGCTGTACAGTCATCGCGGCACGAAAATATCACAATGTCATAAAAATGCTGGGTAGGAAATTAAATGTATGTTATTAGGTTTATTGGATATAATTAATCAATATTATTATTATTTATAATTAGCTGTGCCCGCGGTGAAATTTATAGCCTATATGATATTCTGATGTATAAGCTATATTACTGTAAAGTTTCATAGAAATCCGTTCAGTAGTTTTTGTGTGAAATTGTAACAAACATCCATCCATACTCACAAACCTTCGCGTTTATAATATTAATAAGATAGATACTAAAAGAAAAATAGATTAGAGGTATTTCATAGGCCATAAACATATTACGTAAATACAGTACTGTATAGATTTCTACTTTCGACTTCAATTTGTATTTTTTTTATATACTATAATTGGAATGGCATACAAGTTGACGGCCCACGTGACGGTAAGTGGTAACCGTCTTCTGCATACATAAATTGCACTACGAACATAACGTCATCATGTGACGCCAGTAGCCCAGATTCATTGGTTGCCAATTTGGAGGACTTAGATATTTTATAAACGGGGAAAATGTGACCCAGAACACGATATTGCGTAGATAGTTAAATATAAATGTATAATGACTTCCTTTTATTAGTTTCAGAGTGCCAATTATTGATTTAGGTTCATATAATTTTACAAGCGTATGTTTCGGTAGATTGCAGAATTAAAAAACTTATAGATTTAATCAACAACACGGTGATCTAATGTAAGTGCAATGCCAAGGCTTTTACGTAATGCATTCAGCCAGTGTTACTAGGTAGACAGTGATAACAGAATTGACCTATATATTTATAGCCAATAACTGAGTTCTACCGGTGAAATATTTAGGTATATTGTTAACTAAATATGGAAATAAATTAAAAAAAGTATTATGAATACAACGGCAATATTCAATATTAACTGTGCTCGTGAATTTATACGTGTTTATTCAAAAATATTATATGTTCCTACAATTGTGGGCGTATTTAATTTCAATATTACGTAGTTTACTGAATATTATAAAAATGTGACTACTTATCACATAATAAATACCACTATTATTTATATTCAGAACTTTATACATATGAAAATAGAGAACAATTTGCATCAGATGCGAACCGGCTAAGATCTAATCACGTTTTAATTACATCTGAAATTAGTTTTAGTGCACTATGATTTATTAACAGCATTGTTAAGAAACACAGAGAAAGCATACCGAGTAAAAGAATCTAATTGTCATAATTCTTTACTGACTTCGACGAGATAACATTAATCATAATCTGATTTTATAATTAATTTTTATGTTAAAAAATAGTTCCTTAAATAAAGGATAGTTAAAAAAATCTAAACCGTGTCAAAGCCACCATCACAAAAGATTTTAAATCCAATTATATATATATATCGTATTAAGTTACGCGATATCTTCACACCATAACGATTTAAATGATTTTTTTAACTGATACCGTTCTCGTAATATTGCCATAATAATTTTAAAATGATTGCAGTTGTTTCTTTACGTGAAAGTAGACCGTAAATTTTATTTAAATTTGAATAGATACAAATAAAAAGATAATTATTTTCAACATTTAGGTAAAGGTCTATAAATGGGACTTAAAGTTAACCGTGTTTATTACCCTGGCTGTCTGCCAAACGTCGGAGAAATGTCAACATTGTTCCATTATCCGTGTAAACATTACAGGAAACGTGAGAACAAGACGTGTCCAACCCTTCTCGAATAAAGTATAACACAAGAAACGAAATCACACACAATACCTCTTCACCTTCATTCATTTTTCCAGATTTATAGCCCCATTATTCTTGCACAGTCCTGAAACACTTGGCACGAAACAGATATTCCACGCTACATAGACTAATTCCACTGCACTGTAAGCCTCTGCATTTTTAAAAAAATTACAAACCATTGAGTAATGCGTGAATATGTGTATCAAGGCCGGACAAATAAAAATATATTTCTGGATCAGTGTTATGGATTCCCGGCTGCGCTTACGCTAGTCGCAGCGTTGCGTCACTCACGATAAAGACGATTTTCGTCCGCCAAAGCCAAATATTGGGCATTGATTATTTCCTACGATTAATCACGTCTAGTGGTCAGCAGAGTACGTATAAATTAATATTATTTAAAGTTAATGCGCTCGACTAATTCTTTTCATGAACGAAAAGAAGTTTCAGTGTGCTGGGACGTGGCGTCTCGCGTGCACTGTCCGAGGGTTCCGACAATAATTCACATCAATTTGCTCCCATTTCATTAGGCAAGCGTAGGCATGATTCGTCACCATCGCGTCTGGTGGAACGTATTGTTTAATAAGATAACGAGCGACAGCTGAATGCCTTTGTTCAAGTTAATTTTCCTGAAGACGGTAGGCGGAAAAAGTGATTGGATAAAAACTTTATAATTGTTTTTTTTTAATTAATTACTCGTAAATCGTAACAAGGGAAACCTATATATTTGTATTTTAAGGTGTCACGTGAAAACGTTTAAAGGAATTAATTGTAAAGAAGAAATATTCAGAGTATTTTCTTAAGTATGGGGCGACCATATAGGAAAGAGTTGAGAAAAATACCCCCTATATTTAAGTGAAATAATTCTTTTTGTAAATATTTTTCGATTAGGAACAATTTCAATTGAGATGTAATAATATAATAGATGGAGTCATGTAGATGCATTATCTATTGTTCTAGTTTGAGTATTATCAATAGATGGCATTCAAAAATACGCACACTTCGTGGGCATAACCAATTCAGTGTAATCTGGCTGATAAAATTAGTGTATTAATGCCTCCTTAAATAAAAAATATACCACTAGTAGTACGCTATCAGGGCTTACAAGAGTCATTGTACAAATATATGATTCATTTAGTATAATCCGGTAAATTAAATTTGGGCATTAACATCATGCTCTCAGTCTGAGATGTCTGTCAGACTAGTTTTCGTATAGGTACTTCTACCTATACAAAATAAATTTGGATATGACTCGTTGAAGATAGCTATTTTAGCTGGCTTAATAATACAATAATTGTATTATATTCTTTTTCTGTAACAACATGATAACATATTTCATAATAATATATTGTACAATACATCAGTCACATCAGTTTTATCTAGAATGTGTGCTTGCACTTGGAATAATTGGACATTGCATATTATGAAGCCAGAGAGATTACACTTGTTCATAGACACAAAAAGGTAAGTGGATTTGTTAATTTAAACATAATTATTTTTAAAACTTATGTTAATTTCTAAACTAAATGATTTACATAAACAATTGTTTCGACTCGATTCGGAGTCTTCTTAGCTTCTGAAAAAAATGTCGAAACAATTGTCGCGAAATTACAGTACAGAATTTAATGAACTTAAGTACTATGGATAAAACCATAGTAAGTTAAGTAAATTCTTTGGTGGAATGTCAGCCAATATTATAATAGTTACTGCAAAATTGTTAACAGATGTCAATACCATACATTTTTGCGCTGAACAAAATCGAACGTGCGACTTGCGACACCATTATAGTGTTCTTCAGCACTATATTAATATTATAGAGAAGTTACGAGTTTGGATATTCAGAGTTATCTCCAGTATGACTGTTATGATTTTGTAAACTCTTTTAATATTGAGTAGCCCATTTACCATTTATCTAGGCAAGATATATGCTATGCTACATAACATCATGCTACAATCAATAGGAGCAGAACTGCAATGAAACTTGTTGCAGAAATATAGAAATTTGCGGCAGAAGAAGTTATACATGTCTATGTTCACACTGCCTAATATAAAAATTAGTAATAAGTATTTGAATGGGTAGAAATATATTCATACCTGTTTCGTCTCGCCTTCCAATTCCAATATCTGAAGTGTGAGTGAGCTCTCCATTGCGGCGGACTCATTAAGGAGGGCATTTTCTTGTTCTATACCACTTCGCGTGGTCACCTTCTGTGTTGTATCTAGTTTCATAAGGGCCTAAGAACAAATAAATACATCATTTCAGACATTATTAATGAAACTGAATGCAATATGAATAAATAGTACACATATTGTAAGAATACACAAATGATATATATCAACGGAAGAAAATAGAATTGTCATAAATTAAAAATCCAACTTTACACCAGAGCTGAAAAACAATTTCAAAAAATTAGAACTCATATATTTGTTGTCACAGAAAGTTGAAAATTAGTTAAAAACATACCAATATTTATCATTCTTTTTCGATAAATATATGATTTATAAAAAAAATATTAATAAAAAATTATAAAGTTGGATTTTCCAAGTTACAACAATTCCATAACTTCATTAGCGTGGAATGTAATTTCTAAAATAAAGGTAACTTTATAATTTATTCCTTATAACATTAGCTATCTGCAAGTGAATGTCCTATCAAAAGCAGTCTAGTTCTTTCAGAGATTAGCATGAATATATGACAGACAGACAACATTATAAATCATAATTGTTTACTTACTAAATGCATATGAAAGTATATACAGTATTATACTTTCATATGCATTTAGTGAAAAGCTGTTAATTTGAAATAACAAACAAACTTTCAATTTTAATTTTATGCAATAAAATATATAATCTGTTCATCAACCTATATGTACATGTTTTGTCTGTTCATTATGTCTAATCATTTTCATACAACTTAATGATGGAATATTTTCTTAAGGATTGCATGTTTTATTATAATACTCAGAAATCAAATAATTGAACTGCCTATGTACTTCTATGCTGAGAAATTTTAAATAATTTAATGTATACAACTTTATAGATTACAACAATAGTACACACAACAATAATACATAGACAATAACAGATGTATTTTTTCAAGAATCAGTATAACACCCAGTATAGTGAAGGGTGAAAGTAACAGAAATAATGAGTGAAGTGAATAGATTGTAATATTTAAATTACTTCATTTAAATTTTATCATTTTACCTGCATGTACTGCTAATTATACTTTTACTTTTTTATTGTGATCCATTAAAGTAATTGAATATTTAAATAACTTATTATCTTATAATTATACTAAAAAGAGTAAAGGTAATAATGCATTTATCAGATAAGAGTTGTGTTTTTAAATAGAGTATATAAAATACATCTGTGAAATAAGAATAATGAAATTATATTTGCATGACAATAACTTCATACTCAAGTAACTTAATAAGGTTTAAATATGAAATAAGAGTCGCAAACAACTTTGATGCATATAGACAAGCACATAAATATGAAATTATGCATTACATTATAGTCAGAACAATCAGTTAGTCTATGTAGGTTATACTTAATAAACTTCTTTCCACTTGTGACTTTTGAAAGTAGTGCACAATGTGAATTAGAAATTGTGAAAAAACGCTTAAATTTCAATTTCTGCACATTTTTATGTACCCATTAATGCATGAAAAGTGAAAATAATGAAACAGAATGTAGGGCACTAACCTCTTGGGTGATTTTCAAGTCGTGTCTTGTGTTCTCGTATATTCCCTCAAGTTCGTCATATCTTTGCTGTAATGCGCTCTTCTCCTCGAGGAGCACCAGCCCGAGCTGGGCTGACTGTATCTTTTCGCTGCTGGCCTGGTCGAGTTCGCGGCTCAGTCTTTCTATCTCCGCCTTCAGCTCGACCACCGACAGCTCAGGTTCGGCCGTGGCTGCCATCGCGACAGTTAAACGGCCAAGTATGTAATCTTCATAAACAAAGTAAATAATCTCAGAAAAACAACAATATAAAACGTGTAAAATCAATTGTTTCTACATTCTCTCAAAAGTAAAACGTCTTGACAGCTCGGCTGACGACAGTTTATTTAGTGCCACAGAGTAGAACAGTATTCAGGTGAAATCACTGCATAGATTAATTGAGACATTTTCTTCTTTTTATAATGGCAACTCTATTGAAAGACGATTATAGAAATTATCTACATTGAAACTATGATTGAAACAAACAAATTTATTTAGTCACTCTATATGATGATTATCGTTCAGTCTAATATTAAAACCAAATAAACAATTTTTCAATATTTATTCTTAGGATGACGTCATGCATACATAGAGTTGTATATTTTTATGATTGTGATCGTTATGGCCAAGTAGTTTTCCACTCTCATTAGACCCACGGTTGCGATTTCGAATGCGCAAATACTTTTTGGTGTGGTTTTGTTTTAGTATATCTTTATACGTACCTATGCGATTGATTCAACGGTGATGCAAACATATAAATTGTGGGGTAGGTAGTTTTTTTTATATACGATTATTATCAGATACACCTGCCTACGTTACCAACTGCCAGTATACGCGGGCAAGTAGTAGTACCAGTGAAACATAAGAATTGAAGTCAGATTAGAGTTTATATCAAAATTCACTGCCAAATAAATACCTACAAAGGTTTTCAGGGGAGCCTGTGTGGGAATAACCCGACTTCGTAGCAATAAGATTAGTCACAAATATCGTCGGAGATTCAAATTGTTAATGTCTAGTATTTCATATTCAATAAAGTTTAGTTTGGTACTTTAGTCAGATATAAAATAATATTATCTCAAATAAATTCTATGACATGAAATGGTTTAAACATTTTAGGAACTTATTTAAACAACTCTTACGATTCCATTCGCCTTTGTTAGGGATAATATTATTTAAGACAAGAAAATCATTTATTTTGTAAAGAATTTATTTAGTTGACATCAATTGATTCTAGATTACAAAAAAATACAAAAATTTTCTACAGGATATTAGGTATTGTACTATCCATACACAGAGCGTTCTTGTACTACGTCTGTCGGAATTTATGTGAATACTGTATTTTGATAAACCCTCTGTTTAATTCGTCACTTTGTTAGTAAAAAATATTCATTAACACTGAATTCCATAACCTTATCCAAAGTAGCTATAGAAGTTATTACATACGTGTATAATGTTAAAATTTTGATTAACATGTATCAAATTTACGACACTGGTAAAACACTACAACTCTGAATAACAACTATAAATTTCGTGTAAAAAAGCGCACGGAGCATTGCCTTCTTTTTGTGCTGTCATATATTGTCGTTATGACCAGATAAAAATAATATAATTTAAAATATTTTATCATACATATTAAAAGTCTAGTTAAATATATGGTAAATCAAAGTTATAACATTTTATAATATAAAGCGCTCGCTTTAGAACATGGTTAAACGAGCGAGTTTTTATAATTGTTATACTTAAAATATAGTTAGAAATTCAGTGTTCAAACTCGTAACTAACATTTGATTTTTATTGTTATTTAAAACTCCATACACACTGTTTGAATAAAGACATATATTTTTATTATAATCAAAACTATTAAACTGCTAAATTTATTATTTTGAAATTAATTTAATTTAATCATACAGATAGTAAACATTGAATTAATGTACTTTAATTTTAATTTCAAAATAATAAATTTATAAACTTAATAAAAGTATTGGTATTATGCCAAGTTTTATAGTAGCACCTGCATTCATAAACGACACTTGATTGCGAAATACTTAAATAATGTTCACAACTTTAATTGACCAAATCACCATAATTAATTAGTAGAAATGTTAATTTAAATTTTACTTATTTACTTAAACACATGTTATTGCGTTATTTTGTGGTATACATACTAACAATAGTTACCACTTAGATTATCTACTTACACTACAATTATGAATATATTAAATCGAAATTTCCATTATTTTTAGTAGATTTGCGCGCACGCAATTACTACGAAATACTACGGAATGTTTTCTCAAATTGTGATTTTAATTACAAATTATTTTATTATAAAATCACATCTCACTATCAATAGAAATGTTTGAATACTTCGAATGGTGAAGAATTACTTCACCATTCGAAGTATACAAAATATAACACGGTTTTTTTTTCGAAAAAAATAAATTTATAATGTTTTGCTAAAATGACATGAATAAATGATTTTTGATTTGAATTTGAATTTGATTGAAATTATTGAATTGATTCTTATTAAAACCGAATCACATAATGTATAAATTATGCAAAGAATTCAAAGAAACGAAAAAACATTATTGAAACAAGAGGACAAGTAATTACTTTGCTTTCTCTTATTTACTTCTCAGTAAACAGACCTTTATGTGTTTCACTGTTTATTTGAACTCTTGCATTTTTAGCACAGGTGATTTGTCCAGTGTAAATTCATTGCATTAAATTAATGTAACTATAATTAAATATACGTTTACTATATGCGCTTCAAACTTTTGCGCTCCTTAATTGTAGCAATTTGATCTAAACAATCTTGCCTTTCATAAGAAATCTACATAAGTTGTAACAGCGTAAACACGATTAATTAGCTTACGCATCTATACTTTGGAGCAATTTGTAGATACATTTTTCGAATATTTAATTGAACCACGTAATCTACACGAAAATCTTAGGAGTAAATTAAATAATGTCACAAAAATATTTTGTACTAAACGGCATATAAAGAAAATATTATAGTTACTTTTGATATATACATAATAAATTAAGAGTGATTACTTGGCACCATGATGGCGGGGCGGGTATTAACTTTGTGAGGGGGAAGGGGGGTTTACATATAGGGGAGGATATATTTCAGATTCCAGATTTTACATGAAGTAAAATAGTAGATACAATGAAAACGAAAAAAAATCTTTCATCTAGAAATAAATTCAGAAAATAATATCAATGTTAAAAATGTGACTATTTCAATAATTTCACTTACCATAAACATGCACCATATTAAGATCAACATTATTTTATTCTACATTCATAATTTACTTTAGTTCTCAAAGCACTCAAATATCATGATACAGAATTATCGTATCAAAAATAAACAAGTAATGAGATTATTAATTGAGGAACACGGGGACAATTACAAACACAAATAATTATGACTAAAGTGAGCAATGATTACAAAAATTCAAAACAGTTCTTCAAAATTGCCAGGATGTAACATACTTAAAATTGAACATTAAATATATTATTGAAAAGTTCACGAAATCTGGGTCTAACCAAAATACTGTTAAAAAATTTAGGAATACAACAAGTATGTCATATTTATATTGTATTTGTTGCAATGAGACATTTTCAACATTTTCTTTCAAATATTTTTTTAATTAAATATTTAATTATTTTTATTATCTTTAATTACATTCATACATTCCATGGGTTCATATTATCCCTAATTTGTCCTCTGAAAACCGTGACCACTATTTTGGTTAGACTTTGTATAGTCAATAAAACGGCATTTATATTTTATGCACAAACCATTACACATAAATCTAGCATTACGCTCGTCACATAAATCTAGCATTTGAGACCTTCAATTTAAAATATAAAATGCTATAAATAAATTATTTGCTCCTCAAACTACCACAAGAGTAATATTAGAAACCAGATAATGAATTCCGAGTGTTTTGCCAAGCAGTAGGACAACACAGATTAATAATCATCTAGAGATGCTTTGGTAAAATACACGACAAAACAATTACAATGGTAACACATTAACAAGGAAATGCTTTATGCATTCTTACATGCATGCAAGAAAACTATATATATGCTTTCCGAGCATAAGAAATATATAGTTTAGTTGTAGAGTGCCTATAAATAATATTGATATAAAAAAACAGTTAAAGATCTCATATGTCTAGATTTAAATTTAGTGGATTCCGCATGATATAAGTATAAGTCATAATCAAGAAAATTTTCATAATAAATTCTAAAAAAACATATTATATGTATAATGAAATCATATGCTACTAAGTATATCTATTCATAATTTCTTATTACTACCATAGTAATTTCCCACTGCAATTGTATTAAATTATGTATATATGTATATATATACAAACACTCCAATATCGATCATGATCTCACTAATATCACACAGGAAGACCGGTTCATCCAACACAATAGTGACGGGAACATCAAAATTTACCTATAATGTGAAATAGCATATATACATATATATTTGGTATTACGGGTTTGTTATTTTTTTATGCCTAACTATGTGTTAGAACATAGTGATTTAATTAGATTTTTTTACTTCTTAATTTAAAAATATATTTTAATGTTGCCACAATTTAAATAGTCGTTAATTCAAAGCTTAATTTCTAAAAATAATCATATTAATCAAATTTAATAATATACATACTAATATTTAATAAAATTATTACCGCAGTAATGAATAATGATTATTTGAACAAGTTATATATTTGACTTCAAAATTAGATGTTTTATATATATAAAAAATACTACTGTGATTGCAACCATCTTATGGTTATACATAATCGTAGAAAAGGCAATTATTAATATATTAAAAAAATTATAACTAATGTTACATAATCAAGATGCTGGTTATATTTGGAATAAGTAAGCATGCGGTCTTATTTAAAGATATATAACATATACGAAGGCAAATTACTCATACAGATCATCAAACCTACCTGTACCAGTATTTCACCATCAAGCTGCAAATTATTATACTATCCATAGAATAATCAATATTTAATCTGTAAATAAGAATTGTGGTGAAAATGTTTAACGGTATTAAAATGTCTGGTTTTTATAGTACATAATAAATACAGTACATAATAAATTGTTCTACACCTTTATTCTATCATAATATTACCTACAATGATTATAAATAATTTAATTAATTCAGAATATATTACTTAGTTAAATAATAGTAAGTGAAGACTAGAGAAAGAAAAAGTTTATATTAATTAACAATATCAGATTTAATAAATTATGTTCATATAATTCAGCACCAAATACTTCATAAGTTTAAAAAATAATGCCGATATTCTTGTGTTACTTACACTTTGCAAGTATTACATGTAAAATTAGTATGTTAAAATTAAATGCATCTAATGACATAATTACATATACCTACATATGTATATTACAAATATTTTTGGCTGAAGACTTCAATTTTTTTTTAATTATAGGATAAACATTATTATTTCATGTTTTTTCAATCTTCGAATAACATACTTTAATTATATATGGATGCAAATAGATGTCATTATAATTATAATAAAATATAAAAGTGTTATAGTATACTCAACTGTCGCTGCCGGCTGTCAAATCGTGATACTATTAATATGTTAACATGTTAAATTCAACCAAGTGTTTAAAAGTAAACTTTAATAAAATATGAAGATGGTACTTATGAATATAATAAGTTACATTATGGCACAACCGGTGGTGACGTCATCGCGCGCGGGCGGCGGCTGCGGCGCCATCGGACTTATGATGGGCTCGGGGAGTGAGCTCGGAGATTCCTTCCTCACCGACTGCTTCGAAACCTCCTGCACTTTCTGCGGAGGTGGCAATTTGGTCTCTGAAGGCGTTTGGGTTCTAGGCTTCGTTTCTTGCGTCAAAGAGCCAGTGCTCGGCGTCCTCACTCGGGTCTTGACCATGGAGATGCGACGCTCTCGCGTATTGATGATAGATGTGAGAAATGGTATTTGATTGCTGATCGCCATCATAAATGGCTTATAGCCGATGCTGAAATATTGAAGAAATTGTATAAATTTCTTATATCTATTCACATTTCGTGTAGCTAAAAGTTGTGTTGTATGGGGAAGGCAATTGAAATTTTGTACTTGACCCACAAGAGAGATTTCTAAAAATAGTACGGGTTATATGAATGCAGTGTTTAGAATACCCGTTGTACAGTGAGTATTATTATTATACATACTGTTGGAAAGAAGATTAAGATTGGAGGGTAGACCCTATAGACGATGCCTTCTCGGCACCAACACTCTCTCTTTGTGATTTAGACTGTTAGGTCGTTACTCTGCTAGTTTAGCTATCGGTTATAATATTTCTAAGTTCATAGTGTTGTTCTGTTTGATTTCAATTGGTGGTTAATTATTTCTGTTTACAATTAGTTTTTGTGGTTAATTAATTTTGCAGTATAAAGTAAGCGTTGTTAGAGTTATCATTTTGATTCGTATTAGTTAAATTTAGATGTATTGTTAAAACGGTTATAATTAAAATATTTTATTATAAATCTATTTTTGAGTTTTATTTCCTTAGGTACCTGTATTTATTTTTGTAAAAAAATCACTTCCTGTTTTATTTACAAAAATATTATTATTATTATTATATTGTTAGATTTATTTAGATTAGACCATACAGTAAGTCAGGACCACGCTTATCCAAGTGTCCAACCAGTGTCGCTAAATCCTACTGAATTTGCCACCAATTTTTGTTCATCCAATCGTCGTCTATTAGTGTTCCGCCAGAGTATACCGTTATACATTGGACTAATTTATATTTAATGGACATTAGAAAGTGCGCACTGACCACTCGTGTTCGGCCCAGGCGGTGAGGTCTCTCAGTGCGCGTCGTAGACGGCGCACGGCGTCGAGGCTGACGTCATGAGCGCGCGCCGCGTTGGTGGTACGCAGCACGGCCAGCGCGTCGCGCAGCGCCACCGCCAGCACCAGCGCCCATTCCACGCAGCTCGCCTCCGTCATCAGCTGCAGGAAGTACCTGCCACCCAATATAGCGAATATAAATAATATGAAATGTAAGAAATGGTACCGCCGCTGCACGTGCGCTGGGCCTGGGGATCATGCACGCGCTTCTCGCCCGGTCTCTGCCTGCCACTCCTCGCCCGCCCCCCCTCGTACCTGAGCTGCACGTGCGCGGTGTGCGGCGTGCGCTCGGCCTGGTGGTGGTGCAGGCGCTCCATGAGCGCGGCGTAGCGCCGCTCCTCGCCCGCCCCCGCGTACCTGAGCTGCACGTGCGCGGTGTGCGGCGTGCGCTCGGCCTGGTGGTGGTGCAGGCGCTCCATGAGCGCGGCGTAGCGCCGCTCCTCGCCCGCCCCCCTCGTACCTGAGCTGCACGTGCGCGGTGTGCGGCGTGCGCTCGGCCTGGTGGTGGTGCAGGCGCTCCATGAGCGCGGCGTAGCGCCGCTCCTCGCCCGCCCCCCTCGTACCTGAGCTGCACGTGCGCGGTGTGCGGCGTGCGCTCGGCCTGGTGGTGGTGCAGGCGCTCCATGAGCGCGGCGTAGCGCCGCTCCTCGCCCGCCCCCCCTCGTACCTGAGCTGCACGTGCGCGGTGTGCGGCGTGCGCTCGGCCTGGTGGTGGTGCAGGCGCTCCATGAGCGCGGCGTAGCGCCGCTCCTCGCCCGCCCCCACGTACCTGAGCTGCACGTGCGCGGTGTGCGGCGTGCGCTCGGCCTGGTGGTGGTGCAGGCGCTCCATGAGCGCGGCGTAGCGCCGCTCCTCGCCCGCCCCCTCGGTGGCTGCACGTGCGCGGTGTGCGGCGTGCGCTCGGCCTGGTGGTGGTGCAGGCGCTCCATGAGCGCGGCGTAGCGCCGCTCCTCGCCCGCCCCCCTCGTACCTGAGCTGCACGTGCGCGGTGTGCGGCGTGCGCTCGGCCTGGTGGTGGTGCAGGCGCTCCATGAGCGCGGCGTAGCGCCGCTCCTCGCCCGCCCCCCTCGTACCTGAGCTGCACGTGCGCGGTGTGCGGCGTGCGCTCGGCCTGGTGGTGGTGCAGGCGCTCCATGAGCGCGGCGTAGCGCCGCTCCTCGCCCGCCCCCCTCGTACCTGAGCTGCACGTGCGCGGTGTGCGGCGTGCGCTCGGCCTGGTGGTGGTGCAGGCGCTCCATGAGCGCGGCGTAGCGCCGCTCCTCGCCCGCCCCCTCGTACCTGAGCTGCACGTGCGCGGTGTGCGGCGTGCGCTCGGCCTGGTGGTGGTGCAGGCGCTCCATGAGCGCGGCGTAGCGCCGCTCCTCGCCCGCCCCCCACGTACCTGAGCTGCACGTGCGCGGTGTGCGGCGTGCGCTCGGCCTGGTGGTGGTGCAGGCGCTCCATGAGCGCGGCGTAGCGCCGCTCCTCGCCCGCCCCCCTCGTACCTGAGCTGCACGTGCGCGGTGTGCGGCGTGCGCTCGGCCTGGTGGTGGTGCAGGCGCTCCATGAGCGCGGCGTAGCGCCGCTCCTCGCCCGCATCCAGCGCGCCGCCGCCCCACGCCGCCGACCCGCCCTCCGCCACGCTGCACTCGCCCGCAGAACTATAAACACAAACAATACTCTTAGAATTGTTAATGAATCAGTGTACTTACGGTAATGGATGAAACGAGGCGTAGTATTTAGGATCAATAATAGACTATTTTAACTTTATACGTATCGAAGACAGAGGGTATCGAATGCAAGTGTAAGAGATTTGACTGTAGATACCTGACAGGTCCAGGCGAGAGCGGAGCACCGGCCGTAAAGGGCAGCCCGGTCCGTAACGGGAGGCTCATGTATCCGCTATCGCCGCACAGGCTATCTGACTCCGCCGACGGTGTGTACGAACCTGAACATTTTATCGTACATTATTAAACTATTAACTACACTTAATTTTCAATTCAATACAGTGGTATGACGTAGAAGTTAATCAATTTCGACTATATTTTTTTGTGTATATTAAATTGAGTATATCTTCAGAAATTTCAAACAATAATTTTAAATTCTGACGATGTTTAACGTTACATTTACACTAATATTGTGAAGAAACGGTGTGATTTATTACTTTTTCTGTATACATAGTGTAATTCGATGCACTGATTAAAAAATCTTTATACTATATACTAGTCGTATATAGTTTTGCTATAATCATTGTCCAAACTGTTTTTTTAATTTCTATTTTATTCCGAACTACTGGTATATATATATATATATACTATTATTATTCGAAGCCAATTAGGAGTGACACTAACTGGGCACAGCGCTGCCCTTCCGCTGCAGTTGCTGCGTGTCCTCGGGCTGCACGGTGGGGTAGGGCCAGGCGAAGTCTTCGTGCACGCGCCGCAGACAGTGCACGGCCGAGTCAAACTTTGCGGCGCGCTCCCGCTCGCCGGCCAGCAGCGCCACCAGGTGCAGGTCGAGCGCCGCCGCCATGCGGCCCAGCGCGTGCAGCCGCGCCGTCGACAGCAGCACGCGCGCGTGGCGCTGGATCATCATGTCGATGAAGAACTCCTCCGCGGTGCCGCTGTACGACTCCCTGGTGGATATGTGACGTCATTACGTAATTAGTGCGTTCACGTTAGCAAGAATCTTATGTTGCAAATAATGTATAATTAATTTTGATACTCTAATAATAATAATCTATAAACGAGGAAGCTCGTGAGTATGGATGGATAGATGAATGAAAGTACAAATGCTCTTTAACGCAAAAACTATTGAACGGATTTTAATGAAATTTTACAGTAATATAGCTTATACATCGAAATAACACATAGATTACAAATTTCGTAATATCGCTGACACAGCTATTTATACATAATGTTAACTGGTAAATAATGATATGCCACATTTACAGGTTTTAATATTAGGTTAGATATAAGCCCAAAACTAAAGTATATGTACTCTATTTGCTATTTTAAATCTAAAAGACGTTTAGCAACAGAGTAGCTACAGTATTAGCTTCAACTTATACAAACTTTAACATCAGCTTATCGCCGTCTCCCGTATCTATTAAAATGATGTAAATGTATGAGAGATACTGACCTGTCGGCGCGTGCGGGCACGGACTTCTTGCGCTTGACGGCGGCGGTGGCTCGTGCGGGGGGCGCGGGGGGCGCGGGCGCGGGCCCGGGCACGCCCCCCGCGGCCGGCGGCGACGGCTCGCGCGGACTCACAGTCGTACTGAAGCTGCGACCGCGACCGCCCGACAGCTGCGGTATCACGCATCACATGTTTTTTTTTAGTTTTTTATATCCTTAGTTGCCGTTTGCCAAAATGGACTAACTGACCAGATTTCATGCTTTTTTTTATCCTCCACTCCTCCACCAAAGTAAAATGTGGACTAATAACCCAAAATGATGACTGTGCCCGCCAGCGTAAACCGTTAGCGGAAGCGGGTGCATCTATCCATTATCCATAACCCCGCATCACCGATTCATCATTCCATTAACCACTTGCCTTGGTGGTGGATATATGGTAAAGCTTAAGACTAAACTCGTTACACACAACATGTACTTGTTTTCTGCTATGTATAACGGAAACGTAAAATTTCTTGGACGTTTATGTTTTAATTGAATGCTATTTACTTTAAACTGAATACCTTTTCTTAGATATTGAAAATATACATATGTATTGTCATATTCGCGCATACTAACAATTCTCTAGCCCCCATTACTAGCAATTCTCTCTCCCCAACAGAATATTAAAATTTGAAACAATTATAGTAGTCTAACCTGCATACTGCCGAGTATGACGGACAAATCTTCAGCGTTGGGGCTAACAGTCTGGGATTGCGCAATCTGCCCGTATTTCGCTTGAACGTTCACTGAGTTCCGAGGTGAATCTACGTCGTTTGGATCTGTGAAACAATATACAGTGTAACCTTAATATAACGAACCCTTTAAATTATAAGAGTGCGTTATCATATAATATTCTTCGTAATCTCTTTCAATTGTTCATAATAGTCAATGTAAAATAGAAGTTTCAACAATAAAAAAATGTAAATAACTCTAATTATATCAACAAATTGTATCAACCCAAAACCTTTATATAATGTTCCCACCAATAAATTACTTTTAATCCCATAGCATGTAATTCATATTGCTACTGGTTCTAGTTTTGAATTAAGGAATATATACAGTAACTTGATCGAAATGTGATTTCATTTATTAGTAGAAGTAGTTTATTATATCAAGGTGTTTACGTTACGTGACTTGATATAACAAACCTTAGACCAACTTCAACCTCAATAAACAAAGCTTAGTTTTACAAATGCCTTGATATAACGAATATTTTAGATATTCTTCTCATTTACGATTTATAATATTGAGGTGGAACGGTAGTTTGTAAACATTATTAGATATACCATAAATTAAATAGTGTCAGACCACTTTTCTAACTGACTCTCTGAAAGTGACACGTTATAATAATGTGCTATTAGAATAAATAAAACAATACCTATCGCCCTGAGGAATCGCACTAAGTCCCTAGCGAGGTCCCAGCGCTCATGCTGCAGTGCTGTATCCAGCAGCTGAGTTGCTAGTTGCCGGCTTACTGCTGAACTCTCAAGGTTCTGACAGAAAGTAATAACTTTATATTTAGAGATTATTCATTCATTCATAAATTATTCATATCATCATAAATTACGTCACACGTATGTCTGTAGTTTCTACTCTTTAGTCTTATCTTATGGAGGTTTTTTTAATAGTTAATATTTTTAATAGATCTAATATTTTCCCTTGTTATACCTATAACACTATGTTGACCCTTCCTCTTTACGTGTTACTTAAATTATTGATGGTGGTGATGGAAGAGTTTGTGTTACGAGTTAAAACAACTGATATAAATACATACATACATTTTTTTTAAAAATCATACATAACATACAAAGAAAACATCCAGATATAAAAAAGCATACTCATGAATACAAAAGTTTACACCATGCGAGTAATCGAACCCGCGACCATCGGAAGTAAGGCGATGTGCTAAACGAGCACGAGGCCGTCAGACTAATAATTTTTCAATAAATACAAAAAGTATTTTAAAATAAACGGCTTTTTACTAAACGACATTAAAATATTACAATTGTAAAGGTCAGAAAAAAATATCACGTAAATTGATAAGAAAACTGTAAGTACCTTAGTCAGGTGAAAATAAAACGGCAAATTTACGAGTATATATCAAGCATTAAATTTACATTAGCACTTTTCAATCAGTAATTAAGTATCACCTGTAATATAATGAGATAAGAGGCAGCAGTGTCCAACATTTTCCTGTCTAGGCACTCTTGGAATAATTCTTTAGGCTTGCCGGCCGCTGAGAACAAATACGCCCATAGCGCTATCTCTGTTTTTCTAGCGCATTGTACTACTGTCTGAAACAGAGAAAATAAAGGAATGTATTACATATATAATGATATAATAGTGTTATTAAACCATTAAGGTTGGAGTTATGAATTCGTACGTGCAAATAAAATTAATATTTCTAATTCATTCAACAAACTCGACAATAGGTTTATCTCCGATAGCTAACAATCATTTTGTTTGTGTTTGACAATCGCCTGGAATATCGAAAAGATGTCTAAAAGATATTCATTAATACAGACTACAAATTAATTACATATAAATTGTAATTAATAAAATCTCCATGTTAGAACATTTCATTACCTCTTATCACTTCAGAATACTAAACTTCAATTCTATAGCTAACTTTTATATTTCAACAAAAAATTAAGCAAGACTCAAATATAATAATATTTTGATGGTTAATATTCTCTTTCAGGGGTCGTTCCATGCAGTAGGGACAATAGTGGGTTGTTAAACCTTCTGATAACATATCTAGTAATCGAATATTTCAAAACTGACCTGTAGATAGACAGGGAACTCGTGAACGAACTCGATAATGCTGGGCAGTTGTGCATCTGGTATAGGTTCTTTACTGGTCGCCTCTTCCTCCAACACTTCGTGTAATAGCAACTCCAGTGAATGAGGGAAGTATGGCAGTTCTGAGCACGATCGCGCGATCTCCCACGCGTGGTACCCTAAATTCCTTCGAAGCAGCTGGCGTAGAATTTGGTGAAGGTACACTTGGCTCTATAAAACATATACATTTAAAATCAGCATGTTTTACATTAGATTACTATATAAAGTTTGGGTAAACGATAGTTGGAATGTTTTTTTAACTCTACTTATCGCTCTATTCTCTTTCTTCATTAGACTTTGGTGACAAAGTTTTTTGCTATTTAAATAATTTTGTTAATAATTTATTAGTCAGCCAATAACTGTTATATGTACACAAATAGTATATGTCTGTTTTATTTATATTTTTCAAACAATCAAATCAGAACTGAAGGCAATATGTTATTAGCAAATAATAACGTCAGTGAAACAAATAAAGGAGAAAAAACTTACAGTCCTGTTAACTACACAAAACGGTAGCGAAAACACCGAGTTCGAATCAGACGCATATAAGGTCGTGTCGTTTTCAGCGCCGAGCAGGATCGCATCGTCGAATAAAATAGCTGTAAAAAACATAAGTAAATAACTATTTTTATGAAAATTACGCGTTTTGTTAGAGTATTACTCTTTTGTTTATTATTATGTCTGTGGTCAAATTGAGAATAGATTAATATTGTTTGTCTTTAATATCGTTTGTTCATAGTCTTACTGAATGTTGAATTAATTATTATGGTTGAATTTCGACACTTACTGAGCGGATAAATATTGAGATGGAACGGCAACATAATCCTCTTCGCCATGAATGTGTGGCGGGATGTGTCGGGGTGTCGCGTGGCATCCCGGGGCAACAGCGGCAACCAGACGCGGGCGCCTAGAGCTCCACACCACAGCCATAGCGCCCGAGACAGCTGTGTCTGTGACGGGCCTCCGCTACCCGCCGACCATACGCTCTCCACGCATGAGGCGAGTACTGTCGCTGGCAGACAGCTGTAAGCCTGCAAATAATAATAATATCTAAGGTCGACGTCTTAAGCTGCAGATGCGTATTTCTGCATCTAGATTTGCTATACTGTACTGTATAAACATAACTGACTGGACGGTAGAGAATAACAATAATACAAAAAACTCGACTCTCATAATTGACTAAAATGTTCTACACAAACAAATGTTTTTAGAATTTCAATTTGATAACATCTGATAGTTTGTGACAAAAATATCTAATCATATATAGCTAGTATAATAATGGTAATGCAATTATAAAAAGTTACATAATAAAGGTTACAAGTATTAAGTTCAAGATTATATATAGTGTTATACAATTAACAGCACATGCAATTCCCGGCCGATACCGGTCGACTTTTTGCGTACTCATCATTAGTGCCGTATGCGTGGAATTGTGAAGTTGGTAAACATAAGTATGGGTGGGTGAGCGTAATTAGAGCAAATCGTCATACTATTAATTGGGTAACATTGCATTGCGTCAAAGAGGACACGCTTTGAGCACTCGTCTTCGTACTGTCTTACTAACAGTATTAACGGCAGTTGTCACAGCACACTTCATATTACTAATAATGTAGAAAATAATTTATTGACTACCTGTCAATAAATTATTTTCGAATTAATTAACGTAAATATATGTAGTTACATATATTATATATCTAGCGGTCAGTCGCGGCAGGGCTGCAAATACGGTACGGTCTATCTGTATTTTTTACCTTCAAATATAGCCTATTTTAATCGCTGATAATGCAGCTTTCTATAGATAATTTTGGTTTTTGACATTACTACTTGCAAATATAAAATTTAATCTTTTAATTAGACTATATGCGATCCGCAGGTGTACCCATATGAACTATAATAAATATCATCCCATATTTATGACAACGTATAGTCTTCTATGATTTCCGAATGTTATAGAAGCGCCGCAAGAATATTTTCTCAATAATATTCTGATATAATAAACTTATACAGATAGAAGATAATTGACATAACGAATTAATGGATTTTACTTTGTTACTTAATCTGTTCTGAAATTCATTAAGAACCGCCAAAAGCCGACATCCTGTTTTTAACTTCTCGATGCGTATACGCGAACGTTTTCACATGTGAAGGCTATATGAAAATGAGGAAGCCTGATGCAACCCTCCGTTGTTATTGTTGCAGACAACAGTAGCGCACGCATTAAAACGTCCACATCCGTTAGACATCAGGACATTGAGGTTTAAGGCAATTTACCTATAAATTAAGTTTCATTGCATATACGCAGCCAGTACGTTTTTGTCATCAACTAGTCCGTGCGTCTCCGTCAATATGAAGTTATTTGCGGTCAGTTCTGGATTATTTTAACAGTTTTAATTTTTTGCCATTTGCAAAAGAAATATTGGTGAAGTGTTATACTGAATGTTGCAGATATCTTGTCTCCTCGCTCTAGCCGTGTCCACCAAAGCCGACGGCACTTTGGGTGGACTTGTCTACGCACCAGGACATGCTTCGGTCGATTATTACGTGAGTGTGGAAATAACATTAAAAGTTTTTTTCTATATGTGGAATGGCAAACAAGCTAACAGGTTATTTGATGTTAAGTGGTAAACATGGCTTATATAGATAGCACCACGGACATCACGTTATTATATGATCCCCGACGTATCACTTAGGAGCTTCTATTCCTGGGAAGACAACGATGTCATGCCTCGTATCTGTAAGTTCACTGCCTTACCTCATTCTTCAACCACATTTTATTAGTAAGCTGCTTGGTAACTGCAATAGAGGAAACAGAAGTACGCAAACGATTTCGTACAAAGTCTATACGTTTGGGTAAAGTAAGTAAAGTAGTAAAAATTTACTAACTTTTTCTTTTCACCATGCAGGCGTATCCTAGATATGCATTTGAGTACGCCGTAAAAGACCCACACACCGGAGACAATAAAGCACAATGGGAGAAACGGGACGGAGACGTAGTTAAAGGTAATCATACACCGAATGTAGCGACATGTTTAACTTGTAAGATATATAAATAATTGTTTAATAATATTTTTAGGAGCATACTCGCTAGTGGAGCCTGATGGCAGCCTTCGTGTGGTGGAGTACTGGGCTGACGACAAGTCAGGTTTCAATGCAGTCGTCAAGCGTTTGGGACCGAATCTACATCCTGTAGCCCCCGTTACACCCATTTATAAAGCTCCAATTCCTGTTATAAGCAGCGGCCCTGTGGTTAGTCCGATTACAATAGGATCCGTAGCTAAATATGGCGGTTTGGCTAACGCTCCACTTATAACCGGACAACTAGGTGGAATTGCATCTCCAGCTATTCTTAGCAAGCCAATCACACCCATATTACCTGCGCCAATTCTACGCTCCCCAATAGTTTCCAGTGTACCGATTCTGCCTACACCCATTATAAAATCGGCGCCATACTTATCAGCACCGGTGTCTGCTCCAATTATATCAGGACCCCTGTCTTCCCCTTTGAATATCTTGGGGGGAGGTCTGCTTAAAACACCTGGAGTGGGATTAGGAGCAGATCTGTCAAGTCTCCCATTATGGGGCGGTAACTTGGCCAATCTCGGATATAAATATTAGATATTGAAATCCTATTACGATTCTGTAATTTCAATGCCGTTGTCCATTGCTATACTGCCATGTCCTCTATATTACGACTAGTTGAGCCTTGTTGGATAGAGTCCTTAGATTAGGATAAGTTAATTAATTTAATTTATGTAAATATGTAAAATCGACATTTAGCACGAATATAGCATAGCCACTATGTGGTAAACAATAGTTGTGTATAATTTACTTCAGAATGTCCTGAATTAACTTCAAAAGACTAAAAAAGAACCAGAACCAGAAACAACGGCAGGAGAATCCATGTAGAGTTAAAATTCGGAAGAATCCATGTAGAGGTACTATAAAATTCAGAAGAATGCATGCAGAGGTACTGTAAAATTAACAGCTTTGGTGGTCTAGTGGTTCAGCATACCGCTTTACTATTGGATGGTCGCTGGGTTCGATTCCTCGCACAGTATAAATATGTATGTATTCATGAGTGATTCATGAATGATAGTTTGTATCGGATTTTAGAAAATACCCCGACGAGTATTTTCTAAAATAGGAAAGGAAAGGGAAATACATAAATTTGCTTATTAAATGACACAATAGGCCGATAATAAGTTAAATAAAAAAAAATATGTCTAATTGTGTCTATTTACTATAAATGGGCAAATCAATTTCAAATAATTACGTAATTAAATGCACATTGGCATAACTCTAAAGAAGGATGTTATAACAGAATTGAATTAGTGTAATAAGATCTTTATTTGGATTAGAAAAACTGAAAATATGAAATTATACATTGGATTCCTTACATATATACCTACCAAAGAAAAATATTATAATAAACACATGGGATAGAACATATCTATAGACTTGAAGTAAATTACACGTTATATTCGCAAAAAACTACACCAATTTTGATTATACTTGTTTGTGCTAATTTTGTTACAAGTGGGATACCAACGTATTTTATATAAATATATTTACTTTTTTGTGCAGTATAGTAATTTATAAGAGGAAGTAATAGTAAAGAAGGACGAATTTTTAATAATAACTTACGTTTTCAATCATAAAAATATTTATACAAGTTACTATTTTAAGGTTCCCTAATAATAAACTAACAAAAACCAACATAAAATTATACAGAACCTTTATCATTAAATCTATAGCAGGCATTATGGAGATATCAGAACGAATAATAAAATTTGACATGGATTAATAAATGAAGTATGTTCTAAATAATTTACTATAATTACTTGGTTTTAAAAAGTTACAGTATCAACAAATCTTTAGCACAAAAATGTGTTTACAGAGAAAGGCAAAAAGGGCTGAACTGCATCCTACGTACGTATCTAAAAATGAATAAACTTAAAATAATATTATATGCCATCATAGTTCGTCATTAGTATTGTGTAACAAAACATCAGAAAAACCCTCTTATAAAGTAAACGAATTACACTTGACCACATTTCTATACTACTTACTACGTACTTTGTTAACAATCACATAATCTTTGATAACTGGTCATGCTTCATACGTCCATATAACAACATGTTTCACTGGTCTATCATCGCTCCTGCCGAAGATCTAACATGATATAAAAGCAATGTGTAAGTAATTTTCGCTATTATGTTACAAGAGTTCAACAATATTACTTGACGAAATGAATCCGTGGCTGATGGTAATAATTCATTAAACACTTTAGATTTAACTCAAATTCTAATCTGTTCATGAATCTTAACGTGATCTATCAGCCTTTCGGGCTACTATATTTTTACATATTAATCAATTTAGAAATACTATTGCTCACTTGCAGTTTTACTGGCTTGGTTAACTTTTGTGATTTTTTTAGTAATATAATATGGTCTTGCATTTCTATTTCAGATAATCTGTGTTTTGGAGGTAGCAGCACAGCTGACTACAAGTACTGAGCTGCCACTTGCTGTAAGTTTATGATGATATTAATAATTTATAAGACGACGATGCTGTGATTGTTTAGCTTAGATAATTTTTAAGAACCTACTAAAATGACATACCAAAATTTATTATCTTTGGCTCGATTGTTCTGATTGTTGAGTGTGAAGCTGAAAATACTAATATTCCTGTCCTGTTTAATAAAAAGCAGCCAAGCTAGGTATTTTGGACACAACAAAACAATTCTTAAGCGTCTTGGTAATCTTAATGATTGTAGTAAAATTTAATCTTTTAAATAATTACAGGAACATCCAATCCATGTAGAGAGCGACTCCTCAACAAAGGACGATAAGGCGGAAAATATCGCAGAGGAACAAGATATTCAAGGATCACATACACAACCTGATGCTATTTCCATCGGTGACTACACTGCCAACGCGCTGACCGCACTGAATGCAGCCGTCAATGCTCAAACTATTTTACAACCTATACCTCTTCCTAATTTATTAGGATTAACCTCCCATGCATTGAC